TGAAAATTTATATGATGCTGGCAGTATACATGGTTTACAGGTTTGTTTGAGTGAACTAAATTATTTATTATTATCTGAATATGAATTACAGGAAGCTGAAAAAGGAGTGAAATTTCAAAAATTTCCACCAGTACTTTGTCTACATTTATTACGATTCGAATATGATTACAATTTATCTCAACATCGAAAAATTAATGATAGTTATTCGTTTGATTATCATCTTGATTTAAGTGAATTCCTTGAAAATCCCGATTGCTCATCATGCTCATATAAATTATTATCAATATTAGTACATAGTGGAGATAATTCTAGTGGTCATTATGTTTCATTTATTAATCCAGCATTAGATGAACAAGTAAGATCAGAAACAAAAACAGATTTGGATGACATTTTATATGTTAATCTGTTTGTTGTTTAGTGGTTTAAATTTGATGATGATGTTGTTGCACGAGTGGCAGCAAGTGATGCTATGGAAAGAAATTTTGGTGGTACACAAGATGATGATGGTAGTATGTATAATACATCAGCTTATATGCTTGTTTATATACGTGAAGATTGTCAAAGTAAATGAAACTTTGTTGTTTTATTGAAATAAAAAGAAACGAGTTTTGTTTTTAAATAGACGACGCTTTATGTGATATTAACCAAGAAGATATTCCTCAGAATTTAATAGCCAGATTTGATTATGATAAGTAAGATGATAGTATTGAAGTTTTACTAAATATATTTTAATAATTCGATTATTTCAGAAAATATCTTTTAAAACGTCGTCAAGATATGATAGATAACGATGGTTTCGTTGATATTCAAATTATATTAACTGATGATTTTCATATTCAACAAACTATTTGTTTAACAGATCTTATTTATGAAAAGTAAAATATCGTTTTTAGGTATAGAAAGAAAAGTGTTTTATCATCATTTTTTCTTATAGCCCTGTTGAATTATTACCAAATAAACGATGTCTACGATTTGTACAAGCTCAACATGGAGAAATATTTCGTGTATTTGCAAGACGATTAGCATATGCATTGGTATGATTTCTGTTTGTTCATTAAAAGAAAAGAATGAAAACAAAAGATTTTATTAATAGAATCTCTTTTGATTAACGTTTGACAATATGTTTGAAACAAGTAGTGAACTAGACTAACGTTTCTATGCATATTACTCAGCAAAAAGTACTTTTTACAGTAATAGCGTTATGATGTGTTTAATACTTCATTGAAGTCTATCTCATATATAGGATCCGAATTTAAGATTGCGTTTCAGACTGAAAAATTTTGCATCGTCCTATAGTCTCTCTGTCGTCATGAAATTTCCAAAGACGTGAGTAATTTTAATAATGTAAAATAAGATATCTAGTAATAGGACAAATCTTCTTCGAAAAATAATATTCGAATAAATTATCTTGTTTTTTTTTGTAGGGAGTAAATCTTGATGAAGATATTCGAATATGGATTGTTCATACACATGAAATTCATGTTAATCATCATTATCATTCACAATCGCTGCTTACATCTGCACTTGTTTATTGTGATGATTACGATAAAAAAGTAAATTAATAAATTATTTAGACAACAGACAGCCACCAAATATTTATTGTATTTTAATTGCAAATAGATAATCGATTTATTTGAATATGATATATCAGATCGACGAACTTTGTCAATATTTGTTGAACACAAAATATTTCTCAATAGCATTTATCAATTATTAGCATTCGATAAAGACGGTAAATTGCCTACTAATTTATATATTTTCATAAAAAAATCAAATCATTTTTCAACTTTATTTACACAGATGATCTTCTAATTTTTGTTCGTCTTTATAATTTTCGTTGCGAATCTCTTTTGTACCATGGTCATTTTCTCTTTTCTCAACAGCAATCATTCCGTAAGATAAAATCAGTGCATTCAACAACTTTTCATTTTAAATGCCATCTCATATTCTAGAAAAATGTTTAACTGATATAGCTCTTCAAATAAAAATTCCTATAACAACTTCAACAACGTTTATTGTTCATCAAGCTGTACCCACACATAATCAAACACATCAATATGAATTAATAAAAGCTTCTAGTTATGATTTATCATTAAACCAAGTACTTGATCCATGTTTATCTGGTGTATCGATTATAATTCAAATCATTGATATTAATCAAACAAATGACGATTATCCATTAACAACAGTCGAAGATTATTTTCGGTAAATAAAATAATAGCAAGTTTTTTTTTTATAACAATTCTCTTGAATTTTATTTTATTTTTTGTAGTAATATTGGCAATCGACAAGAATTTGATGTGTGCAATCGAGATAGTTTGCGAAATGAATGTCTATTTAAATTATATCTACCAATTAAAACAAGTGTTAAAGAAGTTATTCGATTGATTTCTGAACGGATTGAATATTCACATCAACAGATTATTTTACAAAAGCCATCAACGTAAAATCCTTTATTTTTTATTTTTGAAAAGAGCGATTTCGCACTGGAGAATATCTTCTTACATTATACGAGTTCAAGCCTTTTCTACTAGATACCACCAATAAGAAGTTACAACCTAACAAACAAATACAGAATTCTACACACACTTTTATTTCATCAACCTATAACTAAAAATTCTCTACAATTATCGTTACACTCGATTTTGAAAATTTAGTATGCTTGAGACAAATTTTTCATATGTTCGTGTTTATTCTGATAATCGTAGCTTTATTGAAATAAGATGAACTCTTATTTTCATCTACTACTATATTTATAGTTCAACATCAATATCAAATAATATATCATCGACAAATTCATTACATGTATCCAGTGATCAAACATTGAGAGATCTATATTCGAACACTCGTGGTTCTGTGTCATCTCCACGAAAACTCTATTTTAGACGAGTAAGAAGGAAATAGTGTTAAATGTTATTTTTTCAAATTTTCCTTTGATATTCTAGTTACCCTTTAATTATATGGAACTTGAAAATCGTCGTCCGCTACGTTTATTTTTTACTAATCCTGCGAAAAAAGACGAACAACGCGAAGTACAACTTTATGTTAAAAAAACTTCGACTGTCGCTGAATTTATCGATGAAGTTAAACAATGGATCCCTAGTGTTTGCTCAGAGAATGGCAGTCAAAAATTAAGGTAAATCATCAATTAGAACCTATCGGAATTCAGTGATAGATATCATATGATACATTCTCCACTGAATTATAAAAAAAAAGACTTTTGGTTCTGAAAACTAATTTGTACTTTTACTTGACAATAATACGTTTTTGGAAAATCATAGAAAAAATTCAATGATTTCCAAAAGTCACTGTTATTTGAATGGATTGAAAATTGATTATTTCTTGTTTACTTTAGATTAATTGAAGTGACATTATCGAGTCAATTAAATTCTCTTCCGTTTCATCTTCATATATGGTCCAATCGATCCTGTATGGATGAACTTGAAAATTGTTCAAACCGGTACTATCATTTAGAAGAAATATCTAATGATGAAATCGATCTTGAAAAAGATAGTGAACTGATACCTGTTGCACATTATACTAAAGTAGTTGATTTTCTTATATGCATATAAAATCAATACTTAACATTTTTATTTAGGAAAATATGATTCAAATAAATATTCAAAAATTTTTTCCATTTCTACTCAAAGTGATACATGTAAGATTAATATCGTTTATGTCTAATAAAAATAAAAAATTCATCAAATTAATATTTTTAGAACGAATCATTTGGTGATGTTAAACAACGGTTACAAACAAAAATGGGCCTTGTTAACAGAGAATTCGAAAAGGTTCGTTATTTCATAGTTCGAATTGTTTACCTTGTAGAAATTAACAATTGTAATAGTAACCAACCTACAGTTTGCAGTCATCGAAAAAGAAATACTGCAAATGTGTTTTTGTCCGATAATTTATGAGACCAAACTATTTTAAAACTTGTGATTTCTACTATCAGAAATATAGAAAGTTTTGTCTTATACACTATCTGATGTGTTTTGCACTCACGTACTGAATCATGCATATTACAGGATTCGAGATCCTAACAAATTGAGGCATGCAGCCAAAAAAATTGATATCTCGAATCACCGACAAATCAGCATCTCGGATGCCCCCAATTGAAACATACGTTGAACAATCACTCAATCGAAACAATACGAAAATCGACTGCGTTACACATTTTAGTTTCACTAAATGTAAACTAATCATTTTCGTTTTTTAGTATCGGTTTTCAATATTTAATGGTAGTAAAGTAATATCGCGTTGTGATGATAATATGGGAAAGATTAATGTAAATGAATTGAAATTAGTACAAAGTAATATCACATGCATTGTTCTATGGTTTTTCTTTGAAATAAATTTTTTACTGTATATTTTAGGTATATGTTGGCTTGGTTTAGAATTACCATCGATATCAAATCCACGGAAGACTCGAAAATCTCTTTTTTCTGAAAAACCGATTCGAATAAACTAGTCGTGTAAAATTCATTGTCTCCTTACTTTGTTTTTTTAGACAAATTATTTCTTCATGATATAGTTCAACCAATGTCAACTGTCTTGTTTTCTTTTTCTTTTCTAAAATATGTTTCTGTCGATTGACAAAATTTTTTTTGTTACACTTCTCTGTCTCTCTATTCCTTTCTATTTATAAAACAGCGAATGCTCTCACTATCTTTGTTTCTTTTTTGGCCATTGTGCAAATCAATGTATAAATCGTGTATGAGATGCAAACATTACAATAAAATTTATCCTTCTTTCTTGTTAGACACATACATAAGGGATTTTGACTAAATCGTAATGCGTTTCGCGTCTGTTTTTTTTCCCTTTTGGTTTTGTGATTTTTCTTTACTTTATGTGTACGTATGTGTATGAGTGTGGTTCGATCATATTTTGTTGTCTATAAAAAAAAAACATAATGAACGGACTCAAGTCCTGCTAATAGAAGATAAGAAATAAAATAAAGAATCTGAGAGACTCTGAATGGTCATCTCTATTGAATGGTATTATGATTGTCTAGACCATGGTTTATTCGACTCGAGTATATGAGCCATAGATAGTATTGCATCGCAGTTATCACCATAAGGTTCACTAAGTCTTGAAGCTAGCGGTGGATTGAGTGTTATATCATCTGGTGTAGTTTCATTATCATCATCGTTTTCAGATTCTTCGTCTAAACCAAGTAAAAAATGTACATGATTTTTTCCAGTTGCCAATTTGAGAAATGGTTCATTTTCATCCGGATTATTAATACTCTTGTTTAATGGTATTGATGGTTCGTTGAGAACAATAGCTGGAGATGATATAATGCGTTTTTTAAGTATATTCTTTTCCGGATATACATGGCCATTCGTTCTAATATGTTTTTGGTCAGCTATTGTATCGCTCAAATTCAAAGATTGCCGTACAAGACTGACTGATGATAGTGTCGAACGGAGTTTTTGTGCTTTATTTACTAAATGCTGATGAAGAATATGTGCTAGACGACGTTTTTTTATAGAAAATAAAGTTTGCAAAATAACAAGAAATCCAATAATTATTGAATACTGTGTTAAAATAAATATAACACCACGTTCTGGAGCTTTTGAATGATCATGCAATAAATCTTGACATATAAATAGATCTGGCATTTGTATTGATACATTTGATTGATAATAATATATACATATAGAATATGTTTCCTTTGGATTTAATCGACGTAATATTAATTTATTCGAATAGAATTCACCAATACTTGGTGGTGGTGGTTTTATCATTAATGGTTCGATTGGAAGGACTTTTTTCATATCTGTTTTGTATTGTCGTATAGTAAAACGAAAATATTTTAACAAAAAAATTGATTGAATTGTACGTGATGGAACAGAAAGCATAGTTGGATATAGTTTTACTCTATTATCATTAAGATAAGACTTTCGTTTTTCATTTATTGACTCGGATAATGAAAATAGAGAAAATACTGCATGAACAGTTTCTTTATCAGTAAATGTCCAGTTAGCTTCATACTGCGGTCCCGAATGAAATTCTTCTGTTTTTATATCTGATGCTTGATGTAGCTTGTCGGCATAAGCATTATCATATATTGGCGCCGCTGCATCATTTGTAGTTTCATTTTCAGGTATTATTGACGATGAATTGCTTGGCGGTACGATGGTTTCCGTAGCGTTTTCAATAAAAGTCTGATAAATTACAAAATTAATCATATTTTATTATTTAGTTCTGCTGCTTACTTGTTCAAAAGAAGAATTTATCTGATTGACATTGAGCACTGAAGCTGTTGTTACCAACCGTTCTATAACATTGCCTTTTATTATTGATGCGAACAATAGAAATAATAAACACTTTCTAATACACATCTTTATCATATCTATGTATTAAATAGGAGTTTTCCTTCAGTTCGCCAATAAATACAAACAAGTCTTAGCCGGTCAATTTCCAACCGATGGTTCAATGCGGCCTATCTTACAAAATGTTGATAGATTTGTATCGAGTGGACAGTGAAAAAGAAATAAGAGTGAAGCGACAAGGGGGAGATACAACGAATGGGATAAAAAGAAATGAGAAAGAATGAATGTGCTCGCTGTGAGATACAGTAAGAGAAAAAAAGAGAAGAAATAGTTTATGTGAAGATGCACGCATCAATACAATGACACAGAGTACGTGTCTCCATTCGGAATACAAGCAAGGGCAAAGCGAGCGATGGAGAATATTCAGTGGTTCGATTTTCAAATATAACGAGGACAACAAATGTCATTTAGTAAACTATGTGGCCAATAGTGTTTCATTGTATTTGAGCAATTCTTTTCTTAATATTCTATCATACAATACGCAGTTGATTTCATTCAAAACAGTATTATTCACCAAATTAAAAACTTGAGTTAGTTACATTTACAAAAATTTCACATGCTATATTTACATGAAGCTGTTTTCATCGAGTTGTCTGAAAAACAAAACATCGTCTCCATATTATTGTTATAATAATATATTCGATAATGTGATTTAATTTATTTTCAAATGTAAAAATTCTATCATCAATTATTTTTCGAAAATTTTATATTCATTAAAAGATATTTTTCTCAAGTTTATTCGCTTAGAATCTTCTTTAGTTTTAAGTTAGTTCTTTTTAACAAAATAAACTATATATATATATATAGGTAAAATAATGAATAATGATTATTTTCCAAGGGGGAAAAAGCTGATTCTATGATTCCAGTAATATAAAATCAATTGTTTTCTCTTTGATTTTTTTATGACTAAACAAAAACCAATGTCAGATTCGTGCTCAGAATGAAAAACTAATTGTAATCAAGAAGAAAACAGCTGAATCCAGGACATTGAAATCAATGGAATCACCAGGATCATATGGAATCAGTAGAATCATCCAGGAATCACTAGAACTCACTGAAGAATCTCAGTGATTCCGAGTGATTCGATTGATTCCAATGATTTTATCACCACTGAATCAGCTTTCCTCCTCTTGTTATTTTCACTATAATACATCGCATGCAAGAAAAACAAAAGAATATATTCCTTCAAGAGCATAATCTATCATTCTCGACTGTTTCTTTTCATTTGATAGACGCGCCCATATTCTAAATATAGGCTGCTCACACCAAATAAATAATAAAAACTATGAAGATATTTTTGTTATTTTTGAAATTTCTTTTCTCTAATGAAAGAATCCTCTGCACAAAACAACAATGCATTATATTCATCAGCACACTCTAGAGAATCGCATGTAATTGGGCGATCTAAGATAATTAACAATTATAACAATGAAATGTCATATTTATCATATAATTCTCCAACTTTGAATATGATTCGTTCTATTGTTGAGGAATTATATCAAATACATAATGAAGAAAATCGATCGACAAATGAACCGAAAGAAAGACGTGCTCATTTTACTCTCAAACATGAAATAGATAAAACTAAATTAAATATTTCAAATGAATTAGAATTGACTGAATCGTCAATTGAAAATACTTCAGAAAAACAAAAATCATCTATTAGATATCAACCAATTTTATCTGACTCTACAGCTATTGTCTGTTGCTTAAATAAGGGTCGATCAAAAATTGATCGTTGTGTATCAACAGACGATCGTTGTACTCTTCAATGTGAATGTGCTACACAAACGATGAATGTCACAAACTTACCAGAACACAATCATTCACTAATGACCTTATTAACAGGCAATCGTGATGGTCAAACAAGTAACGATTCTCCGCAATCGAGAAGTCATATCACGTTATCGACAATGTCGATTTCTTCTAAGTAAAAACAATCTATCATGAGATGATTGCATGAGTGAATCCTTGTTTTCTTCAACATTTTAATAATCCAACATTCTAATAGGTTTCATGATAAGCTTATTTTTTCCGTTTATGGCATCGTTTTTTCGATGACATACATCAATTATTTGAATTCCAGTAATTATATCGTATTTGATAGAAAATTACGGTTAATCAAAAGAAAAAAAAATGTTCACATTATGAAAAAGAACCATTCTAGTGTTCGATAAAGTTTTCTACTTTCTTGATTAAAAAAAGGATTTGCAATCTATATTGAACTTTCTTTAAGTATTTTCCATATAGTATAGCTTACTTATAGATCAACAGACAGCGATCATCCTTCTTCATGGCCAACATTAAATCATGAGAACTTCTTAAAGGCTTCAGTTCATCCTTGTGAAAATGATAATGTAGTACCATCATTGAATATAGCACATCAACTAAGGATACCAACTCAAGCAAAAATCTATGATCTATGTCAAGAACAAACATTAGACAATTATGATACATTCGTGGATCTTAATATGAACATTTTCAATTGTTCATCCCAATTGAATGATCTTGATATATTATCGAGATCTAATAAAAGATTTTCAGATGAAAATATGACAAAGACAAATTTAAAATATTGTACATGTTCGAAACAAAGTTTACCTGAGAATGATTTCTCGATGTTAAAATTCACTTTACCGCATCAGGATAAATCACTTAAAGAACTTCATGTATCGAAACGTTCTCTTCAATTAATGCATAACGATAATCTCTTCTATGTTCGTGATCTTGTGTTAGTTTTTCGAAGAAATATTTCTCAATTTTATGAAATTCTTCTAAAACGCTATTATTTATCAAAAACACAAGCCAAATTATTGGTAAAAATTATGAATAACTGGTGGAAAAAACATCAAACAAAATTTATTGCGTTACATGAAAAATGATAAAACCGTAATATTAAATATTGACAATCAAATTCTTGTTGATATCCTCTCTCAATCATCAAATTGTAATAATATTCAATTAACTACGATTAATAGAAATTATCAATCTTTTCAATTAATAATCAATTGGCGTACACGAATAATATTTATTTCTGATAACAGACATAAATGTTGATTTCGTTAGTTTCTACGAGTTTTGGCCAAGAACAAAATGTATATAACAATATCAAATTATGAATAATACACTTTTGCAACAATAGAAGTCAATTAGAAACTAGTATAATATTATAGTACGAGACGATTCAGAAATCTATTGCCAAAGAAAAGACAATTCACACAAATGTAACTAAAAACTATCGGATCTAGTTTGAAAGACGACTCGTTAGTTTCTTAAAATAATACGAATTAAAATCGGTGATGAAGTATATTTTGACAAGTAGAGTAACTGATTAGAGCACTGGTCTATTTTGAATCAAACTTATATCATTTTTGAAAAACGATTATTCGATTAGCACTGAAGAATAATCAGAAGTGTAAATACATAGTTGGCCTGTACGTGTGAGAATTTGTTTTTTCTCACAGTTGGATTTCATTACTCGACAGTGAGCTGAACAAATTGAGAAGTCTTATCAAAAACAAATCTTATGCTGAGCGAATCAGAATGCAGAATATTTGTTAAGTGTTTAGGCATCGATCAATTTTTCTATTTATTTAGGCAACGCCTTTTTTATGTGTTTTTTTTTCGGGAGATTTTTGTACTGAGTGACATTCGAATATTTTCTTTTCTACATCGACACTCAACAATAAACTACATATAATTGCAATTAAAAATACAGTTGTTGACAACAAAAGAATGAAAACAAAGAATCTAACAACGTTAGACATTATATTGTTACCATTGTCAGATATGATTTGACTCTCGTTGATATGATGACTCAAATTTGGTAATGTTCAATATTTCATCTCATACTTGGTTTATTTTTCTTGAGTTCCTTCAAAATGACATGTTTCCTTTCTCTTCACCAAGACGAAAAAAATTCTCATAATTTGCACTTGTAAAAGAAAAATTGATAATGGGAATACATGGACAATTTCTACATAACTCAACAGTTTTGAGTTTTCTGCTGTGAACAAAATTCTTTCAGTACGCTTAGGAATAAAATTAAAATGTTTACCTTCAATCATCCCATTAAATATTATCAGACGAACAAAATATTGTTATATTAAATCAGATTTTAACTAGAAATTCTTTCATTCTCGAGCTTACAAGACTGAAAACATAGATGAAGAACACAAGGAGCTGCTACTCTCTTCGCCGAGTTTCACTTTATCTCGAATCAGTTGTTACAACACAGTAAGTTAGCTATCATGAATATTAAAATACTTAGAATTTACATAGATTTTATAGAATTGCCTTAAAAAAGCATCTCTCTACATTTAGAAGAAGAAAAGACTCATCTGTGAATTAAACTTAAATGAATAGGGTCGTACAGTCCATTATCTTCGGTTCATTGACTTTTGTGCTTTAGCATCATTATATTTTCAAAATATTCGTACTTATTCATTTGACGCAGATATTCATTCATGAATCAGATAAGGAGTGTTTGTACTCTTTGAATTAAATCCTGGATCAATTGAAAACCAGTGAAAAAATGCTCAAATCATTTATCCTATGTATACTTTAATAAAGAAAAAAGAAAAAAAAACAAACATTACAAAGCAATGAGTCGACAGTTATTCGAAAGATTACACATATTGCTTGATGTATACAGAAAAAAAAGTCATGGCGATGGGAAACTCTTTTCAATTGATATTCAAGTTGTAAAGTACTAGATAATAGTCAGCCATAGGGATCAACTGGTTGACACAATAATTAAGACAAACATCAAACTAGAATTGAAGGGTTTTTCACTAACACTGATTGGTCTTTATACGTGTAAAAATACTTCTCATATGAAAACTATCTTAAAAGAAAATATTCATAAATATGTACAAAGAAATATTCTCTAGTACAAAAAATCTTCAATTTTTTTATTGTGTGCTGTAGTTTTGATGGTAAAGTCTTTTTGTTTGATTATAATATCTGATCACTTTCTGTAGCAAAATATAAAATATATTTTGTTCGAAAGGCTTGAATTTGTAGTTTTTTTTTTTTGTTGAAAGTATCTTTTTTTTTGTTACAGGAGCGACAGTTATTAATAAACTAGTGCTTTGAATTTATTTGCACTTAAACAAAACATTTTACACTACTATTGTGAATCAGTCGTTTTTGCCATTTGTAAAGGTGTTGGTGGACTCGATGAGTCTTCCATCGTTGTTAAAGGTAAAGTCTTTTTTCTTCGCGATTCATGAACAAGTAGCATTTGTTTAATATCATCAATAGTTGTTGATTTAACTAATTTCTGACTTGATAATTGACGGGAAATACTTGATGAATGGGATGTTGAATGTAACGATAGATTATTTAAACGATGTTCTTCATCTTGATCAACGTAAACTGTTGAACGCACAAACCAATGTGGTAATGGTTTCGGTTCGTATGATACTTTTTTATTAGCTAATTTCATTTTTGTTGATACTGGTTGTGATGCAACTTCAGCTGTTGTTTGAGCTATTTTCGTTGGTTTCTTGCCTGGCTTACCAGGACCACGTGATGACGATATAGTTGAATCTGTATTACTTGTTTCATCAATTTCCATATGTGAGTACTGATCATCATCGTCTTTTTCAATAACTATCTGTATATCATGATTGAGTGCTGTTGTACGATCAAATACATTCGATGCATGTGAACGATGAGCATTTGATGATATGACTTCTTTATTAATTTGATGATTCAATAATGAAGAATTTCCATTCTGTTGAAAAACATCTTGATCAGAAGAATTTTTCATTTGTTGATCGCTAGTCATGATTCTATCGATGTCTTCAAGAATTTCGAATAATGACTGCATTTCTTCATTAAATAAACTCATGTTAGCTGTTGGTCTATTTGTTGTTGTTGTTTCTTTTGTTTCAACATCTTCATGTACAATACCAGCACACATTAAACATACTAATGCGTTTTGTGTTACATCATATAATTTTCCAATATCTAATTCAGTATATTCTTTTAAACATTGTTCACATTTATAATTCGATTGTCTATATGTTTGTTGTCGCTCTAAATTTTCTACATAAGTTTGCATATTAATTAAACGGTATTTAACAACGTTAATAAATGCTGTTGTATCAATTTTATAATAGTATTGATCTTGATTGCGTCGACCCGATGTACCATCATTAGATTCGAGACGATGATCTTCGATTATAAATTTATCCCGTTTAAATTCTTGAATATAGGAACGAACTTGCTTTGGATCTAAACATAAACGATCAGCTAAATCTTGTTGTCGAATTCGTTCATGATGATAAATATATTCGATAACAAGAGATTTTGGAATATCATAAAATGTTCGCATTATACAACGAATTAATGCTTTGAGTGTTGCTCGTGGATCGTTTTTTTCATATTTTGGAAGAGTTACTCTATTGGATGAGGATGTTATGGTATTTGCGGTTGAAGCATTGGATTGTGGATTAGGAGGTCGTGTTGGTGGAGGAAGAGAAGAATTAAGATTTGTAAATGAACCACCACCAGCTGTAATCGACGCCATGTCGTTTTTGATTGAACTTATATCGGCAAAGACCATAATCGAGAGAAGAAAATTGTGGTTGAATCTATTGTTGATAGAAGAAAAAAAAACAAGAGTCATTTCTATCTTGCTTTATTTTTAAGGATCAAACGTTTATTTCTGATTGAAGATTCTCAATCTATAAAAGATGGAAAGTGTGCATATAATGTATCCATATTCACTGAGCGCTTATGAATGTAACTTTAAAGAAGATATACGCTTATCTATACTTTCAAAATTATCATAGACGGAAAAAAGTCAAGATTTTGAAAATTGTTTCTTAGTTTAATAATTTCGTTTTCAATAATAAAACTCAGATTGTCAATATTTTAATAGAAAACAGTGGACTCCATTTGATTCTAAAATGCATTCCTTTTAACAAATTCTTTATTTGACTCTTCTTATTTATTTCAAATGACATAAGTAATCTACGTTTCTAACGAGAAAATATTACTTAAAGCTCGTGCATCATACGACTTGATATTATGGATTTCCATGGATGTTTGCAAAATTTAAAAAGACAAGATGTTCAAGGCATTCAGTCTATGATCCACTAATTAAGAGTTTAGTTTATTCAATAGAATTGTTTAGTAAGAGTGAAAGATTGTCGTAATTATTCAACTGTGCGTAGTCAGAACTAGTCTTCACGAAAATTTGTTCAACGCTTCAAATAAAATGAACATATGCTTCTCGTAATAATCCCAGAGTCATCAGATCTTGAATATCAACAGGTGCAAGTTATTCTGAAACTCATCGGGACCTACTTGTGTATATTATATTAGGTTGAATGATATCTGATGATTATCGATACTCCCTCGTAAGCTTTTTATTTGAATCATATCGAAAAGAAAACTCAATTATTAAAATCCATCACAACGATTTATTTTCTTGCACAAGTCAAATTTATTAATAGATCTGAATACGTGTCAGAAGCTAGAAAGAATAAATATGATACAAATGCTCATAGTATCATCCATATATACGCAAAGCTTATTGTTCATGAATTTTCACAAACAATTCTAGAATTCAATTGTTAAACTCACAATAGATAGCAAACTATTTAGTTTAATATTTTATTACTCCAAAACGATATGAGATGATCGCTAGACAAAATAGGATTTGAAATACTAAACATTTTCTATACATTTAAGATAGAATCCACTTTAAAGAATAATATCTTTCAATTAGTCAAAAAAATAAATGAAATGGCCAATCAATTCGTTACTTATACAATCATCAATTAAAGTTTACGAACGCTTACATGAATAGAAGTTATCGAAATACAAAACAAAATCCTTCAGTTTGAAAAAGTTCTAACGCTTCATATGAGTTTGAATAATCAACTCTTACGTTCGTGCAACAGAATAGATGTGACTCGTATCTGCAGTGGTTACCTTTCATTTATCTAGAGAAAATGAGTCACTATGCATTTATTGACAGAAATAAACGAAAAGCGTGGGAAGGATATATTTCCAAGACGATAATAAATGAAAATTGGGAAAAAATGACGCCTATGACGTAGATAAGAATAATAAAGGTGGCTTTAAAATGCGAGAATTAGGAAAGTTATTTTATAAATGAAAATGAAGAATTATTGGCATTAGAAAGAAGTCAAATACAATCGACTCTATTTTTTTTTCTTAAACACAATCTATTTAAAAACTGTTCATGAGGTAATTTTTGTTCAGATATTATAAATTATTATAATCATCAACCGCTAAATCTACTTTGTTAATAAAATAATTCAGTATACGACTTCTTTATATTTGTAATAAATCTTTTTTTTATTGCTGTACTTAGTTCTGTAGTCCTAATTTTAATTCGAATTTATAAAAAAAAAAAACAAGTCATATTTCTTTTCCCCATAATTTTTCTACTGACGATTCAACTTTAACGACCATTTCATCTATTCTACTGACTATGCAGTAAATCTACACATAGAACTTTGTCTCTTCTACTTATCCATATAAACATAAATAAAAAGTAGTCAGAAAAAAAATCGTTAGATCGATTTGAAAATATTCATGAACAAAACGTTTCATAAGTCTAGTTTTCCCAAACTTCAAATAGCTTTCATACTATTTTCTGCTGCCATACGACCGCCATCAGACTATTCTGTTTTTCATTTTGAACACAATACAGAAGTTAGATTTTAGCGTAAACAGAATTCTTCAATAACAATCAATTTTATCGTACTCAGTCTGAAAGTGATATAGATGAGTTGATATAACGATGTAGTGGGTTTTTTGGTTTGATAGAACATTGAATGATTTACTGTATTATTCCAATAACATGACGAAAAACACACGCCGATATTGAACGAATCGAAGAAAATAGATTAATAATCAGTTAAGTTTTTATTTATTTAATTTACTCTTCTATCTAAAAAAACAAACAGCAGGTATTTATTGTATTGATTAATAAATATAAAGAACAAAGATAATATCTTCTTGCAAGAAAACTATCCGTGTGCATATCTTTACATTAATCTATTAAGCAAAATTTTGTTGATAATTTAGAAGCTCAGTCTATTGATACGTCTCTGTGCCACAAAACATATGACAAGAGTACAGGTCGAATTGCGTTTATATACCTATTGGTGGAGGATAGATTGCATTACTGTCAATCAAAATAAAAGTCATTGTTAGTGGGATAAAAAATAATTCGAATTATTGCTTTTAATTGATTCTTTTCTTTGTAAATAAATGAATTGTTGAATTATATGAATATAAAAAACAATCATCATAGTTTCGCTACAATCGATGGCTACATAAGACAAAAAAACGATATGGTTGGAAATTCGTCTTTCATCATTCATTTCAATAGCATATTATCAAATTTATTTTCTTTCATATATTTTTTAAATTTTATTCACATCAAGATTATTATTTTAGAATTGCTAAATATATTGTCAATAAACGTCTCTGTTATCTCGCGGTGTGTGTGTGTGCGTGTGTTCAACGTCATTTCTCTCAATTTAATTTAAGAAAACTTTAGAGTGTGCGTGTGTGTGTGTATCTTTGGTGAATAGTTCAGATTTATTTTCTTGTTCTAATCTATTGATAATGTCATCAACGCGAACAGCTCCACGAACAACATCAAATAGTAAAACAACATCTTTGAATACTCATACAAATGGTGCCGGTAATTCATATGATATGAATGAATCAACGTCAAATTTGAATTACCCCGCTGGCAATAATCCAGAGTACGAACAAATTTTAGAATAAATTTTGTTATTCATAATAATAATTTACATGATTTAGATTCGATTCAAATCTACAACGATCATCGTTAAAAAGAAATGTATCGCAAGTAAATGATGTCATGCTTTGCTTTAATCAAAAATAAGATTTTTTTTCATATTTTTATTTAGTATGAGGGTATCTATCGAAATGCTCGATTTATTCATGCAATAAGTAGTGGGCTAATGGTAATTTTTCTTACCGTTTCTTTTTAATACGATGAAGTCACTCAGAACACACGAGATCCATTTGATTAGTTATAATAATAAGAGTGATTATTTCAATAAAATATTAAAATACTTGTTTTGTGAATAGATCATACCAAATCGATTTGCTTTATTTTGTTTACAGAGAAATACACAGTCGCGCATTTTACTTTTGTGAGAGTCACACAAATATAAGACTTCAGAATAGTGAATAGAAACTTACACAAACTGTTCATTGCACTGTAATAGCCTATAATAGCAGTTAATATAGATATTTAGGTTTTACGCTTAACTGTATATTTAAAATAAATTAATATTTTGTTTATTCAATTTTAGGGTCAACCAGTAGTTATTCAAACAAGTGATCATGAACGATTTCATGGTGTACTCGAAACACTTTCACCTAATGGCGATGTCGTTTTAACTGTTTCACATCGATTAGATAATAATAACAGTAATGATCTAGTAGCTTCATCAACCGTACCAATTGATCTTATTGATACAATCGATAGTTCATCGCAAACATTTGAATTACATAAACGAATTATTAAAGTTCAGCACATTGTTGAGATCATAGCTGCCGATGTTGATCTCTCTACAAATGCAAAATGTATGTACAAATTTTGATATCTAATAAAAAATAATTTCCATCTTTTTAAACGTATAGGTTCACTTGAAGAGAATCCTAAAGCTACGCCTTTAGAAGATGATCGTTTTAGTCGTATGGAACATTTTTATGGTTCAGATGAAGTTGATCCAGAAACATTAGAAGATCTTGAAATAGGTGATGATGGAAAGGTAAGATCGAAAATGAAATTAATAATTTCGATTGATTTCGTTAATCTTTTAAAATAACAGGCCGGTTTCGATGCTGAGGATATGTTTCATACAAATAGAGAAAAATTTAATACAACAACTGATTTTGATGAAAGCAAATATACGTATGCTATTTGAATTGTTTGCTTTTTTTCTTTGATCGAATTTCATTTCAATATTTATCTAATAGAAATGTTCCTGTTCGTCAACTTTCTGCAACTGAATCAGCAGAAATTGATAAAAAAGTTCAAGAAATAGAAAAAGGAACACGAACGGAGGAAATTGATGAAGATGATGCCGGTAAATAGAAAAAAAAACACATTCAACTCACTATATTCACACTAAAGCATACTGTTGTTTTTCTAGGCGTCAAACGTCCAATTGAATCAAATAATAATCTCGATGATAAAAATAGTAATATAAAAACTAATCGCTCAAATCGCAATGAATTTCGCTATGATAATGACTATAATCCTTCGAAGTAATTTAGTTTTTATTTAAAACAAAAATAATCTATTTTCATTTACTTATTAGACGCGATAATTGGCGCGAACAACGTCATACTGGTAATAATAACAATCGTCGTGGTGGTGGTGGTGGTGGGAATAATTCCAAACAAAATCAATACGTACCAACAAATAATCGTCAACAATACAACCCTCGTATATCGCGTAATAATCGTTATGCTGACAATCGATCGCCACATCAAGGACGAGCTTCCCCGATACAAACAACAACTGAAGAATCAAGTCAACATCAACGAATAAATAGTGGCAGTTTTTCACATGGACAATCTTCGGGCCCAGAAAGTTCATCAGCAACAGTGTCTGCTCGTACTATTTATCCTAGTGCAAATCGAGCATCGAATAATCAAAATTCACCAGCAGCATACTCTGGTAGCCCATCATCACGTACGAATTCCATATCAACTACATCGCCATCATCAAATCAACAGCCAGGAACAAATAAAATGGCTAAGAAACCATCACTGAGTAAGAAGCATTAGTTTTCGTTATTGTATTCCAATTCGATTCTATTTTTTAAGATGAACAACAACCAACACATGATGAAACTGATCAACCAAAACAACAGCGCCCTTCAAATAATCAAACAAATACAACTCCATTGAATCGTCCATCAAATTTACAATCTAAACAACAAACATCTTCAACAAATAATATTATTCTACCATTGTCAGCACAGTCAAATCAAGATGACAATTCAACTAGTCATGATTTAACTCATACAAATCAATCTAGTACTACTGGAACAACGTATGCGTCTGGTTTCGTTTGAACAAAACGATGAATTTTCATATCAATGTTTTTATTTCTAGTACACCAAATTCAACTAGATCAAATGGTGCTTTAAATCCTGAAGCAGATGAATTCGTTCCTGTATTTTCAGTAAATTTCTTTTTTTTGTTTTCATTTCGTAATCAATACAAAAACAAACTCATTTTTTGTAGCATGAAAGCAATTCTCGGCCAGAATCACGTGGCACATCGACAACAAGCTCAACCTCAATCAATGCTTTTATTGCACATGCTCATCCACAAGCACTTCATCTTTTACAACAACAACAGCAACAGCATGCTCAATCTCAAGCGGCGCCCTCGATAATTCCAACAAATCATCCCCAAAATGCAGCAGCTTTATATCAACAATATTATCATGCAGGATTTCCTACTATGCCACAATTTATTAATACAACACCCCAACAAATGACAGTTGGAGTGATGAGTGCACCAATGATGCATTCACAACAATTGATTACGACTGGGTCAAATACGAATAATTCAAGTAATGGAAGTTCAAGCGGAATGACAACACCTAATAGCTCAGTTAGTGCTGGTCCAACTTATAAAATTAATAATAATCAAGCACAGAGTGGAGATAATGGTGCTAGCGGAGTAAATAATGTCGCCCCAAAAAAAGCTGTTGTTTCTGTTCAACGTGCAGAACAATCAAATACTCCTCAACAGTCAGTGCCTGGCGCTCCACAAATGATGTTTCCAGCTCAACCAATTCGATATTATTCACCGGATTATCTCACACAACGTATATATATATATTTTTTATTTTGTTATATTTATTTATTGTCTTTTTTGGTATTTGAATAGAAGGTACGCCAACATCTATGCAACTACAACAAGTTCCATTTTATTATCAAATGAATCCTTCAGGTCTCATTCAAGCAGCAGGAACTGTTGGCCAACCTCAGAATATTATGATTCCAACAACAAATACTTCAGCTGGATCAACTACACCAGGCATACCTCAAATGCATTACGCAGGACTTTATGCGGGTAAAGTAAAATGAAATAAAATATTTCTTTTTCTTTTATGTCTTATTTCTTTCTTTTTTTCTTTTCTAGATCCACGTATGTACAGTTTATATTCGTCAGCAGCAGGTGTACATCCTCATTGGCAATTAGCGCGCTCACCTCCTCAACAGCAGCAACAGTCAACAATTGATCAACCACGTGCCTATGGTAATGGGCAAAATGCAACACCTCAACAAGCTTCATCAACCAGTGCGACTAATACCACTGGTCGACCAGCATCAGCATCAGGTCAAACAAGTTCTGGCAGTAGTACTAGTGGCCATCCTATTACTCCACAATATACATTTAATGGTGCCATGCCCACTGCTTTTGCATATGGAACACCTGCTGGGTGGATACCTGCTCCACAACAAGTTCAGTCGCTTTCAGCAAATATGTCGCCACAAATGAATGCCGCATATAATATAATGTTTGATCCCTCTCAACAAATACAACAACAGCAACAAGCCGCATATTTACATCGAAGTCAATACGAGGCAGCTGGCTATTTTCCTCAACTATCGCAACCACAACCTCCCACACCAGCGCAACAACAACAACAACAGCAGCAGCAGCAACAACAACAACAACAACAACAGCAACAACCACCTTCCCAACCCGGCTTAGACACAGTATCGCAAGGCAATTATAATCGTTAAATATATTTCTCGTTTTTCTGTCTCTGACTATCTCGATATTTATGTATGTCTTTGTCTTTACTCTCTCTCGTTCGGATTCTTCTTTTTCTTCTCTCTCTTTTTTGTCGTGTGACACAGACATATAATTCTATGCATTTGAACGCCAAATTTTCTTCGGTTTGGTTATTCTTTATGTTTGTTTGTCTGTTTGTCTTATTTTCCTCATTAGCTCTTTTTTTTCCTTCTCATAAGTACGTTAAAGGCAAGTTACCGTTTCTTTTCTCTCTCTTGATTCATGCAGCAAAAACAATTGACGTCTAGACTAATAACTATTGACAGAAAGCGGTAAAGTTCAATAAATTATTTCTTCTATCTAACTGGTTTTTAGACAAGAAAATATAATTTTTCTTTTATCACTAATTATTTGCAAGTATAACATGAGTTTGAGAAAAAAAAAACTAAGATGATTAATATTCAATGTAGTGCCCATTTAAAAATAGTTTTCGTTGAAGTTCAGATAAATCATATTATGTTGTGCTCGACAAGAAAATTTATTAAAATACTTTTCAAGATACATCATTATTTTTTATTGATAAATCTGTTTAAAAATATGTGCTACCAATTTTCTCTTTAACAATCTTTAACAAATATATGTTTAATAAACTTGAACATAGGGACTCTGAATGCATTTTGTTTTGTCGTAAAAAATCATTGAATGGTTTTTAATTGTAAAATATGTATTAATTACGAAATGTTATTATGCTGTTGATAGAAAGGAGATTTTTTAATTTCACCTTTCCGTAGAGCTTTACGCGCATCATTTGCTGTTATAGCACATATGGCAGCACCTATTCCAGAACCTAGATAATATTCGTGTGACAGTTATTTTCAAAGAATCATGAGTCTACCATCAGCACTAATACGTAATTCATAATTGAGTAAAACTGGAGCAAGAATTTTCAGGTGCCGTTGAATAACCATATTGAAGCGAGGATGAAAACGATACAGACTACCATCAATGCCAATACAAATCTTTTTCATGTCAACTTTTCCATTTTCATGAAGTCTTTTCATCAAAACAGCTATCGCTGCCGCAGTGAGCATAGCTGCTCGTCTAAAATCGAGAAAATAGAAAGAACATCTTTGCCTATGAATTCATTGTGATTTCAAGCCTGGAGATTAGTCGACATGTATATGATATAATAGCACAATCAGCATTTGTTGCATATTCTAAACCTAATTTTTTTAAAACATTTCTTGTATTAGCAAATGTACGACCAGTATCGAGTTCAATTTCTGATATATGACTCGTTTGCAACATATAAAGTGCATGAAATGGTGCATAATAACGATACGATTGTTTATGGTCACGTTGAATTTTCAAAATAATACCTTGATTAATAAGAGCAGCTAAAACTTCAGCAGCTAAACGACCCATATACATTCCGGATATAAGTTTTTCAAATATATGTACGCCTGGATTATTTGACATTCTATCGATTTCTCTATCAAAATCTGTTATTAACATGTCTAGACAACCTTTTTCACCTAGTAAAACGAAAATTTTGGTCGACTAAAAGAAATAGATTTACAAGAATTGCAACTTTCTTGTTTCGTACGATTGACATGATAGTCTTATCCGACTGAGAACACAAATTCTAATTGATTTATTTCAATGATATTTTTATTATCTTTTGTATTGTCGAGTCTCTGAGTGCCCCATACTCATAGGAAACTCAAACTATTTATCTTACAAATCCACTGACCTACCACCAAGTTCATACTGTTCAATACATGAAAGAAAGAACTTGTGTGAAATTCGGTCGCACAAAAAGATGTTTCTCTCATTCTATTTCGACTAGTGCTCATCTGAAATACTACATAACAGAATTTGTTTTTTTTCCGACTATCGTCTAGATTGAATTTTTTTTATAGTGAGACTGACTGAAAATAGACTTTGCTTTTTCTATCATCGAACTCGTGTGCATTTCGGAAAGAGACACTATCTACATTGTGTCTGTTGACTCCGAATTAATAATCTCTTCTCTTTTACATCGAATTACAGTGTGCTGCAATCGCCGACTATTTTTGTCAATATATTTGTATTAAAATAAATCGTATCTTGACAAATATTTAGAAGAATGTTAACAAACTGTTCCTATCTGAAATAGACATCGAAAGCAATCGAAGTTTTATTCTTGAACCGTTTAGATACTATTTCAATTCAACTGTACTGAAAAGTTGCAATTCACTTATATATAAATACCGAGAGCACCCCATTCCGTATTAATAATCATGTCTGTTGCCTCTGACGAAAGAACTGATCGATCCTTGATAGTATGAATTTTATTGATATCTTCAAAATAGCAGGCATTTGTACCAGTACCTAATTATGAAGTAAAATATCAACATTACGTTTTGGTTAATCAGAAAACTTATTTACCAAGAATTACACCTACTCGACAAGTAGGCTCATGATAAGCTAAATAGAAGAGAGAAAAACAAAATTTGTATCTAATTTTTCTTTAATGATCAGTGTGTTCTACACAGAATTTCTGACGATTCTCAACATGAAAAGATCACCGTTTTTTGCACAAAGGAGTCATTTTTAGGAGAAATAAAACTATTCATTTCAGTTGATTTTGCGTTCAAAATAAGTTTACAAATTCAACAATCATCATATAAATAACTTACCGCAAGCCATCAGTGTTCCAACTGTATCATTAATTAATGCTGTTATTTTAACTTTTAACTGTTTCTGATAGATAACTCTTTGTAATTTTTCGACAACATCTTGTCCAATTAAATCTGATAAAATCCATCCTTTTGATGGTGTTAAAAATTTGCCCTTATTCAACGCTATCTGTTCACATGCAAAACTAAATGTAAAACCAAGTACATATTCTAGATTTAGATCAAGCTGATTTCGTATCATAAATTGTTTTAATACATCGACAATAAATTCGAATAAATCATTTCCAAGAATTTTTTTCGAATCCGGCACAATATGTGCTTCCGATATAACTTCAGATTCAGTATTTGGATTAAGTTTAACTAATAATGTTCGAAAATTTGTACCGCCAATATCAAGCGCTAATATTTCACCGTATTCATTTTTTGTTGGCAAATTTGTTACATATGTCGGTAACATTTTAAGATCACTATCAGTTTTTGTACTTGGATCAAGACCCATTTGGCAATGTTTTTCCATAGCTGTCATAACATGAGTGAGTGTTTCTACTGTTATATGAAAAGGACTTGTTATACGCATGAGTTCTTTGTAATCTTCCCAGGGAATCGTGTTTTCATTAGTATGAAGGATAGAAGTAATATTTTCTTCAAGAGGATCGTGAAGTAGACCGTCGAAATTTGAATCACGTGTCACAATTTGTTTGCCAGCCTGAGATACAAAACGAGAATTTTTTTGATTCTTATCGATTAAACTTGAATGAATGTGTTCTGATGGAGATGTTTTTGATCGTTGAAATAAATTATTGCAACAGCTCCCAAACCAAAAAGAAAGTTGACTACGATTATCCTCATCAGTCTCTTTCGACATCTTATTTTTAAAAAATCAATGAAAATAAAAGTAGTTTTTAAATTAAGGACGCGCATTAATTCAAAGAAATATTCAAACGAAGATGTTGACAATTGTTGAAATCTACTTTAGAAAAGCTTTTCTGACCTAAGCTTGTCTTCGTCGAACTCAACATATAGAGTCTTTTCGCTTCAGACCTATGATTCAAACAATAAACATGATAGATGTATCAATTAAAAAATTCGTTTAAACTCATGAAATGCAATTACAAATGCATAGAATCATTTTGAACTACAAGTTTCTAGAATATCTCTATATTAAATTAGTATAAGGTTTCAAATTTTCATCAAAATTTGTAAAATTCTCCAATGTAATTTAAAGTCTTTTTACGATTTTTATTAGAGCCATTCAGTCTTTTGGAAATGTCTTAGGTAATAAAATGAAAATAAATGTTCTTCAATCCTATATTTCAATGCAGTTGGCTAATAACGATCGTATACTTCTAACTCTCAAATCCATGCTACGATCAATTATATCTGATCCATTGATATGTTAAAAGAAATTTTACAAAATATACAAGTTGCATTAATCCAGTTTTTGTTCTGTTAGAATTAAACATTCTGAAAAAATGGAATATTTAATAAAACTCATAGTAGATAGTTAGATTTTATCATAGAAATTTTCTTCGATGTGTTTTGAAACAGCAAAATTTTATTAGATATTATTTAGAAGTAATTTTGGTTTTTTTTTGTATATCAAAACAAAACGACAGTAGATATATCAATGTAAAAATAGTCAAGTCAAGTCAATTCCATCGATCGATATTGTTTTATAAGACTAAGAAATATTGATAGAGCATTAGTGTCAGACGATTGACTTTTTAAATGTTCAATAATCTAAATAGAACAGAAAACAAACAGATTAAAATGATAAACATCAAAACAAACAAGCAAACCTGATCAGCATGCGAACAAGAATATTCAAAGAGATCATGAAAAATCGAATCATCCAATTCAAATTTTTTATCGATACCCTACGAAAAACAGAAGAAAAACTGATTTTAAAATATATTCGTTGTTTTGATATTTTACTATGTTTGTCGATGAATATTCCGATGATGAAGCTTTATCTTTTAAAGATTGCTCTAAATTTGAATAATGTAATCGAACACGTTGTATTTCATCAGCAAATAATAATGTACAATTCTGTATAGTAGAATTCGAATTCTTGCTATTCAACAATTCATTACATAATAAACATTCTTGTTCGGCTTGTTGACAACAAGCAATTTGAAAAATCATTGAAAGAATGCTTAATGAATTATTTAAACATTTATCAATTGATACATCCAATAAACAATCAATATTTTGAAAAATAAATGGAATAAAATGAGCATAGTATTGATGACAAACTGGTGAATATTGTTCCATTAATTCATTAAAGAATGTATCATTATGAATGAGATTTTTAAATAAAGTTTCAATTAAATTAATTAGTAATGAATTTATCATAGCTTTTGTTTCAAATAAACGAAATGTTTCATCATGATTATTATTATTTATTAATGATTGACCTAATTCACTATCGATTTCTTCGTATGTATGATTTAATAAATGAATATAATGTGTTCGATCATAGGATAACAATGTATCTATATTAGATAGCGGTGGTGATGTTAAATAATTGAACATTATTTTATCATTACATGTTGTTAATGAGCAATAATGACAAGATTTTTGAAAAGTATTTACTAAAAAGGTTCAAGAAATTAAATAATTTCAACAAAAAAAAAACAAAAAAACTGTTAGCGCAATCCCTTTGGGATTAAAAGTGTGAAACACGATGAAACTTCTTTTCTGGAATTCGTCTATTACTGTCACTGATGGTCTATGAAGCTTCTCTATTACAGTCTGTATTATGATGTATGGAGTCTCTAGAAACCATCACAGGCCGTGACCGAGAAGTTTCACAGACCATCACAGACAGTGACAGAGAATTCAGACACCATCACAGACAGGGACAGAGAATTCAGACACCATCACAGACAGGAACAGAAATACCTCAGAAGCCATCACAGACCGGGACAGAGAAATTAATTAATTAATTAATTTCTCTGTCCCTGTCTGTGGGGGAGGGGGTCCAAATTTCTACCCTATATACTTCAACACTCCTTTCAGATCGTGTTTCACAAAATTTGTACGCTATTAATTCACGATAGAATACAAAGGACTAGAATGGAAGGAATGTAAAGAGCTCCTTTCGATTCGATGAAATAAGTTAAGTTAAATTTTGCAATATTATAGTTCAGAAGATGAAACTCTTTGAGGTGAAGGAAAACCTTCGATGGATTTAATCAATTGAAGAAAGCAATAAATATAAAGTGGAAAGCTCTTGAAGTGCGAGATTTTAAATGCTTATATAGGCTCTATGGAGACTAAAACAATTGCTGAATATGCATCCTTCTTCGCCGGTAATAATGAATTACTTAATTCTTTGTAGTAGCAACTTCGTGTACGTTGAGTTTCGAATTTTGAAAAAGAAAATATTCTCAATAAAACTAGATTATTATAGAAGTGTTTAATTTCCTTGGATACTAAAAACTACAACTTTGCAGCATGAACAAGCAATCTTTATTCTGATATTCTCATCTCAAGATAGATAATGTCATTTCTAAATACGTACTCAAATTGAAACTATTGTCAGCATGATTCATTTGTTTTATTGATAAAACTAATTTAAGTTCATAGCCATCTGAATTAATTCCATAATGTTGTAAAGTATTTAATTTTTTTGCATTATGTATTTGTTCACTTGTATTATCAATATCATTTAATAACAGATTACAAGAATCACGATATGTATCATTGATTATCGTTGTTGAATATTTTATTGAACGACTATAAAGAACTTTAGTTAACATTGATTTTCTTGCCAGTGGTACACTTGATGATGCTGTGGATGATGATGATGATGAACTTGAACATGAATGATTTGTTAATAGATAAAGTTTTGATTCATTTATTGATATTGGATTCATTGAATTTAATTCGTAAAGAATTTTAGTTTTCACTTGACTTATTGTATCACATGTTAAACATGTTATATTTAACAATAATTCATTGGAATTTTTGTCATTATTGAAATCAATATGCACAGTCAATTGGATATTTTTAAATTGTATTGAATATTCTTGTAAAATAGTATCGATATTAAGTGAATAGTAAGAAATGGTTTGTTCGATAGCATCAATAGGTCCATTATAGAGTTTGAATTTTAATTGAGAATAAATTTGAGATAACAATGAATGAATTGGATTTATTAAAAATGTATCATATGATGTTAATATACAAATATTATAATAGATTAAAGGATGATTATATTTAAATAATTTTTTCAAATTATATCGTTGTGTTAAAATAAGATTGTTAAGAATATTTTTATTATTGGATTTAATTGAAAGTTTAAATAGAAAATCAATCAATTGTTCATTATTTCCAAGTAAAAATTTATATTGATCCATGGTTTCTTGTTTGAAATTAAATATTTTTTTATTAGAAGATAAATGATTATAATAATAGCATAATTGTAAATAATTTACATATGAACGAATACGAAATCCGGCTGATAATGAGTTCGTTATTAGATAAGGTGTTTCTTGTTGAACTCCGTGAGGAATTATACTATTCGTACAGAAATAGTTCTTACAAGATCTTCGTTGTGTAAAACGAATTTTTAAGGAAACAATCATAATAATAATCAAAACAATGAATACTATTGTAAATAAACATCCGCTTAGAACACCTGAAAGAAAAAAAGTAACAAGATTAGTTTTTCAAATCTTGTAAGTGAAAAAAGGAATTTCAATTAGCAAAGAAAAAAAGATGAACGCTTCGTTAGGTCTTCCATTGTTTCTAATATAAATATATGAATGTAGTCTTATAGTTCTTCCTAAGGTACTCTTATTCTTCTTAACGAGATCTACTGATGAGAACTCCCGAAATTAAGAGTTGTGTTAAACTTCTATATATTCCATTGTGGCTATAGATGTTTTTCAGAGAACTTCTATCAAAAAGTGGTCATGTGTCAAGTAAATGAAATGAAATTATTTGTTTTGATCGAGAATTGTTAAAAACAGAAAATAATCGTTACCGAGTATGATAAGTTTTTTTGGATAGATCATAAACCCAACATGCGCACGTATATTATCGATAGTAACGATAATTGATGGATGTTCTGAATTATAGCAAAGACGTTTTGCTTTCGAATATTTTTCTGGGCGATATCGTGGTGGTTGACAAATAATTTTATCGGCTTGAAGGTGAATAACAGTACATAGATCACAACCAATTTGTACAACAATATGATTTTTTGTGTGTCCCACAGAAGTAAGATTTATGCCTTGAATCGTTAGTTCACTTGCATATGGTTGTAACATAGGTTCAAGTTCATAAATCATTGGATCATCAATATAAATCAAAGATGATGTTTTATTAAAATTATCTAAATAGATTTTTATTTCAACTTTTTGTTGTTCATATAAGTTTAATTCTTCAATTGATGGTGTTAAAAATACTAGATGCGTATTATTTTGATATAAAGGTGAAACAAATATGAATTGTCTAAATTCTAATTGAATATTTTGTATGATATGAAAATTTTCACCAAGAACTATCACTTCATGACCACCACTGACAAAACTTCTATATTGACTATTTTTATCAAATCCATATAGAATTGGATTTGGAACAATAGTAAACATATATTTATATATTAACTTTGTTTGTCGATCAAACAAAATGTTGATTGTTTGATTTTCATTTAGCATCGAACGAGGAAATGATCTTGTTTCACATTCGATTTTCTTCGATGATATTGATAGTAATTGACATGAACGATTTCCAATAAAGACTGATAGATGACTATTGCCAATAATAAAATTTTCGCCAGAAATTGTTAAAACTGTACCACCACTTTGAATACCGATGAGTGGCTCAATGGAATTTATCTTTGGATTAATGTAAGAAATCGTTTCATGAGAAGAAATTTGTGGACCATGAAGACCAAACTTTAAACGAACCATACCGGCACGAAACGTTGATCCAGCATCACCTGATTGACATACGATTCTTAACATAAGAAATAAAATTAGAATGAGCTAATGACTTCACAATAGGATAGGTCTCTTCAAGATAACGATCAGGTCATAACCCAGCATTGAAAAGTTGAGCATAAGAAAAAAAGAATAAAGGTAAAGACTGTATGTAGAGGTGTCAACCGAAGGATTGAACGGCGGCGGCGGCGGTGGCGGGCAACAATTTTCAATTTTTGAAGATTTCCATCGACTCTTTATTTGAATGAGTAATGTCTTCAGCGGCAGCGCCGGCTGATATTAGCAAGCTCTTATGTGACAGCTGCGGCTGAGTTAAAAATTCACTGATGAGAATTAAAAGAAAAATATTCGATTCGATCGTATATGAATTGAAGTCAGCGGCGGCGGATGGCGCTATCAAAAATGTTTATCTCTTGCAGCGGGGCAACGGCTAAATTTGTTTTTCGCATCGGCAGCTCTCCAAAATTTCTTAAAACTATCAGTAATTTGGTGGCTGCAGCGGCTGACACCTCTAAGTGTATGAATTATTATTTACTATATAATGATTGATCCTGTGATCAATATAATAGCTATCGCTATTTTTTACATTGAGCACAGCAAACACTGTACGTAGTTAAAAATGAAATTCAATAAAAACTCTTCAACTCATAGTTTCAATATGTACAATAATTCGAACCTTAGTATTTACAAGAACTATCTGTGGATATCTAATTTCACTGATTTTCTCAATGTGTCTATTAAACTTACTTATTCGTCGAACTTTCTTGTTCAATCAATTGACAAGGTACATCTGCTATTTGAATCGATAAACCAAATAAATCAAAATATTTGCCTTTCATTGTCACTAATGTTCCACCATTCATTGGTAAAATTAATGGTTCAATGGTATGAATAATTGGCATTAAACATTCTGAATTAGTTGAACATGTTCGTGATTGATTTTTAAACATACACATATTATTACACCAAGTGCATTCATACGATGGATCAAGTTGTAAGCATGATGTACAATTTAATGCCATATGTTCACAATGATATAATGAAATAGGTGTGTGTGGTATCATAGATATGGTTTTATTTGAAAACTGAATTGATAGGTAAAGATTTAAAGGTCGATGAAATGATATTTGATTGAAATTTTTAGAATTCGACCATTGAAATGAACATATTAATAAACATAAATTATTTTCATTGACTGATCGAATTAATACTGGATTTGATTCAAACAATGAAAAACGTTTTCGATGATCATATAAATAACAAGAACTAATATTCACTGATTGATTGCATTGCTCAATATGAACAATAAATGTTTTATCAACATGATAAGCTAGACGATTTCTAGATTGTTGTAAATATATAAATGGACATTGCTGAGAATTTATAGAAAGAGACTGATTATCTGATAATAGAAATCGATCATTTTGTTGAAAAATACATTTAACTGTTTCGCGATTCCATAAACATAAATTTGAATATAATGCACATGATGAACATGACTTGACATTTGAACAATTTAAAAATATCAAACTAGACGACCCGAATGTTACATTTCTTTTTACGTGTTCAATTGATAAAACAACATTATAAATAGCTAAAACGTATTTAGTATATGCTTAACAATCACACAACCAGAAACTATAACTAACCTTGATTGATATTGTTTAATACAGGTGGAAAACATTTCACTATATTATGATTAAGACTTGCATTTGTACGATACAATTGTTCACCATTTTTAAAAGTAAATCGGCACATATATTCATCGGTATCACTTCGCAATGGAACATTGAACTTAACTTGTAACTAGAAATAATCAAAGGATGAGAAATACAAAGCTCATGTGAAAAAATGTGCTTACTTCAATGTTCAATAAGTTCAATGAAATTGTTTGTGGAATAACTTGCTCAATATATGCACACATATTAATACGATTGGTTCTCTGATTTTCATATTCACATTCAAATGTAGCTGTACATCTATTCGGACCAAAAATGATATGATATAATAACACGAAAAAGCTCAAGTTTTACCTGTTTTCTCTAGAACACCAATGACAACGTGGAATTGTTGAACATTCATTACATGTTGTATACTGTTCGCATGTACTTAAATTTTGTTTAATTATCTAAATCAAGAATGAAGAGAAAATCTTATAGCGTCGCGTTCACAGATGCTTTTATACATAAAACTTATATAAAAATAGTAAAATAACTGAGCACTTAAATCATCGAATTTTGTTTTGGAAAATTAAGTTATACAAGTTATTTTTCAGTTAAAAATTTATGTTTTCACTAGATTTTCAGTAGACGTCTTAGCAGAGCTTTTCTTTCATAAATCGATAATAGAATGTATATTTGAATTCATATTAGATTTACAAAGACTTCTTAGTGAAACTCGTTAAAGTTTAGAATGTCTTATCTTCACAAGTCTTCGGAATAGAATTATCATCATTTTAGTAAACTTTATACTAATGAATCCCTCGAGAATCCATACAAATCGGAATGATTCAATCGCTAGTAAATCGGAACGCTATTGTTATCAGTTTCATTAATCAAATGATATTTTAAAATTATATGATGTGAAAAATACACTGGAGACTAATATTTAAGCAAAATTGCTTACCAGATTCTCAGTCAATACGATAAGTTTAGCATCTTTCAATGTTGGTATTGTATTAATTAATTTTAAATCAACGATTATCTTTGATTGAAAACTCTGTTTATAAGTTTCATTTGTGTTCGATGTTTGAAACTAAGTAGAAAAGAAAACACAAAAAAATTTAACAAAAAAAATCAAAATAGTTTTACTGTATGTACGGTTCCATTATCATCTCCAATAAGAATAATCGTATCTTTTTCATTTGAACCTATTTCAATAGCTGTAAAATTTACTCGATCATAGAGTTCGATAATCGGTTCGATTTGTTCTATGGATCGATGGCCACCAATAGGATATTGAAAAAACCTATCATTTTCATCAGGACAATAGTCATGATTCATTTGATTTAAATTCTAAATAGAAATAAATATATTACAATCTTGAAAAAAAACCTGTTTCTAAGTCAACTTACGTTGCTTGGTATACAATGTGTATCTGGACTAATGAAATCTAAACCCCGATGACCTTTTCCATCAACAAGACAACGTTTTATTGTTTGAAAAAATGCTTCTTGTATAGTATCAATCGAATATGAACATATAGCATGCGATGTACTCGACGAATTAGCTGATGTCGTATTACGAAATAAGCCATATAAAATCTTTTTTTCGTTTGAAAATTTTGCTCTAACTAAATAATGATAATCTTTTCCACATGTTAAAGGTAATTCAACATAACTTTTAATAATTGGTTGTTTTAAAGTTTGGCAAAAGCGTAGAATTTTTGTCTGTAATTTATGTTTTCGTGTGTGATGAATATCTGATTGTTGAATAGTTAAAAAGTATGAAAAATGTTTATACTCAAATGCATACAAATAATAAAGAAAAAAGTCTCTTATTAATCGTATATTTAGTAAACGTAATGTATACGTTGATTGCTGTAATGCCGATTGACCAGAATTTAAATTAATTATGGATAAAAAATCATTATCAACGAGATGACGACCGCTTATTGTTGGAATTTCGTAAAATGGATCACATACGGAATCATATGTATTTGATATGTATAATATTTGATTATTTTTATTAATTAAACCAACGGATGGAAGAAACGGAGATGATGAAACAACACGTTGAGAAGAATTTTTCATAAAATCAAGATTAATTAATGATCGTAATTGACATGAACGACCACGATTTGATGTTGAACATATTAATATTGTTCCATTATTCGTCAATAGAAGTAATTGATTAAATGTGTTATTTATTGATGGAGTTAAATATGATGATGTAGAAAAATAATAAAGAGATTTTGATAAAGAACTTTTATTCTTAATTGAACAATCTTGATCTATTTTTGATGACGATAATGATGTATCAATATCCGATAGAATTGATAGATTGCTTCCATTTAACGAATATATATGATTAACAGATGCTAGAATAATAGTATCAGTTACATCATCATAAACGAAACGCTGTAATGAATTAGAGAATTGTAGGCTTATTGATATTGATAATTTAATTAGATAGAAAATAAGAATTAGAATTTTCATTATTGAATATATCAGACATACGATCTAAAGTAAAAAACAAAAAGAAGTAATTCATACTATTAGAATGTTGATACTGCTAGTTTGTATATCAGATGATATGTATAATCAAGCAAATGTGTGAAATGAATATCGAAAAAAAAACAATCAACTCTATTTTCATTCTCTCCCAGAAGATCAAACGTAGTACGTGGAAGACGAAGGTTATCGCATTCCTTGCTTTTTCACGGCCAAATTAATGAGCGGCAAACGTGTAGAAAATAAAACAAACGAGAAACATAAACGAGTCATTCAAGAAAGAGAGAGAGAAAGAAAGACCTAAGATAATACTTTATAGCTATCTCTTTGTTGTTGTTACTCGCGTATAATATACATACGATGGAACAGTATCAGTCGGTTAGAAACTAGGAGGTCAAGTCTAATTAGCTGAACGACACGATCGCACGATGAATAAAACAGACAGAAAAAATATGGTTTGCCTCTTTTATTAGACAAAGGGTAATAACAATTAACAAATAGAGGTGTCTCGACGCCTAATGTCATACGTGTCATCGGTAGTTAGTATCATTGGTAATATCTATATAAACACATGATCGCTGACACATTATTATCGTTGTCTGCATCATATGAATATACGATGTTCTTTTGTTTAATTTTTTTTCTTCTTATCATGATAATTTTCTTTTCATACTTTTAGAGAGAAACTATTAAAAAGAAAAAAAAGATTCAATTGTAAGAGTCAACAAAGAAGTTATTCGGTTGGAATTAAGATGCTTTACTTACCATAACAATGAATATAGTATGACACACATGACTGAAGTGTTTAAAAAGAAAGAGAAAAGAAAAACAAAATCCGGAAAACAGGCTTATATTTGAGACATGTCTCAATTACTCGGTGATGCACAGCTTTAAGTGATACTTACAAAACTAAGCACAATACCTGGGAATAAACAGATGACAGGAGGAAATCCGGCAATCTTTCGAGAAAGAAAGAAAGAGAGAGAGAGCGAGAACAAGTGTAACGATATAAACGAGAAAGACAATTGAATGTTCATTTTCAATGGGTAGACATTAAATGACAAGAAAAAATGTCTAATCGATTTCTGTTTCGCATTGTTATTTTTACTGATGGATATTGTATGTATTAGACCTTCACGTACATACCCCATTATGATGACATTTAAACAGCTAAGTTGAAAAGTCACATACGAACAAGGGTAGTGACTGTGAGATCTCTCACTTCATTTCTGACTCACATGCAAACAAGAAAATAAATCTATCGAAATACATTGCATTGTTGAAAAGATTATTATGAAGTTACTGAAGAAGATAGTCTAGTTCATTGGCCAAGCAGTACTATTGATTCATAGGTCATCGCCACTCTCATCTATTCTATAACTAACCGTCAATATTGCAATTATTCTATCTCTTGAACAACGAATGTCAATCAACTTGAGACAGAGAAGCAAAATGAAAAAGAAAACAAGAGAGAAGTCGGTTTGATGTCTTAAACTGTGTTTCACACATAAGTATGATAAAATCAAGCTGTCTGATGCGTTCACTGAGAATAAGTTGATTCCCCGATGGTAAAAAATTCAGACTGATGGTAGTGACGCAAAAGAGACAGAAGGCACATAACGTAATTTAAACAAGCAATTAGATTCGCTACACAACACACATTCTACAGCATGATTTCAAGTTATTATATATATATATATAAATATCGTTCTCTTGTGGTATAACATGTCTGTGACGAAAACATACAATCAACTTCTTAAGCATCAAACGAGCAGCCATGATGCTTATTTTTTTTTCACACATTCCACATGCGCACATATAAATATATATATATATATATATGAGTATATGTGTATGTATTGGGACATGAAACGTGCAAACTAAATGCTAGTAAGAAAATGAAAGGGTCAAAATCGTTTACTATCATTAATTTGATTCGGAAACATTGACATCCGATTAAAAGAAAAAAAAATGAAACAACCATAGAAATCAACCTCATAAAAGAGAGAAGATTGCTTCATCAAATGAACGGCGGCGACAACTGATACAGACTTCTATACTATAATTGTATTAGTTATTCTAATTCAACACTGTCTTTCTATAATTTATGCATGTGTGTGTCAATTTCGTTCATGATCAATTTGATTTATTCATTACAGTGTGTGTCTATCGGTTGACTAAAACTTGTGTACGTGCATACGCGTGCAATCTTGATCATTTTATGTCAAAAGCGAATCGTCAAGTGACTTTTAATATGCAACCATAACAAATTAGGTTTTATCGTTATGTTAAGAAAAAGAAAATCAATGAGTGTACACAAAAAAAGAATAATCAAGAAACTGTAGAAAGTATCAATGTATCTCTTCTTAGCATCTAGTTCTTCTTCTTTCTTTTACTATGAACGCAAATTACTTACGTAAACAATATTACTCTATTATTATCACTACTGTCAGCATGACGTTAGGCTACTTATAACGTATGATAATGAGAAGTGGTGGATTGCTGTGTCCCATTTACATGAAACTGACAACGAAGACAAAAGTGTTCTTTCATTGAAGATGATGTAATAATTTTAATTCATAATTTTTCTTTTGTATTTTCTGCTCAAGCAATAAAACAATCTACGGCATTGACAGAAATATCTTCATCGTTATTTGAATACATCTATATCGATCACATCTTATTTATTACATAATGCTTATTTTATTAAGAGTGCATATATACTCAACTAGTCATCGCCTCTTTATTATAACCGTATTAATCTTTTACATTGTATGTGCATGTATGTTGGCATTAGAAAAGAAGAGAAAAAGAATGATACATACTATCATTAAAATGTTAGCAACATGAACAATTTATCGAACATAAAATTTCTTCAAGGATAATGAAATGAATAAACAACAAAATGGTAAAACATAAAATGTTGAACTTACTCTTCACTGATTAAGTAGAATGGTAGTGGCTATCTGGCATCAGAGATGGAACAATAATGGTACACACGTACATCACTAGTAGTAGTAGTAGCAGTCATAGTGAGTTGTGACGCAAGATCCGAAGTGCCACAGGCGAGTAACAAAAAAAAATGGGAAATAGCTATCTCATATAACCATCAGATCAATCGATAATGGATTAAGCAACACAAATCAGGCTTATCGATGAAAACTACTAGTGAGTTACAAATAAATTACAGATATACATTGAAGATATAAAAAGTTATAAGATATAGATAGTATTTCTTTTGCTGAACAAATAATCGATTGTAATAAAAATAATACGGTCGTTCGCGACAAGAATGTTCAAGATAAGAAATAAAAATTGCATTTTGATTTTTATCATGAAAACATGTTCTTATAACGATACATTATTCTAAACATTTCTACTGTTCGCTCGACCGCCTTTAGTGTCCAAGAGGCAGTTCACATGCATCAATAATACTATGATGAAGATGATAATCATGGTATCCATATTACATTACAAGTTTATTCAACGAGATGACAGAACACTCGAGTGTTTACATACTGTGATACAACCATCTATAGAACTACTTTTTCTTTGCTTTTTTTAATCTACAAAATGAATCTAACTACTAAACCAACAACTATAAGTTGTATTTGATCACATCTCAGTCTGCGTGATGATTTTCAAATATTGCACAACATGTACACGATTTATACGGTTCATCAAACTAAGTAACAGACTGGAAACTTACTTGTTAAAACATACGAACAATTTTGATGGCATCATTGAAGAATACTAAGAAATTAATTATTATGTCTTGATTGACTGTTAATTACATATTGATGATAGTATGATGATAATGATGTTTCATTCTGAATGTGAATTTTTTTATAACAAAGTCACCATAGAATTTATTAAATTATTAAAATAGAAGTATTTTTCTCTTTGATAAGTATTTCACTGTTAAAACAAAAGATAATTGGTCAATATCGAATAGAAAATAGAACCATTTGACATTCTTTAAAATGACTTTTAGTAAGAATAAAAGAGACGAAAAAAGAACAAAGACGAGAAGCGTTAATGTTGATCAATTGACTGACTAGCCAGACAAGACGCAAAATTATAATTATTTGCACAAGACTGAAAAAGAAATTAGTTTACGTACAAAAAAATTCATCCTAAATAATGAAAGTGCTCGACTAATGTGTTCACACTCATATAGTGCTAATGACGATGATAATGACACAAGAACAAGATAAAGACGAAAGTAAAATAATTAGGTCAAATGGTTGACGCCGCAGGAGACCACATTCTCGTTGCTCCATCTGTGAACGTATTTCTATCGTAAATATAGCGACAATTCTAATTCTTACTAATGTATAATTTAAACATGTGTATGAGAGTATACGTATTAGTAAAAAAGAAAACGAGTGACAAGTATGACGCAAATAATAATTTAGAATCGGAAATCATACTGACAGTTGATGATGTAGAAACATGGCTACTATTATCTTTGTCCAGATCATATGGCCAGAGAGAGAGAGAGAGAGAGAAATGAATAGAATACCACACTATAGCTGTACCCGATCTACTATATACAACCTTTTGTCTTGAAACAGTGACTTGCTTAACATTATGATTCTAATATCTGATGATTCTTTTTTTTAAATATAGACTCAGTATTGATATTCGACTAAAATATTTCATTCAAACTAACTACTTATACTAGAAGTTATCGATGATAATGATGATTTCATGATTATAGTATAGTAATACAAATAATAAAAATGTAATTTAAACAAACGTTTATTTACTTTTTACTGTTTAGAAGTTCCAATTATAAGCACTCGATCAAGTCGATAATAGATCTCATTTGGAGATTGTACAATCTAGAAAGTTGATGGTCTGTAATTCAGGACAGAAGAAAAAATAAAGAAAGAAAAAAATAAGGAAGGAAAAATTGGTATGACCATTAATTATATCATTGCATGATTGTACAGTCAAGTGTAGTGCATCGTTTGGTCACGCAAGATGTTAGCAAGAAAATAGCGAAGATCAAAGTATCAAATAGGAGATCATTTAAAGAATACATAACTAATTTTGCAGTGTATTCGGTTGCCAGATGGTTCTTTAATGTTGTTCAACTAAGTTACAGAGTGAGAAGAACGAGAAGAAAAAAATTATTATTTATTTTTGATTGAACCACCCTCATGTATATGATATGATTGTATATCGTTTTGTGTTTGTACAATACTCATTGTCATACTCGACATATGAATAAACGATTTTTCTGTTTGCTATTGTTGTTATATCTGTTTTCAATTTAATTTTGCCTATCAATCCACTTAGGAAAAGAAAACGATAAGTTAAAATATAACGAATAGACACTAGTTCATGTGCTTTATCACATTGAACGTGTCGTTTCTTGTTCATGTCTTTTTTTTCTTTTGATGTATTACTCACTTGATCTAACTAATGAATTTCTACAAGATGATGAACTGTTTGTTGAACCGTGATCAACAATGACCTTGTGCCGCCAGTTAGGGTCATCTTTTTTCTTCTTCTTCTTCTTCTTCTTCTTCTTATGGGAATGTGCTGTAAAAAGCAATTAGTTCAATGATAATCATATATGAGGCCATGACTATTGTGCTTTCCGGCTAAAAGAATTTCAAGTGCTTCCTCAAGCCTAATTAGGTATATAAACAGATGCTGAATAGATCGGCATAGATTTCAAATGACATCCTCTAGATTTTAATTTATGCACTGATTTTTGTTTCTAGTGATTATTATCAAACAGATACGTGTTCATATTTGATCAATCAATGAAAACTTTAAAATAAATACGAATTCAGTTTAGTAGTAGAAAATTGATTTAGAGTTTTACTAGTCACTTTCTTAGTTTAAATCCAATAAATATGTATTTTTATTATATTTATTTTATATTATTATAATTATTTTGTTGAAATAACAAGCAAACACGAAAGAAAATGAAGAACCGAAAAGGTTCGGAAATGTAATGATAAGAGCGAACAATAAAACAATGCCACACATGCAGATGGACAGATAAGTATAATATTTCTATCTAACTGAGATAGTTCATTAGTTTTGAAATTCTTAAAGACAAAAAATTTAACGGACGGCTAATTTTTTTAAATAGATACTTTCACCAAAGAAAACAATAGATATATAAAGCAAACAACGCATAAAAGGAAAAAAAAACATGGAATGTAACTGAAAAGCAAAAGAAAAACGATTCGATTGTCGTCAGATCGATAAATATTTATATAAAAGGAAAAGAAAGAAAGAAAGGAATTCAGACCTTTTTGTTATCATCGCGGCTTATTCAAAAAGACTAGAAATTAAACGCACAGAGCTAAAGAAGATATTTACAAATTATAACGATAAGCGATGTTCACATAAGCATGTTTTTGTTGTTAAGACCGGTCTTATTCCATGTTGGAAAAAATGAGAGCAAAAAAAGAAGGAAACAGGATGTGCACCGGCGTCAACTTTAAAAAGAGCAAGTTCGTTGGTTTTATAATCGTTCATCTTCATAATCTCGATCTTTGATTCGTCCAGCTTTGATATCATCAATAGCAGCCCACAAATCAAAGATAAATTCATCAGTGAAATTAAATGCGCCAATTTCTGACTCATCAATAGCCATTGCAAAATCACTTGGATTCTTTTTATTTTGTGCAAAATCCCAAATCTGTTGAGCTAAAATAGTCAAAAATAAAAACACATTTATTTTTAAATTAGAAAATAATATCATTTTAGTATTATCATCATTGATTTGAGAACTTACCAAGATCAGAATCGTTGATACCCATAAATGTTTCAAGAAGACCATTAATACGATCAATAGCTTTAACCATAGTATCATCAACATCTTCCACACTTGCTCTACCATCCGCTTTAAATCGAAGAGTTTTTGTACCATTTTTAACATCACCCGTCTTACGGCCACGTTTAGCGGGTTCAATATCTATAAATTTTTTTCCATATAATTATATAATACCAGAAAAAAAACAACTTAAAAGCATGACTTCTGAATCTTTCAATTTTCTGTTTACGTGTTAATTTAGTTTTTTTCTTATATCATAAAGTCAAGTAATCTATCTGAGAAGACCAGCGAAGACTAAAAAAACGAGTGCTAAAATTAAGACTGTGTCCAATGTTTTCTGATGAGAATTTCCTCATAGAATATCAAATGTTTTGTTTTCTTGTAAGCGAACTCATACTTAGAAACCTTTTTTGTTTCTATTAAATATATCTACGTACGAAATCCAAAAGCATTGGGTTCGACTAGACGCATTGTAAATGTTGAACCAACAGGAAGTTCTTTCAGCATTTTAGCAACTTCAAAATGTCGTGATCCAACTAATGATTTATCATTGATCTTTTCAATGTGATCACCAACTTTTACTAATGTTTTAAGTCGATCAATAACGCTGCCTTCTTTAATTCGTTTAATAAAAGCATAACCTATTTCAAAGAAAAAAATAACATTAAAAAGAAATTTCTTAAAAGAAAAAAAAAGAATTTCAAACCAACCTGCTCCATTATCGGTTATTGTTAATCCAAGTGCAGCTTCAGATTTAACAATATCAATTTCTTTTGCTTGTCCTTTAACATGAGCAAATATGAAATCAGTCAAACCGATTTGTCCACCCAATAATTGACTCATATCAATTTTATGTGTATTCAATGTGCAAAAAAGAATCTTTAAGAAAACAAAAAATTTAAATCTTTTAAAATGAAAATCAGCTTACTGTTGGTACTGGAATTTCAAAGCAATCAGCTATTTTTTGATATAGTTCTCTAACATTACTAAAACCTGCTATAAGGCCCGTTGGACTACCGTGTGCTAATTGACAATGAAAAATAAGTTTAGGTGGATCGACGCGCGAGTCACCATTGGACGAACTAGCAGTTGAACGACGACTACTTGAAGAAGAAAATGATGATGGTCGGCTAGAATTTGTTACTGCCGATGAATTTGTATTAGGAGATGATGTGTTTGCTGTTATATCCGATATTGATGGAATAACACCATTCGTTGGATCATCCTTCTTAGCTTGAGATTTTCGTTTTGGAGGAAAGATTGGCATATTAAATGATCAATGTTAAATTAATGTAGGTTTTGTTCTATCAGCATACACAGTATCTAGAATGTACTATTCGAATAATATGTTGGTTATGCTTGTTTAGAATAAATTTCTGATACTATAAATATAAAATATTCGCGTACGAACTTAAGTCAATAAACTTAGTTTAGTTTGTCTCTGCTCACGTACAATTTTATAATCGATTGAGACAAATAAATAAATAGAATTTATGTTTGTCCACAAACAAATTGGTGATTGGTTGATTCATATCATCAATCAGAAATCAATAGATCAAGTACATGCACTCTCCATGGTAACAAACACTATTATGGTTACATTTGCTGTAGACAGAAGAAAAGTAAAAAAAAATATTCATTCATTTTTTGTTGTTGTATTTTTGCATCAGAAGCCCCTCTTTAACTATTATTATAGCAATAAATAAAGAAATATAACAAACTCCAATATTGTATAAACATTATGCTCGATTCAATGCAGCTTTTATAAATTAGAACATTATGGTAAGGAAAAATTGGTGATCCTATATCAGTTTGCCATTGTTCAATTTTTTTTCAATGTAGCCAACAAAAAAAGCTAAATCAGCAAAAACGGCACGTGCAACAAGTGCATCACCAAAACGTAAATCTCGTGCTAAAAGTGCTGATGTACGTCCAGAAGTCGATGTTCTATCACCAGCGGCCGTAATCAATGCATATTATATATGCCACAATGTGTCTGAATGTTTAGAAGCACGAGGCTTTCCATGGGACGGCGCTAAGAAAGGCAAAAAAAAGAAGAAGAAGAAGAAATAGTAAACTACTATTTAATACTGCTATTTTGATTTTCATTGCATTTTCATTCTTATTTTGAATGTTGTGAATATGCCATTCTTATTTTTCACTTATTTACTTCTTATGAATTTATGCCTTATGAAAAACTAGAGTCTTATATACTTTTGCTTCTTTTTGCTTGTTCCTGTAAGTGCTTTATTTAAGGTGAATAAAAGACTACTACGTAGACATTAAAAATTATTCTTTAAGTCAACAGAATCGGTCCTTTTTGTTTTTACTTTTACTTGACGCTTATACAGAAAACAATAGATAGAAGTGAATATCGATATAGTCACTGACAAAAAACTAATCAGTAAAATAGTCGAACTAAAAAAGTAGCAAAAAATATTTTTATGAAGAAATTCACTAGGTACATATATATATATATATATATATATAAAGAGCATTGTTTCAATAACAACAGCAACAACAAGAAAAAAAATTGTACTCATCAAATTAAATATAAATGAAATTTGTCATAAGAAAGAACACAAATTTAAATAATTTCGAACAAAACATATTATATTATGTGTTTATAATATCTAATCGAATTACATCCTAGAATAAATTTGATCCTGAGACAATGGTGGTACGAGAAGATAAGTATAAATTGCATAGTAATGAATAGCAGCACCAAAAAATACAAAGCAATGCCAAATAGCATGTGCAAATGGTATGATACCATCACATTTGAAGAAAAAAATGCCACATAGAAAAACTAAACCACCAATAGCCAATTCAAAGATACCGGTATGATCTGTCTGAAATTGACAAATAAATGGAAAAAAACCTATATATCAACCTTTGCTCAAGTGATTAAGCATACCATGTCAATAATAACAACAGCAGGCAAAACACCAACAATAACATAAAAACATATTTCAAGCCATTTATACTTTTCATGATATAAAATCTGATATGTAATACCGAGCATACCCATTGTCCAAACAAGTACTACGCTAAAAATCGTTGATATTATGGGAGTTGGACGAAGCAGAAGCCTAAAGAAATATGAACTAGAAATTACATCTATAATTATATTCTCGATTATAACCATGGTGTATAGCTAGCACAAATAAAAATGTAAATAATCGCTCGATCAACTCGATGTAAGAAATGTTTCAACGTTGAATCTCTAGAAATAAATAAAATCGATGTGATTTAGTTACTAGGTAAAATTGATTTCTACCTGTATGTTGGATGAAAACACGAACAATGAAAAATAGTCGACGATGAAAAAAGAAAAATAAGTGCATTTCCATAGATAAGACTACTCCAATGTTGTGCTGGTGTCTTCGCATGATATATTAACTGTCGAGCAGCAATGAACGATGGGATAATTAGACAACCATGTGTTAAACAATTTGCTGCATGTTCTACATTGATAAAGTCTCATAGAAATCAAGATTATAATTGTACAAGCAGAAGACTATACCATGAGTTGTTGGTATATAAGCTCGATCTATGGCTCTTTCGTTCATAAATTGAAGCCAATATTTATGAGGTTTTTGTTCTTTTGACGTCGATGTTTTTTTATCGGAATCATTAAAAGTATTACAATTTACTGTACGCTTTTGCAAATGCATTTTTTATAACTAAGATAATAAAATGAGGATTGATGAGGTTTACAAAAAAATTTTCTATATACATTTGTCAGCGAAACAAGTTATCAATTATATTATTAGATGTACACGTATTTTATCTAGAGATTCATTAAAAATAGTAATAACTATGAAAATATCAATTAATACACTCGATCAGTTGATGGAAAACATATGTCGTCAACAAGATAAATGTAGACGCGGCTCCCAAATAGTTAAACTTCTTCTAAGATGTCGCACAAAATCAGATTATCTTTTGATGGTCAGAACAAGTAATGCAGTCTCTCTTATAATTAAGATTAACAGTAGAGAAACTTCAAAATTTCCTTTCTTTTTGAAGACCGAATATTATTTAGAAAGCAAATAAGAAGATACGGATGAAAAATTTCAAAAAATAGATTCAGTTTTACCCACAAAAATGCAATAAAAAGTCACCATATATTAGAAAAAGATGACTTCTACAACTGTTCAGAATTCGAAGAAAACTTCATGAAAATTTTGTTTACAAATGTATAAATATCATTTCAAATCATTCTCATAGAAGATAAGGATGCAATACAGGAAAACATTTCTTCATTCACACCCATACATAGTTAGATAGATAGGAAGGAGCATTCGAAGTTTCAAGACAGTCGAGTCAAATACGAAGCATACAGTGAATTTTCTAATTTAACTCAAATTACAATTGAGGCATTATTTAACTTGATCTAGTAGATTTTGCACCTATATTCGCTCACTTAAATTATATTTTTGTCTTAGGATAATGTGACGTACATGCCTCTATTAGCTGTCTGAGTCACCAAAATGATCAAAACTTGTCAAAATTCAGGACTTGTAAGAAATAAGCGCACTTTCTGTAACTGTCTCCTAGATGAAATATGAATAAACTCATTTAGAATTAATAAGGATGAAATGTTCGAGAGCACGCATTGTAATTCATGTATGCTGTGATAAATCTGTTACAGTTTTCTATTATTCATGTAGTAGGAATAGTAGGTAGTAAACATATTTCGGCGAACATATCTTTCATTAAACATAGATGCAAGATATCTTCATAATAATAATGCTCTCAAAGAACGCAGGAATAAATAGTGAAAATATGCAAAAAATAGTGAGTGCAAGTTTGTATCTGATGAATAATAGTTCAATCAAAAGATGATCATACACATAATTCTGCACTATTCAAATCACCACTGACGCCAAGGCCACCAGTAGCTAAGATTCTTCCATTAGTTAATACGGACGCAGCGTGAAAGTACCGTGCAATAGTCATATTACCACCCATAGTCCAAAGTCCTGTTAAACTATTATACAGTTCTGCACTATTCAAAATACCAACAGAGTTAGATCCGCCAGCAACTATAACATTTCCATTAGCGAGTATGGATGCAGTATGAACTTGTCGTGCAGTATTCATCTCACCAGTCCTTGTCCAAAGTCCAGTTGAAGGATCATACAATTCTGCACTATTCAAATAACCAACAAAAGTATATCCACCAGCAACGAGAACCTTTCCATTAGTTAGTAAGGATGCAGTGTGAAGATACCGTGCAATAGTCATATTACCAACTTTTGTCCAAACTCCTGTTGAAGGATCGTACAATTCTGCACTATTCACATAGCCAACAGAATTGTATCCACCAGAAACTAAGACTTTTCCATTAGTGAGTATGGATGCAGTTTGAGCGTATCGTCCAGTATTCAAATTACCTGTATACGTCCAAATTCCTGTTGAAGGATCGTACAGTTCTGTACTAGTCAAATAATGGCCCAACTCATTATATCCCCCAACAACTAAAACTTTTCCATTGGCGAGTACCGATGCAGTGTGAGCATATCTTGCAGCATTCATATTACCAGTCATTGTCCAAATTCCTGTTGATGAGTTGTACCGCTCTGCAGTATAAGAATAACCATCAGAGTCATATCCACCTGCAACTAGGACTTCTCCATTGTTTAACATCGATGCAGTGTGATAGTATCGTAAAGTATTCATGTTACCAGTCGTTGTAAAAAGTCCTGTTGATGAATCGTACAACTCTGCACTAAACATACTGACACTATAAGAATATCCACCAACGATTAAGACTTTTCCGTTGCTCAGTACTGTTGTAGTGTGCGTGTATCGAGGAGAATTCATACTGCTGGTATTTAACCATCCTATAAATAAATATTTCCATGAAGCACTTAGCAGGTGTATGAATAAAAGCTATTCATATGTTCTGTAAAAATTTATTTTATTTTTTTAACATTAAAATAACATTTTATCAAGCGTCTTACAATGAATTAGATCCTATGTATACGCGAAGCAAGAGTTAGTACTGGTGAAGTGTCTTCGATAGAAACATTTCGAGTCAATAATTGTGCTGGTTATTTTTACGAGCTTCGTTTATCAAAACTTTATCAAATAGCAAACAAAGAAAAAAAGTCTGATTTGTTTTACTTCTGTAATATCGGTAAGTACAAAGAAATGCAATAAATACTGCAGTGAACTTTCCATCCAATTCATTGGATCTATCAACTCATGTATCATCAATTCTCTTCGATACCGATGTGTCATATAAGTGTCGTTAGTTGGAAAAAATTTCTTCAACGTCAAAAGCTGCATGATAGGACTAGCGTCTTATTGAAATAGAGCCTGAATATTTTCAATTTGAATGAAGAAACGTTTTGTATTCTGATCAGATTCGAACCAATTCAAATATCAACTAGGAAATTGAACCTTATCTACAAATCATTCTTCATTCAATAGTGCATATATGCATATAAATTAAACATGACATTATCTCAATATTATCCATATGGAATTAAAATATTCAACATGATGTATTTGTTGTAATCGTCAGCGAAAAACCTACTAACGTCGATCGCATTATCCCATAGAGTCATGTTTACTAGTATGCATCAATGTCTTTTAATGTCTGTGCCGATATAAAATCGCATTATTCCTATTAATCACGGTTTATAAAACAGGAGACAAAAAGGGACCGCCAATTATTTTCTATATGTTCAACATCTATTTTCAAATATGTCAGAAAAATGAAAATACGCCTATAGTTAGTTTTATCGCGTCTGTTGAACTCTATCAAGTTCATTCAGTATGACGCTATGAAGAGAATCTGAGTACAAAGGCTTATTTACTTACTACTAGGTATATAAGTTGTCGTTGTCGTTGATGGTGTGGTCGATGTCTTCGATGTGGTCCTCGTTGTGGTCGCTGTGGTCCTCGTTGTGGTTGTTGTGGACGTGGTCAATGTCGTCGATGTGGTCCTCGTTGTAGTCGATGTTGTCGATGTGGTTCTCGTTGTGGTTGTTGTCGATGTGGTCGACGTGGTCGATGTCGTCGATGTGGTCCTCGTTGTAGGCGATGTTGTCGATGTGGTCCTCGTTGTAGTCGATGTGGTCGATGTCCTCGATGTCGTCGATGTGGTTGTGGTTATTGTCGATGCGATCGTTGTTGTCATTGTTCTTGGAACTTCTTATATTAAATAGTATATCATTATGTTAGTTATATACTCAATGAGAGTCTTCTTTTGTGGGAAATATTGAACAGCGAATAATTCTTTCTCGTACATATTTATTTCAATTACAACTGATCTATTGTTACCTTAATAACATCATCAAAACCAACACTCAAATATAAATAGTTGAGGGTGTGGCTACATTTCGTTATTTCCTTCACGCGGGGACACAACCATCAGAGATCACGGTGTGCACTCAGTGTGAATGCGCATGTCGGTATAAATGCGACTACAGATGTTGATGTGAATTAGACTGGTACTGAAACCAATTTCGACGAAAATGATGTCTTCGATTTTACCAGATTGATCTGATCGATCTGGTGCATCTCTAGTATGGATATTGGACCCAGATGTGGCATCCAATGACATCGATCCAAAAACAATATAATCGAGTAGCAGCTGAAAAACTAATGTACCATTATTAACGGAGCGTATTCGAAATCTAGGTTCTTTTTTTCAAGAATTTTCATTCTGCGTTTGCCTCTCATGTATGTTCTTATCACAATTTTTTGATTGGCATCGTATCTTGTATGCTTCATCTGTCAATCTATAACTTTTAAACTAATCGAATCTAGTAACAGAAATTCATTTTTCTCTATGCTTCTTTGAGTTCTCTAAAACACAGTTTTGTTTCTGATGTTTTTTCTATTGATAAAAGTCATTCCGAATATAAATTTGATTGAATTTTCCAAATTTATTCCAGAAAATCATGCACAAACTTTCTTCTATGTATAAATACTCTAGCTACGCTGGGTTCAGTACTAGTCACTGAACCTCTTGATAGAGCTACATGTCTCGTTGTAGTTCGGATGATATTATAACTTTATCCTAAACGTGAGCACAGTATTTGAAGAGCGCTCTTCCATAAAAGGAGAAAAATTTAATGGATAAACATCTGCTCACTAATATTTGACAGCATTTTAACTTAAGTAAAACTGACCTGTGCTGGTGATTGAAGCTGTCGAATTGACTGGTGGACATTGTAGAGTAGAAGCCATTTCAATTGGGTAACAAACGGAGCCGTTGCACTGAGTGTTATTAACACATATAGTGTTGGGCGCCAAACATGTGTTATTATCACTTGAACATAGAACTAAACGATTGCATTGAATACTTGTGTCAGCACATAGTCCTTTTCCATTAATTGTCATTAACAAGCATTCACACGCTGAATTTGAGGAGCATGATGTTACTCTTGGTTGACCGTTTGGTAATGGGCAGCATCCACAATTAGAAGATTGCGCATTAACACTGCATTGTCCTACAACGAAATTCATTCAATATAGTACGAATTCAATTGAGAAACAATTTTTAGAGATGAAATTTTCAAAGCATTAATAAGAAAGTAAATAATTTGAGGTACATGAGACCATATTGAGTTTTCTTCTGGGTGATCTGATAAAATTAGTTCTTTTTCGTACCTGTAAGGATGTAGATAAAATATCTAAACGTAGAAATTATCACAGTATCGATTCATCCTGATAGAATAACTTACAATGTTGTCCCTAGATGAATAAGAAATTTTTGTTTCATCATTACTGGAGAAATGTCACTTGATTGAGACAGGTTCTGCTTTTATTGGCGTAGAATTCCCTTTCAATGTATGTGCTGATAACAAATAAAAAAAAGGTTAGCGACAGCCGTCATCATGTTTACTTGCAAAGATGCACCCATTCGAATCATAATTATTTGATGACGAAGTAGTATATGATGTTAGTTCCTCGTAAAGTATGTTTTGCTTTTTTGTTAAAGGTTGATTATACATTTTAGAGAAATGAAAAGGTTTAATGGTGAAACTGATTCTTAAACTCTTTTATAATATTGTGATGCTCACAGCGTCTCAAGAAAAATATTGATATAAGGCTGGTGATCCTTGATTTTCTTTGAAGCTTTATTGAAAATGACGTGTTTACCTCATGCAAGCTTGAGCAACCTGAAAGGAATGTATTTGTATGAATGAAATCATTGAAAAAACTATGAGCATTCGATGGGAGCTAATTGAGGGTGTAAGATAGACATCAATTCTGCTATGCAGGTAATCGGACGGTAAACACAATAAAAACAACCGAATTCGTTGTTTACTTCACTGAAGAAAACAACACGGGTAAAATTATAGTTTTTCATATTTATTCACAGTTAGAAATCACTTTTAATTACTATTTGGTTTCTCAAATTAACATATGAGACTTCCAATCTATAGAAGACATCGTATAGACGCGAAAATATAGTTCTTTCGGATTTATTCTCAGAGTAGTAATTACATATCAACAATTCATTAGAATATTATTATATTAATAAAATCATATATGAAAAATTGCTTCTATCTATATATGTAGCTTGTTACTGTGGAAAAAATATAAAAACTGTGGAATCTCGGTTAGTTTCATCTTTGAGCTCTGAATAAGATTCAATGAAATTTAAAAAGAAAACTCTACGTGAACCCGTGCTGATCTTGCCTGAATGAAAATCTAAATATAAGAGTTAAAATTTGAATATCATACATATTGATTTGATACTAATGAAGTGGCTGACATTCAGTTAAAATAATATAATATCTCTGTAACGAGTGTCTAAATTCTATTGTGGTCACATGCTTTCATAATTGGAAAATTTTGATTCCAGAGATTATTTCTTATGAGAAGTGTAAATAAAATAAAATAGATTATAGGAAAGAAATCTTTTTTCTGAATTAGATGTTTTAACTTTTACATTTATCTATAATATCATATGAATACAGATTAATCATAACGATATGGTTATTTTAAATTTTCACGAAACACAACGTGCATAAGTAGATTGAATGTGTATAAAAGACAGAAGAAAAAAACAAAAACAAAACAAAACAAAGAAAATGATTATTGTGCGTAGAATGGATCATCATCTATCTGACATCCTAAATGCATGTATTGACATACATGTAACAACGTAACTGACATTAAATGAAACGAGCTAGCTGCTCATAAAATTCTATTAACATATGAACAAGTGAAGTCATTGACGGACGTTGATCAATTGAAATTATCCAACATGCACTCATTAATTTGAATCTGTAAACAGACGAAAAGAGATCATCATTATCATCATCATAAGACTTAGTTTGCACAAGAATATCTTACAAAGAATCAGGACAGCTCATTGGTTGTACGAGACGATGATTATTTTGTAAATTTGTTGCTAAACTACATGATTCAATATCGGCAAAGGGTTGTGCTCCGCGACTCATCAATTCCCAAAGAAGTACACCATATGACCACTAGTAAAAAAAGCAACTATTAAGATTGACTGATTGAAAAAAACGAAACTTACGACGTCTGAAGCTGTTGAATAACGTCGATCAGTAATTGATTCGATGGCCATAAATTTAAGTGGACGCTTTTCATTCGGAGGATCCATTGGAAGACAATCATAATCTTGTGGGAAAAGATCACGTGACAAAGCATAATCCGTTAATTTCACCGTTAAATCGTCCATTACTCTATAGAATTCAATCAAAATAAATCAAAATCAAAATAATTCCAGTAAAGCTAAGATTTTGCCTATGATTGTCTTCAAATGTACATCGTTAACAAATAGAAATGATTATTGTATCTATTGCATTCAATGTTTCAAATGACTTAATACTAGCAAACTGCAAATTAGTAATTACAAACTTTGACTTAACCGGTCGATATTTTTATAGAATAAAACAAACTAATAGCTTGAACTTTGTCTATGTCCTTATCTATGAGTAGATGTTTCTTCTTACTAAATAGCGTTGTTAAATTACTTTGAGGGTAAGCTAGAATATTTTCTTGTATAGCTGATATAAGTAAAGTAGAATTATTATCTTTTTCAAACAATAAAAATTCAAGTACTAAAAACCCACTGAATATATATATATATATATATTACTATTCATTCATATTAATAGTTAAAGATAAATTTTTATTTTGACATTTTACTCTTTGTGATAATAAAGGCTGATATCAATTGACTTGATAAACTGTATTGAAAACAAATATATATATATATATATGTAAAGAGATTGAAACTATAGAAGAATAAACGTAGTGATATTTTTCTTTCGATACTCTAAGTTTGAAATTACAATATCATAATTCAGTTAATATTTTTCGAAAGTTGATAGGAATGAAAAGGAGAAAAAAACAAGTCTCAGTACACAAACATGTAGGTTGCCCTACGCAAACAAAAAGAAAAGATAACGTTTTTTTAACAAGACAAGGATAAAATCATCATTTCATTAGACGTGTTCTTCTTTAAACAATGTTTTGCTGTTTTCAATGGCCGAAAACGGCGGAGATCAATACGTAGGCGTCTTAAAATTCTACACACCATACGTGGTGTTTTCGTTTGGTCGTTTTATTCATTTATTCCTATTATTAATTTTAGTCAAAATGACGAAAAACAACCAATTTTAAGGAGTGGCACCGCCACTATAAACTATCAAACAATATTCAGAATTCCCTATGCTCATGTGCTTCGGGATGATAAAATTGCAATTGAATCGTCTAATATAGTCGATGCAAATACTAGTAATACTTATTGGCTTTTCAACGACGTGATACCCGATCCAGCATATGAAAAAGGTACGTATCACACATGTATGTGTATACAGCTCATGCTATTCTTACAATATTTTGATTCTATCTTTCTTTAAAAACAATACAGCATGTTTCGCATTCGACGATGTTAATGTTTCAACTCCTGTTGTTATCGCAACAAAAACTACGAATGGACATTTTCTCTTTGAACGTCTATTTCAAATTAATCATGTCAACGCTGTTAATCCTTCTGGTGCAATTCGAATGCGTCCAACTAATCATACAAAAGCAATGCCATCCAATACTGTTTCTATGGCTCGACCATTTGATGAATTTCTTGTAGATGCATCAGAATCAAATTCTTCTCTTGATGTAAAAAGTAATGGTGCAAGAACAAAATCGGACAAAGACTAACGAAAACAATACTTACAGGCAATTTCTTGTACCTATATCTTTCATTAAAATTTTACGTCTATGTAGAAAATGTAAGCCCTTGGCTATGTGTATGGCCATATAAACAAGCTCTTGTGTGGATAACAACTGAAACGAAAAGAAGAACGATAGAAAGTTTAGTTTTGTTTTTCGAAATACTCACTTGTTCTCGAGCACTAGTTCGGTTTTGAATAATAAATCGTTTTAGAATACCTTTATTGCTGTACGGATATACAATTAATGGATATGGTGATAATTCATTCTTGTAGACAATGCCCAAAGGACTATTTAAAGTCGAATGTTTTAATGTAGCAAATAAGCAACAGTCATGTAACATTTGATTGAGTTGTATTGGTGTTACAGATGAATTGACAGTTTTTCCATAGATATTTTGTGTTGAATTATTAGTTGATGGATCACTCAAAGAACAATGAAATAAGCGGCCAAATTTACCTATTGAAAAAAAAACACTTATAGTTCATATCTATTTCAGAGACTGTTTTTGTGTGCTTTCGAATTAATTTAAATGATAAGGTAAAATCGATTTCGAATCATATAGACACGACTATTTTTGTCTGTACATTAAACTAAAGAGCAAATAGAACGTGAGAGAGACAATAAGTTTACAATCATTGTTTATGCGTTCTGTATATAAATTTATCTCATTTACAGAAATGAATATAGACGTGTCATTTTATTGACTCTTGAATTGAAAACCAAAGCGGATCAGCATATTCTTTTTTAGTAATATATTTACATATGTAACTATTGTTTTTTTAACCGGTATGAGGGATTGAGGATGTTTTTATTTTGCGATAGATTATTCATCTTTTAACACAGATGGAAAATGCGGATCTGGATATCAAAAAATTGCTTTTGTAATAATTCTTCTCTCTTTTTTTATATGAAATTAGATAAAAAAATGATCTGATATTAAGTTTTGTTCAGATTAATAATCGAATAAGTTTGAAACGACACACAAATCATGTTAAGCTTACATGCGATAGTTGTGTTTCTTAATGAAAATAGCCGGTAAAGATGAATGTAGCAAACGAAGAAAATGAAGCGATACAAAATTAGTCACTGTATATCTTTTTAAGTGCAGAAAAAGTAGTAAGTATGATATGTGCATTATTAAAACGTGATACGCGATATTGACATGGTGAGATCATTTTATTCTATTTATTTTCAACTAGATTTCTTCGTTATCCTATTATTTAATCCTTTATAAATACACTAAGAAATTTATTTGTAATCAGATGCTTCGGGCACACGTCAATGATGAGCCGGTTCTTGTATAACTTTCAGTGTGTAATTAGGAAAGAGAATTCATGTTTCTACTCTTATAATTCAACGATTTTTTTTAGATAGTCTTTCACAAAATAGCTAATTTTGTACGTTTCAGTTATCAGTCACGATTTTTCTTATACATACAAACTAGGTTCATATCCCTATTATTTAAAAATATAGTGAATAAAATCAAATCCAATGAGAATAACTACGAAAAGCTGCTTACATATTTGTATTAATAACTAGAATTTTAGCTGAAAAATGGTCTGATTCTATACTGTTTCCTAGATAAAAAAAATTCGTTTTCCAATAGATTATCGTCGATAAAATGTCCAATATAAGCGTTCACAAAAAAAAGCTATACCTTCCATAATAATCTCATGTAGTGTAACACGATTTTGATCAATAGTACAATCAGCAAAAGTTGTTGAAGATAATAGATCATCAGCTGTTTTTGTAAAATCATATTGAGTACATGAATAGAGACTAACATCTTCAAAAGTTGTCATGTCGAATGATACGGGCAGTTCTGGATGATCTTGATAATTATCAATTGCACTATGAAAAAAAAACTCCATTAAAAATTATCATATTCCAAATCGCCTAGGAATATTTACTCGTTTGGCATTTTCTTGTTTTCTGTTGTCATTCGGTAAAGACAAAATAAAGTTATAGCCGTACAAAATACAATTAAGAACACAGCAACTGCAATAATTAATGAATAAGTAAATATAGTTGCGATTGATATTGAAAATAAATCACGACTTCTTGCTGAATAAGAACGAACAATGTTGAATGAATCAAAAACTTTTTCTTTTGTTTTGAACTTACATTCTTTAATGAGTAAATATGAATTGATTTGATCGGAATTATAAAATTGAGCAAGTAAAGAATTATTAATTGTTGCGTCTCGACAATATTTTAAAAATTTCAAATTTATAGTCGTAGATATATCATTCGCTGTTGAGTTATAAAATCGAAATATTACCGAAGCATTAACTCGATTTGTTGTTAAACAAGGAAAAAATATAGCAAATGCTAGAACAGAACGAAATGTCTTCTTGTGTTTCTAAAATCAATTCTTATCTCACTTGAAACTTCTCTTGGCACAATGCCCTTTTCATTTATATTTAACACTGGTTGTAATAAAATTTGTTCGTTGCTCGAACTTGTATTGTATTGATAGTATATATGAGACTTCAAAAATAGAAAATAAAGAAGAAACATGAAAAAACTGGCCATCTCTATTCGTTGTGAATCTTATAAGACAAGATGGGAAGTAAAAAAGTGGGTCAGCAGTATAAATGAAATAATACTAAATTGAATTCGTATAAAATCAGTATATGAGAAAATCGATTGAGATGAAAATCACTGTTAACTATGTGTTCAATAGTCAAACGTTTGAATCGTGCAGTATGTATTGATGACTGGCTTCAAAAATTAATTTCACATATCTTTATATCGATACTGATTAGAAGATGTCATTCAATGTAATCAGAGTATGATTCAATTAGATCTAGATCCGAGAAGCTAGAACTCATGCTCTTACTTTATTTCCTTTACCATTAACTATATTCAATAAACTGATCATTTTGCTATTAGAAATTAATAATTCAACTAGTAATCATCTCATCGCATCTATAGACTGTTAGATTAACAACCAAGTTAGATCAAAGAAAAGCTCATAATCAAACGAATGGCTAATAGATTTGCTTAAGGATTAAATAAAGTGTAAATAGAACATACTGTATCAGTTTTTAAACTATGCGCATTCCAAGTGAATTCAACGAAATGCATATCAGTAGATACTAATAAAGGAGTTTCCAGCGCTGTCTGTCGAATTTGATTTTCATCGATAAAATGTAATTGATATCCTTTTAATTCTAAATATTACAAAAACAAAGGCCTCAATATGAAGAATGAAAAGAAATTTTATTTAAAACTACCAAATAATTGTTCGACAGAAATTGAATCAAGATATAAATTAAATTGAGCATTACTTAAATTAATTAACAATATGATTAGGCACACATTCATTTTGTTCATAAATGACTCGAATGCTTATCAGCTAAACCTCAGATGAACAATTTATTTTCTCTTTCTATTGGTTATATACTATAGAGAGCGTTGCACGTATTCTGACGTAGGATTGGTTAAAGATTTAGTAAAACAAAGACCATCATCTCGATCGTTGGATGGATGGACGGATGGATGCATGTATTTATGAAGTACAAAATAAATAAATATTCCAATTATGAAACTGCTTAGTTGAGATGGAGTGTGTCATAAAATCAATGTTTCCTGCAATAACACGTACATTGATATGAGTTTTTTTTTCTATACGGTTCTTCTTTTAGATGTATATTATTGAATAATAAAACTCTGACAGCAACCAAGCAGAATTTCAACTTCTAACGCATAATGGGTGTACCAAAATTCTATCGATGGATATCAGAACGATATCCAAACATTAGTCAATTGATTAATGATAATCAGGTAGTCTGAGATTTTGTTCGATTTCAAATGCTGACTTTGTTTTTCTGATAGATACCTGATTTTGATAATTTCTATTTGGATATGAATGGAATCATTCATGCATGTTCACATATAAATGAAGACAATTGTGAGGTTAATGTGAGTGAAGAAGAAATATTTCGAAATATTTTTCATTATATTGATGTAAGTGTTCTGTTGATGATCACGAAAAAAATCGGTCAATTTTCATAATTTGCAGTTCTTATTTCGAATGATAAGACCAAAAAAAGTCTTTTTTATGGCCGTTGATGGTGTTGCGCCACGAGCCAAAATGAATCAACAACGTGCAAGACGATTTCGTGCTGGTAAAGATCGTATGAAAAAACTTGAACATATAGCAAGAGAATCTGGTCGAACATTAAATGAAGTAGTCGCGAAACATTTCGATACAAATTCTATTACACCTGGTATATTAAAGAAAATATTTGATTGCTCATAATCAGATTTCTATTTATCAATTTTTTTAAGGGACACAATTTATGGCTCAACTGAATGAGCAATTAAAATATTTTGTACATGTAAAAATTACTACAGATCCACTATGGGAAAATGTAGATATTCATCTGTCCGGTCATTTAGTAGGCGTTTTTCAATAGACCTTGATTTTAGTTTATTTTATTTGAATCAGACACCCGGCGAAGGTGAACATAAAATTATGGACTATATTCGATATACCCGTTCTCAACCTGGATACGATATCAATACAAGGCATTGTTTATATGGTCTTGATGCTGATTTAGTAAGTAAATATATTTAATTATTTGTTGATTAGATGTAATGAATGATTACATTTCATAATACAGAACTATATTCATCATTGTTAGAACAAAATATTTTTGAGTCGCGTCGAAATTTTAACTTGAACCCAAATAGTAATCGCAGCAGCCTAGAAAATTTCAAAATCAATACTCTAAAAGCTGCATGTAATATTATTGGGAAGTAAATCTATTTGTTATTATTGTACTGATTGATATAAGTTATCATCATGCTCCTATGTGCTCAATGTTAAAAACAAACTAATGATCTATGTATCTTAAAAATAATTATATGTTTGGTCTATTGTTTAGATTATGCTTGGTTTAGTCACACATGAAATGCATTTTGCACTTTTACGTGAAGCAGTCAAGTTTGGTTCGAAGAAAGTATCAAAAATGTAAGAACGTTTTTCTTTTCAATAAAATATTTTCTTTCATTAATGCCTATTCGGTCTTGACTAGTCCTGCACCTGAAGAAATTAATTGGCAAATACTTCATACATGTTTAGTACGTGATTATATCGATCTTGAATTTCGTTCTATAAGAGTAAATTAGATTAATTTCTATTTTTGATTTCTATTAATAAATTGATTTTCATTTTAAGAACAAAATAAAATTTCCATATGATCTTGAAAGAATCATTGACGATTGGATACTCATGGGTTTTCTTGTTGGAAATGATTTTATTCCACATTTACCTCATTTTCATATTAACGAAGAAGCTCTATCGATTCTATGGGATACATATAAAAGTGTTTTGCCAATTCTTGACGGTTGGTTAGAGTTTACAGCGATAAATATATGAATTGATATGTTTTATTTTAAAGGTTATATGAATGAATCTGGTGAATTGAATTTGACACGTTTCGAAATATATATAACCGAATTAGCTAAATTCGAACATCAACGATATGCGGATGAAAATGATTCATTTAGACATCTGGATAAATTTACTGAACGTAATCAAAATTCATCAACAACGAGATCGGAATTTGATAAAAATAAAGATGATGATAATAATGATGATGATGATTTTGGTTTTGGAGTATTAGACAAATTAAAGGCTACAAAACCACCAGCACCGGAAATTCAAGAATCGAAAAAAGATAATCCTGGTCAAGCTACTACGGATGAACCAAAATCAGCTGATTCGGTCTCATCACCCTTATCGTCAGATGACAACGATATTTTATCGGATTCTGATACAACTAGCGAGACATCGAACGATAATGAGAAAAAATCTTCTTCGACAGTACCTAAAAATACCATTGAAGATGAAATTGATAAGTTGCCATTAATCGAAGCTGAATTTCGTCAACATAAAAATCATTATTATCGAGATAAAATGGAAATTAATTTAACATCATTGAGTCAACTTCAAATATATGTTGAACAATACATTGAAGCATTACAATGGATATTGAAATATTATTACCAGGGCTGTCCATCATGGTCATGGTTTTATCCACATCATTATGCACCATATTTATCTGATTTAAAAAATTTCAAAGATATGAAAATTTCTTTAGAAAGAGGAACACCATTTAAACCATATGAACAACTTTTAAGTATGCCATTTTTATTTCAATAGTTAGATTTTATTTTATTGGTCGTCAGTAGGAGTGCACTTCTATCAGATAAATCAATATTAAGCGAAATAGAACGAAGAATTCATACTGTTTTTGATTACGCAACGTAAATCACTTGACGAAACTCTATTCTACATGTTTTACTTATTTTATCACTTGACGGAAAATCTGAAAAAGTATAGTTTATAATAGAGTTCTTATAGATTTCTCTAACTGAGTTTTGTATTCAATTATTTGCAGAGAATTGCGTTTTAAACAAAAGAAGCTGTTTTTGACTTTTGTTAGATGAATATCCTTCTTAAATGCAATAGTATAGAGTTGAAATTTCACTGAAACATTTCAAATAGGTCTTGAAAATTTGAACTCATCTTATCGAAAAACACTGCTGGATAGTATAAATGTCTACACTAAATAAACCACAGGACTCAGGAATTTGAATTCATCATTATAGCATGAGATAAATACTAAATTCCTTTTGAAATGGTAGTTTTATTATGAAAAATAGTTTACATTGTGAAACATCATCAATCAATTAACTTTAAAAATAAATTTCCATTTTTTTATGAAGAGTTTATTAAACAAAAATATACCGAAAAATGTGTATTTTCATTGTGATCATATTTATACATCTAGTAATAATTCAAATAAAACTAATTTAAGTAGTAAGTTTAATAAATTATAGAAATCGTTCTTTCGTTTAGTTCCGCACTCTTTACCGGAATTGAATTACACGATGAGTTTCTTAGGATTAGCACTTGACCAACAAAGTTCTATTTCAATATTGATGTTCATTATTTCGTACATTCTGTTCAGAATCTGTCGAAGAGTATAAAAGTCGAAATTATTCTCTATCAATTTAAATAAAACCACATAGATTTAGAGATGTGTGGGGTAGGGTCAGGGCATGTATTTGGTAGAGTAGAGTACAATATGGTGGGAGTAAAATCCTATAAATTAAAGTTCAGTCAGAAAAAGAAAGAAATCATGAAATTTAAAGTAGACGTATTTGCAGCTGAGTCGTTAAGAAGGTGACTAACTTCGAGCGGCATATCCCAACCAATATTCATGTGTAGTAGAATGAACAAACCAACCGTAATTCAATCACAAAAACACATTGATATATTGTACTTATATAGTAATGATATAAATTCGACCGTCGATGAAAACAATCGATTGTATTACTTTTTTCAATTATTGTACTGGAATAACATGAATAGACTGTAAAGTAAAAACTTCCTATAGTACAGGGATGGCTGATTCTGGTAGGTTCTATCGAGTGAGGAAAAATAAGAATAACAAGGCATAAAGGTATTATACTGTAAAAGTTACAGTGTAGAGTAGGGTAAACAAATCTAAAGATTTTGCATTGTAGGGTAAAGGTAAAGAATTGTAGAAATTTTACAGGGTAGGGTAGGACAAGCGTAAACAAAAATTCTTTTGTCAGGGTACAGGGTAAGAGAAAGGCTTGCCCTGCACATGTCTACTATAGACTAGTAGTCATTAAATTACAAGACAACCGAGTGTATGTTGTACATATGGAATCAACGAATTACGAAAGTCTCATCGATTCTTCTAAAATAACTCTCATCGTCAATAAACACCTTTTAGATAACTGATCATTAGAGTGTAACGTTCGAGAACAATATGATCTGTACTGAGAACATTCTATTTGACTCGAGAATGAATCCGAATTCTATGTCAACGCCTTTAAAACGTTTACTGACTTATAAATCTTAAATAGTGTGCTGTCCATAGATTTGAAGAAACGCATATTATTCTAATTGTAAACAAAGTTTCAATGAGTTATATTTATCCTTCTTAATCAATCAATAGACGAAGGCATATTTTATGTAAAAACTGATGATGTATCAATTATTCCACGATCTCAAAATTTAATTGTATTTTCAGGCGTTCTTCCACCAACAAGCTGTTCTCTTTTGCCAGCTATATTACAACCATTAATGACCGATCGTGAAAGTCCACTGTTAAAATTTTATCCTGAAGATTTTAAATTGGATCAAAACGAAAAGAAAAGAGATTGGGAATCTATTGTGCTTCTTCCATTTATTAATGAAGAACTTCTTCTAAATACAATAACAAAATATTATAATCAACTAAATCCAAATGAAAAACTGCTTAATCAACATTTACCATCGTTGTGCTTTATAACAACATCAAAATTGAATCCAATTGAAAATTCTTTAGAACATAATCCATATTTTCCACCATTAAAAGAAACTCGAGCAACATTCAGAGAATATCCAATTGATTTCTATCGATCAGATAATCTTAATATTAAATATGGTCGTTTTGAAGATAAAGATATGATTATTTTTCCTAGATTTCCTGTTTTAAATGTTTTACCATATCAATACGATTATAAACATAGTGCTATCAGTGTATTTGACACACGTTCGAAAGGTTCAACACTTGTTTTAAATTTAACACATCAATCTGATTCTGATTGTATAAAATATAATGACGAGTGGAATCCAAAAGATGAAAATACTTTACCACCTTTTCAAATAACAAATCAACGATTATTAATTGATCGTTACTTAGGTAAGCGTGTGTTTGTCAATTGGCCTCATTTTCAATATGGATTTGTTTGTGCAATCACTGATTTTCAAAATTTATATACATGGGAAAATCTGCCGGATTTACCAAACTTTTATTTTGATCCAACAAGTAATGACAACAATCAAGATTTTAGAAATTATACTCAAAAACCAATATATGTCAGTCATCATCCGTTTGAATTATCAATTGATCATCATCAAAAAGTCGTCTATAGAGTAGATCGATTAGATGAATATTATACACGAATGGAATATCAAAAAGCACTTCATATTAATCGAGATTATAATAATCGAAAAGGTATTTCTATAGGACCAATACCAATTTTACTTTATGTATCTCCTATACTTGGTTATCGAACAAAATGTTTCTCGTCATCAGATAAATGTCAAACAATGATGTACTTTTCAAATCAAGCATTAGCTTATCCATTGCAGACGACACTTTTTAAATTACCCAAATATAAATATGATGGTGATCAATTGCCACAAACATTAAATGATTATTTTAAAATTAATGATCCTATATTTGGTCTTCGATCACCCTATTATTCATTTTTCGGTCATGTACAACAGATAGATAAAGATAATCAAGGAAAATATATGATTTCATGTCAAATGAAATTATCTAATAAAAGTGATCATCCCGATCTGCATCAATTCGAAAATAAACTTAACTCACTTCGATTACAATATTATACAGCACAAGATATCGCCGCTCAATTAAAAACCGCACCTTGTGTTATTTCAAAAATAACTGGCAAAGTTAATGTTATGGCTCAGAATCAACGTCGAAGAGCGAATCCAACTAATGTTGGGCTTTCCTGGAAACATAACAAACCTGTTAAAGAGGTGGATCACAATTCAATTCTTATTTTTACATCATACGCATGAAAAAAATAGCATCCTTTTTTTTGATTATTCTTTACTGAAAAATCGATCTTGAAGTAGACGCATTTCAATCGCATGACATTACTCGTATCATTCTCAATTAGTAATATACGAGGATACTGGCCTGTTCTTTTGCGTTTGAATTCTTAATTTTATCCGGAGACACAGAACGACAAAGTGTATATTTCAAAGGATTCAAAAGAAAAAAGAACGGTTATTAATCTCGAAAAGTATGTTTTTCATAGAGTAATAGAAATAATTCGTTCATTCAACAAAAAAGAAAAGAAGAAGAAACGAACGAGCACTGTGACATTATCAGTTTTTTTTTTCAAACAAGAAAAGCCAACAGTTAGACTGCACCTTTGTCAAGGATTATGAATTACCTAAACAGAGAAAAATAGCGATAAAGATTTCCCATCTTTCCAGAAAAAAAAGTATCTTTTTGTAATAGACGCCGCGAGAGATCTTCAAAGATTTAATCAAGTTTTTATCAACAAACTTGATCTTACTTTTTTTCGAATTTGTTTGATCGAAAAATTTTCCATGGTTGAATTTAAAGGATAGACGTATTTGTAACTAATTTTTCTCATATTTTCGATAGGAAAAGCGTCGGATTTCTAATGGTTTCTATTGTCAGAATATTTCAATGATGATCCATAGGAAATTGGCTTCCCTCGATAAATTAATAATGTCTATGACGACTTGATATGAAGTGACTTATATTATTGCTTCAATTTCTAATCATTTCATCAGTCTTTAATTAAAATGTTTTATTTCCCTGCAACAATCCGATTCTGAATGCATAGTAGAGAGGCTACATCTATGCAAGAAAGTTTTCCCCTGTATACCAAGAAAATGAAGTAACAAGTCGGTAGAGCAGTTAAGGCAGAGAATTTAATCTTATAATTTCTATAATAGTGAATAGTTATTTTGATTTTGAAGAACTTCAAATTAGTTTTCATTATTTGATTGCAAGATTTTAAATATCATTTGCTAATCATTAAAGATTCGGAGTCTACGAAGAGCTCTGTTTTTCTGGTGTTTCCATTGAGATCCTTAATTTTCAACGCATAAGCGCATATTGCTTAGTATTAATCAAAGTCTGTTTTAATTTTCATTACATTCAACAAGATTATATACTTTGTACAATTAGTATCTTGATAAAAACTCAACGAGAGAAAAAAATCTTTGAAATCCGAATAAATGTAATCATTTACTAGTTTCATTTGAAACATTACAATATGCTTATTGAAACTGTGTAGCTCGATATCTTGTCGAAGTAAATTGAATCTTCAACATTATATTTATTCCTCTGTTTTTCTATCATCATTCTGTTATTAAATAATGAATTTTAATTTCTAGCTTCATGGTTATACTAAGAAGTTCAACGATATTTGGTACTATTCAACTACAGCAATATCTGTCATAGCTGAATACATGTCTAAGTTAGTTTTTTGTTGTTGCTCGAAATGAATAGTAATTGAATTATTTTCTATTCTCTTAGATTTCCTGAAATTGTTTCTGAAATAGAACGGAAACCAAACAAAGAGAATTATTTAGAAACGAATATTTGGCAAGACAAAAATGGGTATTTATAATGTTTTTTTCTTTCGTTTTTTGAAAGATGACATTATCTTCATTAATGATTTCATATTTGCTTATTTTCTAGAAAGCATGAAATACAACAAGTTCGTATATGGATTAAAAGTTTACCAACGTATTCAATGCAAATGACAGATGCTGCTTGGCAATTACTTGATACACACGTTGTAAATGAAATACAAAATATGGTTAAATCATTTTATGCAGTAAATATCTATATATCTATCTAAAGAAAAAGCATTTTTTGATTTCTTTTATTCCTAGAAACGTCAAGCAAAAACTCTAACTGAAAAAATCAAACTGGTACGTTTTGAACCTCATTTGTTATTTAAATCGGACGGATTACTTGGTATGTGTGATCCAGATGTTAAAGCAGATTTTATGCTATTGGATCGTGTTGTTAATGTTCGTCCTGATACAGGTGTACCCATTGGTGCACGTGGTACAATTATTGGCATTATGTATGGTCGTACGAATTTAGATACGTACTATGAAGTTTTATTTGATACTTTATCTTCAAATACTCTCGATACTATGTTACTTGGTAAAAATCAACAAACATGTCGTATTAAAGTTCGTTCATATCATTTACTTAATTATTCTCATTCACTTCGATACCGTTCAATCAATTATCAACAACAGCAATCTTTACCTTCAAGTTATTTGTACGAACAACGTTCATTTAATCAAACATCAACATATCGACAACAGCCAGCAGAGATTGTAAAAAAGGATTCAAGTAATGACAAAACATTGAAAACACCAAAATCAGCACCGGCATCAGCTACGCATCACGAATCATATTTTGCTCAAGTCAAAGAACAAAAATCAACGACCGATGATCCAACACTGTCTCCTTTATCAGCAGAACCACTAACACAATCTTCTGTTTCAAATGAAAATATTTCCTCCGTTCCTTCACAAGTCAAAAGTACACTTAATCCAAACGCAACATTTACACCAAGAAGTGCTATGGCACCAACAGGAACGCCTATGACACACTTTTCTTCAAATCTAACAGCTGATTCTTTAATATTTCATCCTATGCAAAATTTTAATCAGTCGCAAAATTCTTTTCAACAACCAACATATGAAATGATTTCATCAACACCAATTCAAAGTTCGAATCCGCAAACGTTTACGCAGCAAGGATGGGGACCTATGTTATATCCTAATTCAGGTACGTGACTAACTTTTGGTCTTGTTAAGACGTCTTTTTTAAATGATATTTTCTTTCAGTAATGAATGAACCCATCGGAAACATGTCACAAGTGCCAATGTATGGTGCTACAATGGCTTTTAATCAATTTGGCCCTGGTACCTATGCTCAACCAAATAATCCTGATTCTCAAGGAGTGTATCATGCCTATCCCATTGGACCTATGATTAATCCTATGCCATTAAATTATGAACAACAATTGCCAATGCAAATGCAGAATTTTAGTATAAATCAAGGTCAGCCCCAACAAAATCCTTATTTGTCTTATGATCCTTCAACATTACAAACTCAACAAAAGAATACAAAATATTAGACCAAAGAAAGCAGCTCTGTAATTTTTTCCATCCCAAGGTGCTACATAATATATCGAAAAACTTATGAATAGAAGCGAAGAAAATTTGAGCAACTATTATATTTTCCTATTCATTTTTTTAGTATGCCTATAAACAAGAAGATTTTTCTGTCCATTGATTTTGTGATCACAGTAGTCGTTCAAACTGTGTTTTTTTTCTGTTTGCGGTTTTTGATAACAGTGCTCGAAATATTTTCTTTCATATATCTTTCAATTTCTTGAAGGCAAATGTATTTCAATACGAAATTATTTAGCTTTGTTTTATCTTTGTGTATAAATCAGCAAAAAATATTTCAAGATCGATAAACATTTGAACTTTGTGATAGTGAATATCCTTATACTAATATGTTAGTTTTTCTTACTCAAATTTATATTCTAGATTCGAAATATCAAATAATATAAAAGTTCTTTTGTTATTATGAATATATTGGTTAAGATACGAATGTAAGATTAAATTGCAGCTGGTAATTATTAACTCGTGACAAAAATGTATTGGTTAGATTTTTTTTTTGATTATATGTAGTAATATGAATTTATTTTTAGCAATTCTATTTATAATTTTTTTAAGATGAAAATTATATTTTTTATTTTAGTCTCTGTAGAATAAAATTCAAAATAATTGTTTTTTATTAATACACTTATCATTTCTCTTAGCATTAAGATGACCTATGTTTATTTTTAGTAACTGAGAAGATAATATCGCCTGACACGATAATATCGTGGCCGATTACTTCTTTTAAAACTATAATGCCCTTTCTTGTTTTTACACAAAACCATCTTACTTAATCGATATTTCTTGAAAAATTCGAAATTGCATTAAGATATTTATATTAATATATGTAATTTTTTGAGGATTTTGAAGTCGAAGTCATCAAAGATAAATATTACTTTTTAGATTTTCATAATCACGAGCTTCGTTGAAAAACTTTTTCAATTAGAAATCATTTCAATCAACTATTTTTACACTAAAAGACTTCATTCATAGCAACGCAATTAAACAATCAGAGGCGTAATCATAAAAAACATTATCAATGAATCGTATATTGTCAAATATCAATTTAATAATGATTCTATATTTTGTTTTTCAGATGACTAGTAGTACAACTGCAACATCAAGTGCATTAATCGATTCACAATTAGATTGTGCACTCGATTTAATGCGACGTCTGCCTCCGCAACAAGTGGAAAAAAATCTGTCCGATCTTATTGATCTTGTACCTGATTTAACTGAAGAACTATTAGCTGCTGTTGATCAACCGCTTAAAGTCGTTCGTGATCGAACTGTTGGCAAAGATTATCTATTATGTGATTATAATCGTGATGGCGATTCGTATCGATCACCTTGGACCAATACATATGCGCCACCTTTTGATGGTTTGTTTGTTTGATTGATTGATTGATTGATTAGAATTTTTCTTGGTGAGACGACAAATTTTTATTTAGCATAAGAGAATCATTTTATCAACAATGATTTTAAACGATAAAATGAAAAAGGTAATCTCAAATTAAGAGCTTGAATTGATGAAAAGCTTTCAAATGGAAATAAAAGTTTGAATTAGAGAATAGAATAAGATTTATTTTCTTCTACTTTTTGTTTTATACATAGATTTATTAATTAAAGTAAAGTTTTTCCAGATGTAAAAAGTTCTTGTAGTATTAGTGGAGTGTATGATCTTACAGTATGAATGTACTTAATCAACAGCTATCTTTGGAAAACATCCTTGCAATCAAAACTTCATCATCAGTTGCAGACCCTCTGATGATATCTTAATTGCTAACGGATGTGACAGAAACAATTGTTATTTATATCTTGTAATATTTATTGACTAGGAACTTATTTTCAAAAGTGGCGCTCTTTTTGTTTTAATTTTCAAGAAAGTATACCATTGCTTATGTATATATAAATAGCACTCGCTATTGCTATTAATACATTTTGAAAATGGTAATTGAAAGTTTTTTCGGATGTTCAGAAAGATGATATACTCAAGCGATAATAATAGTTCGATATTTAAATCCACATTCTCTTGAATGGCTTACATATATATATATATATATATATGTGATATTGACGATTAACAGAAAGTTTTCAACGTATGATTATTGTGTTTAGTGATAGACAGGATATTGTACAATGCTACGCTAAGATGTTATTTTTATTGATAGCCAAAGTTGTTTTCTAACAAAAGACATGGCCAAATACTCAGTCAAACAAGAAATTTCTTTTAATAGTACTCAAGTATAGGGGTAAAATCTTCGTACTAGGATGATCATTAAAGTGGAGTGCTGTAGGACTTCATACTCATTCATTAAAATAATAATGAAGATAAGTTGATCATTATTTTCTATTGTTAATAAAACTCACAACATAGAATTTGAAGAATTTAAATCTTGAACTAGAAGGGATTTTACAGAAATTTTCTATTTCTATTTTTGAAGATCACATGCAAACATTGTCTTTTCTACATTGATTGATGTGATATTTAAAAGAACAATGCTCTATTTCAAATTTGAAACGAAGACAGGTTTTTATCTTTAGGAAATCTTCCGTCGGATCGTCTTCGTCATTTGGAAATAGAAGCAAATCAAGCATTTGAACAATATCGTGAAATGTATTTTGAAGGTGGTGTTTCATCTGTTTATTTTTGGGATCTTGAAAATGGTTTTGCTGGTGTTGTACTTATAAAAAAAGTTGGCGATGGTAGTAAAAAAATAAAAGGTTGCTGGGATTCAATACATGTTATTGAAGTACAAGAAAAACAAAGTGGTCGAACAGCACACTATAAATTAACATCAACAGTCATGCTTTGGTTACAAACACATAAAACGATGTCAGGTATGATGAATCTGGGTGGAAGTTTAACACGACAATTGGAAGCTGATCATCAAATCACAGAATTTTCTCAACATATAATTAACATTGGAAAAATGGTTGAAGAAATGGAAAATAAAATTCGACAAACGCTTAATGCCATTTATTTTGGAAAAACAAAAGATATTTTAAATAGTTTAAGAAATTCAGAAAGTGCTCAAAATCGTGCACGCTTGCAGCAAGTTAATTTTACAGGTGAATTACAATCAGCACTCAATCGTACAAAACCAACGGAATAATAAATCGAAATCAACCTATTTTCTCCAAAACAAAAATTATTTTTTCTCTCAAAGAATGAATCAAATACATTCTCAACTCTTCTCTAGATCATTTTTCTTAGATTTACTTGTTTCATCTAGCAAAGCGTTCTGGCTTATATGTTACTACTCATTGCTTATATGCATGCTTCATCATATAACTAAAATAAAACATTACATTTCTTTTTTCTTTTCTCTTTTTTTTGTAAAAATCTTCACATCATAAATAAAATTTTTTTATAGATTTTGTTATTCGTTAAAGATGCCTAAGAGAACATCAACTCCATCAAAAATGAATTTATGTTCAGTAAATTCAGAAAAACATCATTCAGTTCCACTAAAATCAAAGAAAAAAGCCATGTGCATTCAGGCAAATATAATTGAAAAAGATTCAAAAATTATAAATATATTCCATGATGTTGATGATATTATAATGAGAGGAAAATATATGAATGATGTTGACTTCGAAAATTTTGTTCAAGGTAAATAAAAAATGATGTTAAATAGTGTGTTTCATTGAAAATCTAACGAAAAATAATTTCTATACTATTGAGATTTTAACCGTACTACAATCTCCTATTTCGATTCAAATAGAATATCCTAGGGAATAACGGCTATATGACGTACGAATACGAAGGAACCAATCTTTGACTAAGCTATATCTTNTATATTATCCACATGAAAACCTTAACTGTCCTTGTTTACGTCATCTACAGACCAAATATTTGATGTTCTATAGAAATATGACTAAAAAATTGCGCAGACCGGCCGGTCTGAAACCTTCGCCCGAACCGGACCGGCAACCGGCAGACCGGCCGGACCGGTTCCATCTATGGTGCGTCTCGTTGGCCTTCACACTAATTCAAAATTCATTTTGATGAACACGACAAATTGAAATGTCAGACAGTATGATAAAAACGTTTATTTCTGTTAATCTTGTATATTAATTAGTTTTATACAAGTGGTTATACTACTCAAATAGACAGCCGCTTCCAAGCAAGAGTTTTAAGCGTTCTAATCAACACTTCTGCTTGATTTATTTCTATTTCTATTGATATAATGTCAAAATAATGTACTTGTATTCAAGACATCTGTGAAAACACTGAAACAGACCGTTTCACATTTGGAAAATGTTGCGAAAGTTTTCTCAGGGCATTTTTGACATGAAAAAAATAAACTACATGTCTTTCATTGTGACATGTCACAAAGTTGCAAGAGAAACATGTGCACATTCTTCGGATTTAGAAGTTGCTTGTTTATGTATGTGCATGCATTTTTTCATCACGAATGTGGTCAGGTTGATATTTTCTAGGAGGAAACTCTGGAAAGTCGTGAAAACACGTCTTCAGAAATGTATTCTCTAATGGGATAGTTGAAAACTAAATGTAGACGTATCAGTTTTCACTATTACTTTTCTTATTATTCCATTGACTGGTATTTTAAACCATTCTCTAGTAGCAGTGATAAAATATAGATGGTAGAGATCAACTAAAATAGTAAAGAAAAATAACTACTACTGAAATAATTATGATCACTTAACAAGACGAATCTTGGACCTCAGAGTACACATATTTCATAAAAAAAGTTATTTTTTATTATGACCTGTGCATAATCTGCATTAGAATATTACTATTATCTCATAGAAAATAAATAGGTCTTGATAGTCAGAATTCTCTAAAGCTTATCATTCCACGATTGTTTAGTCAAGTAAATTTCCTATTGAGATAGGAACGTTTTCTTAGTTTGTTTGTTTGTTTCGATGATATTATTTTATCTCCTATAATCATATTTATTTCATTTTTAATCTGTTGATAATGAAGACAATTTTCCAACAAGCAAAGAAAACATCTTACCCACAAACTATCACAGATAGAAATACTTTTCCTATTTTAAATTGAACCAAAACAAAAACGCTTCTAAGTATGATGTTATCTGTCCACATTACTCAAATATATGAAGTAATTTCTTCATAATCTCCAAACTATCATGCATCCCATATTTGAACTGACAATAAATATTTAAGTTCCTATATTTTCACTAGAAAATGCATAACTTGATGAATTATGATTACACAATGATTTATGATTGTTTCTTTTATTAATATTAGAATTATGTATTTAAAGCATTATAAAACACGGAGATCCTATTGAAAATAAATCTTAAATAATGAATAATTTTTCATGTTATATTATTTTTTTCCGATTAAACAGACTATTTTTATAAATTAAAAACTTTTCACCTACTAGATCCTCTTTTGTGATTAAAAAGAAAACCTAAACCTACTTTGTTAATCATAGAATTTTGACAATACTTCTTACTATTTTTATCTCTTCGTTTATTATAGTTCATGCATCAACTTCTTATTGGAAGATATTGGCTGAACGTACTCGTATAAAGCTTGAAGAGCAAATAAGAGAAAACCGACAAGTATTAAAAAAAATATATATTAAAAACGAACGAAGATCTTTTTCTTTCTTTTCTTATAGCTTCATGAGTTATATGATGAATTAATACAAGAAAATGAACAGTTACAAGTTAAAAGTGATAAATGTGAATATTTAACAAATATTTTTAATGTGAGTTGATTGAAAATTCAATGATTTAATATTCTTATTTTCCTAAAAATATTTTTTTTATTTTAGTCAATAATGTCAGAACATGATAGTGGTCTTGAACTAAACATAACCGGCGAATCTTCCGATTCAAAACAAGAGAAATCATTTATTTAATTACCGTATTCTTAGATATTTTTAACATTTGAGTTGAAAACAAGTATAATGCTTTAAATGAATTTTATGCATACATAACATTAAAATGTCAGATTTTCATGTTTTTTTTTTCTTTCTCTCTCTCTCTCTCTCTGCCTGTTTCTCAAAACTCTTAGCATATGTTATCAATTTTCAATGTCTTTCTTTGAATGTTTAAATAAATAAGACGATTCATTCCTATGTACACAAACGCTATGATGATATTATTGATGGCATCGATTATTTTATAGTTAACCTGACCTTTTATCAATAACTTGTGGCTGTGCATAGGAAACAGAAAAACATAGGAAAAGAGAAGCAGAGGTCTCATTTGTATCCAGCTGTCAAATTAAGTTATCATGCGTACGACTTGATTAGGTTGACAAAATATAAACGAACCGAAACGACAAAAAATGGATACTCCTATGAATGATAAGCCATTTCATTTCGTTTTCTGCCATTTTGGCAAAAACGATTGTATACTATATAACAACCAGAATAAGTACGATGACAAAGATCTACTCTCAACATGAATTAATCAAAAACCAAAAATCATACTTCAATCCAATTGACAAACTAATATATCAAGCTTAAATGAAGATCGATTACGCCTATCATTGATATGAAATATTACTATTGAATGATTATTGCAATCGATGAATATACTATGTCAAGTACAGCTTCTCTCCTATGCGTAAGTCAAGGATATGTTTTAGCTATGATAAGAACTTTTGATAAATTGAATAAAACTCATTTGTTAAAGTATAAAAAATAAAATCTGAAAAAATATTGTTTATTTTTGCCGTCATTTTCTCTTATCATCATCTATTTTTGTTGATAAGAAACAAATAACATAAGGTTTGTATAATCACGCCTTGTGTCGTTGTCAATCAGATAAGCGGATGCAATTTTCTCTATTTTTACGTTAATTTCCCTTGTTGCTGTCTTTTGCTTTTGTCGTGACTTTCTTTTCTTCTTCTATATTATATGATCATAGATACGTCACTGTCAGTCGTATTTACTTCAAAGATAAAGCAGGTGGCTTTGAGATTATGAAATCATTTAGGTAGAAAATTATATTTTTGATCTTGATTAGAAAATTATTTGAATAAGTTATGCGGGGATGTCATCAAGAGAAAATAGTGAAGGGAGTGTCAAGGCAGTTTTCCAAGAAAATCTTACAAACGCAAAGTAAGATTTAGAGAGAGAAAATTTGACTTCTTTGCTGGTGAAAGCTGATACTTTATCATTAGGTTTTAACAGTGGGAGGCTGTTCATGCCTTCTTTCTCTTCCCCACCCCTCCCCCCTACCCCACAAACATATACCACAATCGCTACATTCCTAACTTTATGTCATGATTATAAAAGTTCAATGTATATGCATTGCTAGTCGCCGTAATTTTTTTCTTCTTGTTTGCTCAGTAAAATAAAATGATAAAAAGAAAGAGAGAAGCAAAAAAAGAGGCATTACAATTTTCTCTAAGTAGGTTCAACTAGAAAAGTCAGTGGAAAAGTTGCTAGAAAACTGTCAACCACAGCATCCAATCAGAAGGTTTTTCTTTCATGTGAGTACAGCCGAATGAAATTCATGTAGTGTATTACTTGATGACAAAATGAATTAAAATTGATTGTCTTTCCATTAAAAATTCTTCTGTGCATAAAGGTTTTCCTTGATGAATATAAACTAACTGAAATTCCTTTTCTCGCCCGTTTAGTGAATTTGAAAAAGAAATGAAGGCACACGATCTTAAAACATTACTGAGATGAATTAATAAATTTAGTCATCCCAATAAAAATCTTAATTACTATATCAAACTTGAAGACCTACTTCATCAAACTTTCACATCATGCCCTTTTTAATAATTTTTCTATGAGTTTTGTTTTTCAAGTTACTCTAAAAATATCTCTACCATTCTTCAATCATAGACAATCATATTCCGCTTTTCTATTATTATCAATAAAAGAAATTATGATTAGAGATATAATGAGAAAGATACTATTTTTCTTCTTGTTGCTTTCTTTTTTCTATTCAACGATCAGCATTAAAAATTATCCGACTCAGTTCATTTTTTTTTCTCTGCTATTCATTTCTTCTTTTTTAGATCATCATAATTAGTAGAACTAAAACATTGATAAGTATTACATGATGATTCCATATAGATCCATTGTTAAGACAAAGTATTTTTATAAGCTAACTTTTGTTTTTACTATATGACATAGCTTCAGTACAATATCTGGCATCGTCGATTCTTTAATGATAATATTAGCATAATAGAGCAATAGTTTTATGAAAATTATCAAAATGAAATAGAATGTTAATATTGTTTCTTTGAGAGCTAGTCACATATAGAATTCATATTAAAAGGAGTGTTTCGAACGACTGATCGGCCAAACTTGAGAAAGCTCCGTTTTTATTCAAGCATTTTATTGTTCATCCGTTCTAAAAAAACAAAAAACGACTCAATGTCTCGCTTCCCACTTACAAAATGGTTTAGTGTAACTTAAGCAGTAATCTTTCCATCAATTTACTGAGCACTTGATCTTCTTTTTTTAGTCTTGATGACATCGGGCAACTACTTAATACCATAGTATAATTAACAATTTTGAGTAGATCTAAACAGAAGCTTCAATTATTATCAGAAATAATATTTTTGTTTTTGCTTACACAAAAGAAACAGTTACAATTAAGATCATAATAATAAAGGAAATAATTGCCGAGTCACATTTTTGTTATCTTTAGTAACGATTTATAATTAATTAAATAGAAACGAGCAAATTTCTTCAAACGAACAAAAAGAAAAATAATAATCAACAAAAGAAATGCACATTTTCATACGAATCGGATTTTATAGAATTTCTACAATATAAGTCAGATAACATCAAAGAACTTTCGTAGAAAAGAGCAACACGTATTTTATAAGAGGACTTTCTTTCCTGTCTTTTCTCTTCTGTGACTATGCTTCTCATCGTTGCAAGTATCTGATTAAGAGCTATAGCGTGGGACAAGATGAAAATGCATTGCAAACGACTCATGTCATACGCAATGTATTTTATTCGTCTACAGAAAAATCTACAATATCGACGAGTAGAGTCATATTCTATTCCTGGTTTATGTTTAGCAAGGTAAACATATGCCAATTGCTACGCATCGTCTTCTATTTTATTTTGTTTTCTATTATACTTTTCGTTACTTTTGAACTTTCATACTTCAATCTTCATTTATGGTTTGTATTGTACCTGTAAGCGAAAAAAAAAACATGGTGTCAATTTGTATCCAATTGAGAATATTATTATATATGATAGCATGAAATTATTGTTGAAATATATTGATATACAAGTAAGAGATAGAAAAGAAGATCGATAAAAGATTCTAGGTTTTTTTTTCTATGTAACTATGATGCTTTTATTTTGTTTTTATACTTGTTGTTCCTTCCTTCCGTATGGTTATTGAATATCCACTCGAAAACAAAAAGTCACCTTCATTATTGCTAATAACTTTGCGTGTTTACCTATTGTTAATATCGAGCAAAAAACTGTTTGAATTTCCGCACTACATTCAATATAATGATAGAGAGAATCAGTTTGTCTCGGTAGAAATCAAACAGATGGCTTGATCAATGCTTCTGTAGGAGAACGAAGAAGTGCAAATATAGATTTTCCTCCTATCAATTTTTTCACTAAGCTTATTGATAGTATAGTTAGTCGACTGATTTGTTCTTGATGTTGATTGTATAAATAAGAATCAATACTTGTTCATCTCTCTTAAGTTTTTATGTTTACACAATAGAGTACTAATATTCTGTCTATAAGACCAAATGCGACGACATTTTCAAAAAAATATATATTCGTTACCCACCCGTTAAAAGTCGATAATATGATCTTTCATAGCAACACATATATACGCGATGCCATTGGTTCACTTAGTATTTCGATGAATAAAAAGTTGTATCCATGTACTCAGCATGAAACTGTACTACGTAGGTTGACCTCCTGCCTTCTTTTGTCACCCTACTTTGATTCTCATACAAGAAAAATTCGTTTATTCTTTTGTGTTTTCTCATTTGGTATGCTTATCTTGCATTAGAAAAATGTTCGTTGTAAATATTTTCGGTCGGTACAATAAATTGAATAAAAGAAAAAGATAAGGAAAAGAAAAAGAACCATGGATGATGATGGTTTACTTGGAAATCCTTTGTTGTACACAGCTATATATGATTAGAGATTTTCTTGTGCACGATGATGACAGATTTGTCGATCTTATTATCTTGCATTTTCTTGTTTTCATAACATATAGTTTTTTTTCCTTCTTTCTTTCTCTTTCTACAACAAATAGTAAGTACGATCATTTAATGAAAGCAACATGCAATAGATCGTTGTATGATAAAAGGTGATAGGGACTGAAAATAACATGATAATATTCAAAAATACATTTGGCTGTTTACAATATTATGATAGCTAGAACAAGAGAAAAATATGTAATTATACTATGATTTTTTTCTCTCCCGAAAACAAGATCGAGAATTGAGGATTAACTCAACGACGTCGGAAGAGAAAAAAAGAATAAAAAGTGATAAACGTAAGGAAAATTTACTATAGTTGCCGTCGTCTTTTTTTTCCAGATACAATCTAAAAGCAATCAATTTCTTTATTTGTCATTTTACATCATACTTAACAACAGGCGAAAACTATTTAATAAAAATTTTAAAATATGCACCATGAATGATTATGATGGACACACTGACAGTTTCATCGTATGGCAATATTTCTAATGTTACATTGAACATCAATACAGCAACAGCAACGTCAACAATTCCTCTATGGATTCGAATATTAACATTAACATGTATGACTTTAATAGACATAAGTGCATTTCTCGGTAATTTACTCGTTATATGTGCTTTCTTGCGTACACGTCGTCTACAAACAGTCACTAATTATTTTATAGCATCACTAGCGTTTGCTGATGCATTAGTTGCAATAGTTGTCCTTCCATTAAGTATTTATTATTATCAGCGAGATCGCTCATGGAAGCTCGGTATAGTTTTATGTGATTTGTGGGTGTCATCAGATGTTCTTTTATGTACATCAAGTATACTAAATTTAACTTGTATATCAGTGGATCGATACATGGCTATAACAAAACCATTAACATATACAGCATATAGGTCGAAATTCCTTGCTCGTGTTATGATCTTATTAGTATGGATTGTTTCAGTTGTTATAACGTGTCCACCTATATTTGGTTGGCGAGATAAAAATAGAAGACAAACGGTAAGATGAATGTTTTTTTAGTACGTGCTTTTCAAGTTATTAGAATAGGATACTTGCATGCAACCAAAAAGTATATATATATATATAACTAATCCTATTAAAAATAAATTATAAACGTATTTTCCATTTATAATTCTAGGTCGAGCAACAATTTAAATGCGATTTAAATACTGCACGAGGTTACGTTGTTTATTCAGCACTGGGATCATTTTATATTCCAGGTGTTATCATGATATTTGTTTATATACGTATATTTATGGTTGTTTATGACCGAGAAAGTTTAATAAAGAATTTTCGTGATACTAATCAATCATCAACTTTATCAATTAAATCAAATCCTACTAGTTTTATCAATCAAACACAAGTATCAAATAATAAAAAACAACATGGAAATTTTTCATCATGGTGCTGTTTCTGTTGTCGAAACAAATGTGATGACAATTCATCTGCAAGAACATCAATACCTCATTATTCGTATAATCATTGTCCAAGTATTGAACAAAAGCAAAATGGTTATGTTGTCTATCGTTTTACTACTACCAATAATAATAACAACAACAACAACAACAACAACAACAATAATAATAATAATAATAACAATAATAATAACAATAATAATAATAATAATAATAATAATAATAATCCTACGAATTCAAATATGACTGGGAATTCACCTTTACACACACAACGATCAAGTTCGAAGGCATCACTTTTTTCTCGTTCATGTAAAGCTTCAACGAAAAAATTGAGCACTATATCCGATGATATTTATCAATATCGATGCAATCAATTAACACATATGTCATCCGAATATCAATTTCACAAGGATGATTCATCATGTATTGAATTAAAAACATTAGACAATTCTTTTTCACCATTAACTAAACGTCGATCACGTTCATTCGAACAATCAACAATAAGTAAAATACGTGACTTGAATACAGAACTAAGCCACAGTCGACAACTAAAAGCAGCGGCTGCAGCTGCTGCTGCTGCAATTTCAATAACACCACCAACAGAACCCAAAGAAACAATTCTACAAGAAGTAAGTATTGTATTTATTATTAGTTTTATTTCCAACAATGAATAAAACAGTCATCCCAAACTCATCTTCTCGAAACATAGTTATTATATAGCGACATATACCTTCTCTCAGTTAGACCACTGTCATACTCAAATTTACAACTTGATAATAAGTAAAGACCTTGCAATATTCATTGAAATTGCCAATTGCTATCCGTACCAGAGATGTCTTGATTGTTCGTTCAAGTACACAAAAATAAATTGAAATCTAAAAATATCATATTGTTCCAATTAGATAATTTTTAATTAGTTCTATTAAACGGATCTATCGTAGCATGCAAAGATGATCATATTATAAATAAATCATAAATTCACTTTCCTTTTTTTGATTAACATTTAAAATTATTATTATTTTTTTTTTATTCGAGAACAATATGACAGGAATTTCGACGTCGTTTAACAGCTGTAAAATCCGATAAAGAATAAATATGCATAAAATACAAAGATCTTAAATACTTTTTTGAACATAAGAATATTTATAGAGGCAAAACGATCCTTGATTAGTACGAAAGATAATTTTCAGAACTCAATTTTTAAAGGGTAGCTAATTTAATTATGTTTGAATTGAATTTTTGATTTTTTTTATCTTTGTAATATTCGACGCACTATAGGATAATTAGAAAACTTTATTCGGGTCATGAGCAGACAGTAGAAATTATTTAGGCGAGCATAGTAGTTTTCATCGTTACTTTTGTGCACCTTGAATCATTAGAACACAAGTATCTAAGTATTCATTTCATTTATTCTTGAGGAAATAAAAAGAGTAGAACACCGAAATGCCATTGCACCCAATGAATGAAGACGAACCAAGCCGGAAAATTATAACAAAAGAAAAAGAGCAAGGTGCTACTTCCTACAGTTATACGATATACACTAGCAGTTAATATCTATTATTGTTATTTTTCAGGAAACTTTTAGTCTACTTTTAAAATAATGCTCATTCAAATGAAAACGAAACAAAAAAAATTAATAATCTATTTTATTTTAGAATGGAAGTGAAGGTTTAACATTATCGAACAGAGAAAATGAAGGTGATAATTTATTTCCTTTAATAAATAAAAATCTACATCAAACAAGTCAATCATTAAATGAATTAACGCAATTATCAATTAAACACAATAAACAATTCTATAAGAAAAACAATAGTCAGTATATAATTCCTCTCACACCGCGAGCTCGAGCAACAACAAATCCTTCACTAATGCAAAAAGTTCTTGCAAACAATACAGCATATCCATATTTGCATAGACAAAAACAAAGTCTACCTGAACCAACACGTATAAATCGTCGAGTAAAATCTTCACGTGTAATACACACGTCAGCATCAACATTATCGATAGATAATATTAAACAGCAACATCGTATAACAAGTGCTTCATCAGCGCCATCATCAAGATCTTTATCTATCGTACGTCGTTGTTTGAGTCGAAATGAGAGTTTAAATGAAATGAATTCCAATCAAAAATCTTCTTGGTGTTGTTCTTGTTGGTTTTCTTCACTGTCAACTAGTAATTCGTATCCGAGTAAAACAAAACCAATGTTTAATTCAACACCAAGTCATTCATTAACAAATGATGATGATGATGATGAAAAACTTTCATCAAATGACACAAATAATCGTACACCTTTGTATACACCAGTACAATCAACACATTTAACATGTAGAAGTGTGCGTAACACTGGGACGCCAAGTGATGTTCATCGCCGAGAACGTATACGTTTTATGAAAGAACAAAAAACAGCAAAAACATTAGCTGTTGTTGTAGGTGGTTTTATTCTTCTTTGGCTACCATTCTTTATTATGTATGTTATACCACCAGAAAAACATGTATTTAACAATCAGACAGTAACATTAATAACATGGCTTGGCTATTTTAATTCAGTTATTAATCCATTTATTTATGCTTATTGTTCAAAACAATTTCGTACGGCTTTCTGGAATATAACATTTGGCATTTTTATTAAAAAATCATCTGCATTATTACCAATATCGAAAAAAAATAAACAATTACATCAAAATAATACAAATGCCTAAAAATTTCTATATATTTTTGTTTGTATTTGTATAGAGTTGTAAGTTCCTTCCTGATTATTTTCGTATGCGGCTACCATTTTATTTTTGAATAAAAATTAAATGAAAGGCAACTATCTTCTTATATTATATTTTATAGGAAAATGCACATTTCATTAGTGGAATCTCTTTTTTTTCAATAAATTGACAAAATAGTTGAAATACGGTATTCTTTTGGATTAAAAAAATGGGGAGTGGCTCTTAAATAGTTCCATCAATTAATGTGTAGCTGCTTCCTATAGCTTTCCAGGGGGAAAAGTTGATTCCGTTGATTCCATGCGATTCTGAGTGATTCCGTGTGGTTCCATCAGCTCTGGAATCACTATAAATATCACTATTTTTCGACTATGATGCCGTAACATCAATAGGAACATTATAGAATCATTATAGAGATGAACTCAAGGGAGGAAAATCTGATTTCATGACTTCGTGATTCTACTGATTCTATGTAATTCTGTTGATTCTATATGATTCCGTGTGATTATGTGTGATTCCGCGTGATTCCGTATGATTCCATCGGTTCTGGAATCACTATGAATATGACTGTATTTCTCGACTATGACGTCGTAACATCAATAGGAACATTATCGAATCATTTTAAAGATGAACTCTGAAGACTCTCGATCATTCTGTTCAATAGAAAAATCAGTTCACTCATAATCGTAAGAATCATTGAGTCGAGCACAAGAGATATAATCTGTATATTGCTGAATCTCAGCCAAAAGCGTACCAGTTATCGTTTCACAACAATAAGATAGCATATTAGAATGATATCTAACCGATCAATGAACCAGTGCGGTTGGTTTCAGTGTTTTACCAAGACCATTCAAAGGATTACAGATTGCAAGTGAGCTTTCTCGGCTGACAATGATGTCAAAATGTTAGATTTGGTTGGAATCAATATTAAGTCGTGAAAGAAATTGGATTACTGTTGTTTCGCGTGTTTTCATTATTTTCCATCCTGATTACCACTGTTGCTTTGATTTCGAAACCGGAGCGCATAGTTAATATATACAGTTTGTAGAAGTTCCATGGGATGGAGAGAGGAGTCCTCAAACGTCAAGAAGTGAAGGATCGTGAAGAGAGTAAACTCCAAAATTATAAAGCAGACTGAGGGCTCAAGTAGATGACTTAAATTTTCATTTTTCTTTCTGTATCAAACGCAAAAAATAGTAACTTCGTGTATATTAGCACCAATCTTTCCTAGAAAGTTGAGAATCATAGGATATTCTATAGACTCTGTTTGAACATCATTATTTGTGACTCTCAAGGCGGAGAAAGTACTGCGACGGAACAGCAGCATCGCGAAGAATATATAAAAACTACTTTGTGGGACTGAAGCTGTGTACTTCCGACCATTCGCGTCGACGCCGTTATTAGTTAAGCTAAAAACTGCATGCATTTCTTGTAGTATGTATGGAGAGAAAGTTCCGTTTGAGGTATACTGTCTTTCATACTATGATCATCGCACGCGATGTGTTGCAACATGTCCACACAGAACACAAAAACACAAAAACGTGAATATAGAAGGATGACTTTGTACTGGCTCTCGACTGATGCATCATTATGAAAACTCGGTGTTTATGACTTACGAGCGCGACTACGTAACATATAGACATTGAGTGTCAACAGAACGCAACAAAACATAGCTTAACCAGTTGGATTAAAGAAGATATGCATTGCTCATTTTAGTTATAAAAACGTGCCCTTCACACCTATCATAGGTCTTGGCAGAAAGAGAAGTTGACGATTCTTCGTGACTCGCAATTTTTTACTTTCTAGCTGTACCCTGTCTGGCACTAATCAACTTCTTTGAGGCATTACTAAAATGTACGCTTCTCTGAATCCAAAAGAATCTGATGGCATTGTTATTAATGAGTTTTGAAAATCTAAAGATAGGACCCGATTGACTCTGATTGTTAAATTAGAAAATTCACAACATCATCGTGTGTTCAAGGAATCGCAAAACAAAGCCACATTTTGGCTGTAGTCAAAATGTATTGATCTCTTTTATTTTGGATAATTTTTTATTCGAAATAAGGATGTCGAAAACACCAATCTACGTAAAGTATGAAACAAGAGAGATCGCGTAGGTCGAAAACTTTCTTATTTGCTCATTATCAAAGGTGATAGAAATTTGCAATTGTAAGAGCTTTGGTGCAAGTTACATCGAAGAATATTAATATCTTAATTGGCTATAGGATATGAATGGTCACTTAGTCTTACCAGAGCTGGGCAAGTCAGAGATTTTGCAAGTCACAAAAATACTTTTCAAGTCAAGTCAAGTCAACTGTATAAAAAATTTTTTCCAAGTCAAGTCAAGTCAAGCCAGACTTGACTTGACTTGACTTGACCAACTCTGTATAGCACTTATCGATTGTTACAGTGGCGCGTGCAGAACAGATAAGAAAGAAAAGAAAACTAATTGTTACAAGATATGTGTAATTGGATTCCAATTGTACTTATCTTGCAACAATTGATATTCTTTTCTTTTGTTGTTCTGTGCGCATTATATTTACACAGATAAATAAATTTTCTCTTTTATTGTTTCCTGACCGTGGTGTATTCTCACTCAACATTAAAAAAGTCACACAATCAAAGATCACAAAATTTAAAATTTAAAAATCTGGAAAATTCATAGAAAACAGTAAATTCGTCCAAAAATAGATAATTGTTTTTTTTTTATTATGTCAAGTCAAGACTTGACTTGGTTGGTTTGACTTGACTTGATCTGACTTGGCTTGACTTGACTTGACTTGACTTGACTTGGCTTGGCTTGGCTTGACTTGACTTGGCTTGGCTTGACTTAGGGCATTTTTGACTGACTTGCCCAGCTCTGAGTCTTACTGTACTAAGCAAAGATAAATGAATCGTTTATCTTTAGGAAAAAACGATCAGTAAACCATTTATCTTTATTCTTTAATATAAAGGAAATTAAAGATAAAGGATCTCCCCTATTTTAGAGCAGTTTCTAACTTACCAAACAGACTCATGTCGCTGATTCCAGCAGCCAGTCAAGTTTCCTAGGTGTTCTAACTTGGAAAAATCGAAGAATCGTTCTGGGCTCAGTCAGTTGAAAATTGCTTGGAGACCTGATTCTGTACCAGAAAATTGTTAGATAATCTGGTTGATATGGTAAAAGCTGTCCGAAAACTTATCGTGTTTAGTCTCTTGAGGAATGAAAATGTGGAAATCAGAAACTCTATTTGTTGTTTACTGGAGATAAAATGTGAAAGGGCTTCAAATAGCTTAACAAATAAATCATCCAAAATAATTACAGCTTCTTTTATAATTGATACGCATGCTCGTATATATAATCATGTGGAAAATGTGTTTATGTATTACTATTATTTGAGCAATTTATTGGATTCATTTAATATTGTTAGACTGAAAACGTTTTTTCTGTTGTGAAATATATGGCATCTTAAATGCATCAATTCTTTTCTTCCAATGGCAATATGCGACATACGTTATATGAAGTGTAAATATCATTTTATTCTTTCAATCGTTTTGACTGCCATGTTAACTTGCTATATACATTGATTTGATCATTTAGGAAGAGCCTGACGCACTATTACGTGTTTTGACAAATAATGAGATATAAGTTGAGTTTTATCTAAATTTGACATTCAATTATTTCATAATTTTTCGTGGTGCTCATCCTATTCTTACGCTATTAATTGAATAATGGCTTCGCCCTACTGAATGGCATCTACTAAAACACCATTTCGTTATGCATTAAATACCAAAACGCGCTATATTTAGACTACGTAGTGAGGGTGTACAGAGTTTCAGAATAATATAACCATCGTTATTGTTTATGGACCTTTTCTCTATACTATAGAAATCTGCTCAATAATCTTTGATTTTATTCTCTTCTTCTCGCTCGCCATTGCTAGAATGAAGAGCAAGTTGCGAAAACCTCGATTTAAACGGACAAACATGCATATTTTCTTCGAAAGTATACAGGAGTTTATAAAAACCTCCTTGTTTACTGTAAAATGGCGAAATTAACTCTACTGCTCAGGGGAAAACTGTCAAAAAAGCTACTTAACTACCGCTAACCAATGAAATCTATTCGATCAAGCATGATGAGAAACTTAGGCATGTATTTCTTAGGTGTTTCATTTCATGTGATTCCGAGTGATTCTGTACGATTCTGAGTGCTTCTATTGATTCTGTGTGATTCCATCGCTATAGAATCAGCTTTTCCCCCCTTGATAATTTCGCTCGATATTCTTTTAAACTTTATTCTTTCTGGTTAAGATTAAATATATAAGCATTCGAATTGAAATAGTTTTATTAATGATAAATTCTAACGTATCTACAATTGTTAAATGAATCATAGCAATCCGATAATAAGAAAATTTTATGGATTCTATTATTATTTTTGTGTTTTCTGAATTATTGACTATACCAACTTGCAATGGTAATATTTCCTTTTGATTAAAAGATGCAACATGCGCATGTTCCACTTATTTGTCTTTACTAAATTCAATTTTCTATCAGCCTTTTCGTATCAAGACTTTCTTAAAATTTTTACAACGTTTAAACACATAAACATCAATCACTTATTTAATCAAGAAAACAATAGATTAAAACAAAAACATGATGAGGTTTTCTTTTTATAAACTAATACTAAAGTTGATCGTCATGATAGTGGTTACATAGCTGTTTTCATACAAGTTTGTATACATGTCTACATGAAGGAAATTTATATAATTTAACAAATGAAAAAGTTTTTTTTGTCAACATGAACTCGTGACAACGTCTTATTCTGAAGAGCACAAAAAGAAAGAGAAGTGTAGGAGAAATAAAATATAAACGAGGATGAGATTTACGAGTCCAAACGATTATTTTGTAGGATGACTGTCAACTATGGTCCAACGTCATCGAGCAATTATGAATAACTTAGTGAACAAATAGGAGAAGGCGTTTCTGATGAAAATGTTTTTAGAAGCATGTAACAGCTACTTGGAATGAATTTGCTTCAAAATGCGCCGATTATAATTATTCATGTTTTATTCTTGAAGAGACAGTGCCAAATTTATATTATATGAGCCGAACGACATGTTTCATATAACCTTCAATTTTTTTCAATTGAAACAACCAATTATTTGCTGAATACGATACAAAAAAATCATGTTTCTCAATACTGGAAAGCCTATCATTATAATAATTTCATAGGATATAGTAAAGTCTATCTAAGTACACCAGAACATGTCTGAAATTAGATCTAATATCAGAGAAACTAGTATTTTAGATGGTCACTTGACTAATATTATACCGGGTACTTTTAGAAGATTCTATGTCAAAACTAGTATAAATAATATGTAGACCATTTCTTACTGTATACAGCTTACTAAAACATGTTTTTTTTTCTACATCCATTGATAAACAAAAGCAATCCTTTTTGTTTGTTTGGTGACACAATACATCATTAACTATATTTTATAAGCTATTGTTTATATACATGATTCAATCGGTCGAACATTTTAGACTGGTCATATTTACTGTAAAACTACATCATAGAACTGGTTGACTTCACAAATGATACATAATGATTGTGTATTTTCGGAAAATATCCAAATAGATTAGATTTGGCTTGAAAACAGATTCACATTCATTCTTCTTGTTATTTTCTATTTGCAAAATGAATCAAAAATCTAAAAGTTGATCTATTTTTTAAAGTCATTAAACATGATCTGTTTTCAAAAATATTTTCCTCCGTTTTCTTACAATAATTATAAGATGCGATGAATGGTGACATCTTTTATTGATGAAAGCCCTGATTGTAGTTTCTATTGGATTCAATAAAGAACAAGTCTATTATAAAATATGTATACTTGAGCTCTGAGATTTTGTTTTATAAATCAAAAGTAAATAAGATTTTTTTTTAAATAAAGCTATGAGATGAAGTTAGTTATATGTGTAATCGTTGAACGAGATCTTGAGGCTTTGCTTCTTACTGAACAAAATTTGGGTCGTGGATATTGGTTTCCATTCGATGAAATTCAACCGGGTGAAACTCGAACTCTTGCTGCTAAGAGAATAGCGAATAAAGTTAATATTTGTTAAATATCTTATCACAAATTATTTTTTTGAATATACGTTTAGATCGGCCCACATGATTTTGATCCAATATGTGTACTGAAAATTCGATGCAGTGATTTGCTACCATGTTTACCCAGCACACACACGTATTATCTACTCACTAAAAGTTCATTGGTACTCATCAACTTATTTTGTAATGCTACTTTTTCTTTTTGCAATGGCAAATGTTTTTTTAGATACGTGCTAATGTACCTAATACAGTGAAATCAGTATGGATGAATTTAGAACGGATAAATATGGCAATTAAAAATCGAGAACTACTTGGACTTGAACCGTATAATGTATTAAAAACTATTCTTGAACGACAACAAACAAATGGATGGGGTATTCATGACTTTGAGTTGTATGATGTTTCTATTTTTAGTTTTGATTTAGATAAATTATCATCTGGTGGGAAAATATTTGAGGAGCCAACATTTCAAGTAGTTGATTTTCAACAAACTGGTTTAACTAATCTAGCAAGTTCTTCGCCACTCGAGCAATTAATAAGTTCAGCTAAATTCACAAACAAAGGTGCAAAGATATTTCTTTTATATATTTTTTAACAACAAAAATATTCTCTTTCTATTCAGTTCAAGAATCTATTTTTAAAGAATTCTATTCATATACATTTCCAAGTGAACATATGAGTTTGAAAGCATTCACTGAAGCAATGGATAATAAATTATCAACGACAGAAAAAAGTAAAATTCAAGCTTATTTTCGTGCATTCGATTCGCAAAAAAATTCATATTTAACTTATACGGATTATTTGATCGGTCAGTTTGTTGATAGAATTTGATTTTAAAGAAAGTTATTCTTCTATTCAGGATTAGCTGCGATGGATCCAAATACTTCACATGGAGGTATGCGATCATTTTAGTTTCTTTTAATCATACTTCGATGAAAAATTTGATTAGGAACACCGGCAGAGTTACGTTGTCGATACATTTTTCGTTTTTATAATGCTAAAAATACAGGACTTATGTCAATAGAAGAATTTCGGTATGTAATTTTATTTTTATTTCTAAAAGATCTATTACACTTCTGAACTATCAAGATTTGATCGACTATTTCATGCAAAAACTAACCAAAACCTTCAGATGACGCGAGAAATTTCCTTGTGACTCGCGATTTCTACTATAACATGAGCAAACCTCTTACTAGTATTATATGATTCTAAATGTTTTAGCTATTCTCACATTTTAGTTTTGCTGATATATCTAAACAAAAGTTTCTGTCATAAATAAGAGATTTTGAGATAGATAACTATATCTTACGATATGAGATACTAGTATTTTTTCATCACTGTGAATACTTACAGTAGTATATCTAATTTACTATCCTTTTATAAGAATTCAATTACCTATCGCACATAGAAATACTTATTATAAAGCAGCAATCATGTGAATTGAGTCGTGAAAAAGTAACCTTCAAAGAGCAGTACTATAGAATATAATGTGTAAAGATAAGAACTGTAAATCAACCTCAAAGATGTATATTAATTTATAATCAATGGATCTCTAGGCAATGTATCGAATATCCTGACAACTTATCTTCTTCAAGAAGACTGATCAAGAAAAAAAAGTCAAAGATGCGTATTACGTTACTAAATTTTACGTATGCGATAGCTCAAAATACCTCGAGTTATCGAAATCGGATATAAATAGAAAACGCTTAAACTATAAAAAGAAAAGTGATAAGAAACAAACCGATAATCTAATTAGTAACACTATTGGAATAGAATTCTAAATTAGAATTGAACTATCTTAAATTATAATAATCTTTTATCCGTATAATTATTTTGTATTCATAACTGTTAGTTGATATTGGTAGAGAAAATAATATCGTACATACAACTCGTACCAGCAGTTGCACAGTTTAATGCTTTTGTTTTTATCGGGTGGCCCAGGTTAAGTGTCCCTCTCAGTGTTTTTTCAATAACTTCATCATTTTCATTTTCTAGGCCTTAGATTTTTTCCAAAAGATTCACCATTCAAGTCTCTACAAGATTGATACTACAATTTTTTCTGTTGAAAGTTGAGGAAAAAAATTTGAAAAAGAATATTCAACAAGTATAACAGCATCAACTTTCAAAGCTGGAAAATAGTTTTTGCAGATTTTTTCGTTGATCAGTGACGATAAAAATTAAACAACGTAGGTATTTGTAGCCTTTGCAAATCTCTATCTTTCGATCATAATTGAGAAGTTTCCATATTCAACCTTGTAATGCGCACTCTAAGTATCTTCTCTTTCAGATTTGTGAGAATTTAGCTCTTTCAATCTACAATTTCAATACTCCCAGGAAAAGAAACACAACTAAGTCAAAATCTCATTTTTTGCATTCATTTTTTTCCATTTTGATCGAAATGGTCCACTGTACCAAAGTGGAACGCGAAAAATTTGAGTTTTAATTTTTTTCTTTAATTCAGTTAGCGCCAATATCTGATTTAAGCTATTTTGACTAAGAGAATTGTCAAAAAGTCAGATTTTTCGATCTTTCGTTTGATTTCAACGAATTCTGAGCTACACGACGGGAAACAGTACACTTCGAAGTACTCAGTAACATCTTTGCTTCTGTTTCGTTCTGTGTGCCATTGTAAAAAATTTGCAAAAGTTTGTTTTGAAAATCACTGTGAAAGTTGATGTTGTTGTACTTGTTGAATATCTTTTTAAAATTTTCTTCCTTAACTTTCAACAGAAAAAATGGTAGTATCAATCTTGTAGAGAATTGAACCATGAATCTTTTGGGAGAAAACTAAGGCCTAGAAAATGGAAATGATGAAGTTATTGAGAAAATGCTGAGAGGGACACTTAACCTGGGCCACCCGATATCACAGATTTGTGCATTTTTATAAATGAATTGTGCTCGTCTGATGAAGTCTACTATAAAACATGGATATTTCAATTGTTGTTAGCTTTGAATAGATAATCAAATACTGAATATCAGTTCATTATTGTTCTGATATTTCACACTGACTAGTGCTGGTCCTATCTTTGTAACGCATAGTTCATACAAGAACTTTGAATTTCAAAAGCATAGATCTCTCTCTCTCTCTCAGCTATTCCTCTATTAAATGAATAATTTGCTTGAATTTGAATATTAAAATACCGCTTGTTTTTTCTTGTAGAGCTCTTCATACAGATGTGCAAAGTCGAAAAATCGGTAAATCAAATGATGATCCTACATTAAACAATGAAATTCTATCGACATTCAAGTACGTTTTATTCACTAGAATTTTTATTTTTATTTTTTAATTGTCGCCTTCAGTTCTTTTAATCTACAACCAAGTAATCAACTAGCGTTAGTAGACTTTTTAAACTCAGTTGGACAATTAAAATATCGTGGTACATCAGTTCTATTTCGTCTTACTGCAGTTACACAAGATCTATTACGAATGTCTAGGTCTGCTTCTTTTTCCAATGAAAATATTTGTTCACATGATATAATTTAAATTTTAGACGATATAGAGATAATCAGAATGATCGAAGTAAGTTAAACTTAAATAAATATTTTCTATTAAAAGTGTTTTGTCAGGTGAAGACAACATCAATTATGAAATAGCTGATCATTGTGTAACATTGAAAAAATCTGGCACACTCTACCAAGTTGAATCGTTACGTGCTATGAATTATAATACTCAATTTAGCAAAACTACAGAAGAAAAATTGAGAAGTTTACCACGATCACTATCAGAAGAAATATTCGATCGAGTAATGAAAAATATAAAATGCAATGATTTTTCTGCAAGTTATTTTAATTTTAATGTAGAGAACAACTGCTACCGATATTCAAGAAATGTTACGTTTATTTGAAAAGCATGATCATACAAAAGATGCATTAGTGTGGTCACCTTATTCAACGAACCAGTTAGGTAGAACTGTCATTACTCTATGTAAAGAAGTTCGGGAAATGATAAGATGTGAACCACGTTGTCTTAAATTATCATCTCCATGTTATATTCTTGGAGATTTACATGGAAATTATGAAGATTTAATTTGTTTTGAAAAATGTTTATGGCGTGCAACGCCATTACTTGCACCAGCATCATTTCTTTTTCTCGGTGATTACGTTGATCGTGGTATTCATGGATTGGAAGTAAAATTGTTGAAATCAATCATGACATTTTATTTTTAAAACAAAATTTTTCTATGTTTCAGGTTGTTATTTACTTGTTGGCGTCGAAATTTCAATGTCCAAAAAAAGTTTTACTTCTTCGAGGAAATCATGAAATTAGAAAAGTTCAACAAATGTTTAGCTTTCTAAAGTAAGTCTTTCAAAAACTATATGAACTTTATCATTGAGCTTGATATATAGCAGAAAAATAACAAATTCCATCACTGAAGTATATTATAATTCTGTCTGAGTTAGAAGTTCATCGGATTTTGGGTTTAGGGGGGAACATTACTAGATAATAATCAAGCTGCTAGCCAACAATTTTTTTAATAGAAAAAAACTATTTTAATTCTAGAAAAACCCTCGAGGAAAGATTATAGAGATAGAAAAAATTCAGTCTCGAGATTTTGAGCTGAGATGTAATTCAGACATAGGCAAGATGATCAATAGAATATTCTGAAATGTTCAAGCGAAACTCGTACGATTTGAAACTCTGTTTATTCATTATTTGTCAAATAACTAAAAACTGGATCGAAAACTGATTACAATGATCGTGAAAAAGCCTGTCGTAATAATTCTTGAAAGTATTTCTGGTCGTACTATGACGTTCTTATGGATTCAATATTGATTGAAATGATTGATATCAGTTCAAGTGATCACTGAGCTAGAATGTTATCGAATTTCCATATCAGCCTGATGAGCTCTATAGGAAGTGACGTGGTCTCGAGTGAAGGTGCTTGCTTTCTTTGACATCTCTCGTGCAGTACCTGTTTGTTTTTGAAAATCTCAAGTTTTGTACTCATTTTTATCTTTTTGGTCTAATAAAAATCTACATTGTATGAAATTTATTTGATTAATAATATATTATCACCTGACATTTTTCTCTAGTAATATGTACTCGATTCATCGTTTATTTCACTGTAAATGTGAAGTCTGTAAAAATTGTAGGCAGTTAAGGAACGCGATAATAGATGTTCATAAATAACTTAGAAAAACACGCGTCAGTCAATAGCAACTGATGTCTAAAAAGTAATTTATTTTTCCATGAGTATTTATTTCTTTCATTCTTCTTTGATTGAACCAAGTAAATATTAGAGTTCTTTCATTGGAAAAATTTTAATATTTTTATTTCTTTCCTCAAAGTGTACACCATGATATGCTATCGTATATTAGAAGCTTTCTATACCTTTGCTTGTCTTTCATAATATAATTAATAGTCTCTTACAAGTAATCTAAGTGGATTTTTGCTATAAAACAACGATTTTTATTTTCATCAATTTAACTTTGAAAAAGTTTATTTCATTTAAAAAAATACTGATATGACATTTATGTGCTGTCAGATGTTTGCTGTTTTGTTAATAAATTTTTAAAGAATTCATTTTCCCTATACTTACAGAGAGTGTCTTACAAAATTCGGTGATACATTAGGTAAAGAGGTATGGGATGCAATTAATTCTGTTTTTGATGTTCTTCCACTTGCTGCAGTAATTGATGATAAAGTATGTCAAATTAAATTTAAAAAGAAACCACATCCGTTCTATATTATTTTCACAATTTAGATTTTATGTTTTCACGGCGGCATTCCAAGTCCAGCTTCCTGTCCAGGCGACTTTATTTCAATGGTTAATGATATACCGGTACCACTAAGTGATCCAGAAATAGAATCCCCACTTGCATGGGAAATAATGTGGAATGACCCATTTTCTATTGATAAAAATATGATGCTTCAAATACCGAATGGTGCTAAAGCTGGATTTTTTAATAATACAAGAAGAAGTACAGGCAACTATTTTACTAATGAAGCGCTGACGGCATTTCTAGCGAAAAATAATTTTACACATGTTGTACGCGCTCATGAGGTGCAACAAGCAGGCTTTAAAGTATGCTATTTATTTTTTCAATTTAATTATTTGAAAGAATTCAAAATTTAATGTCGAAGCTATTTGAATATTTTACACGAAACTGAAAGAAGTTTTTATCCCTATATGATCTCAAAATTAAAACCAGTTCTCTACATTTCTGATCACTCACCAGTCAATATCATACTAATAAATTTGATATAGGTTGTCAATATGGTGGTGCGGGTGTATGCAAGGGTGCAACATAGGGATAAAAAAAAGTAACAGTGTAGTTTTCTAAGCATCCAAGTACTGTGTACGTATGAGAAAGCTTCCATGATCTTGAATTCATCCTAACTTTGTCGATTAAGTCGTGTCTAGTTTATAACACGAGAATAATTTTTTGAACAAGAAATAGTGAATTTCAGATAGTTTACATATTCGAAAAATAACTAACTTGTTTCTTTCGTATAAAATTCAGATATTCTCTTGAATCACATCTCATGTAATAGACCAAGTCGAAGCCAATCAAAGATCACGGTTGGTACATACACACATATTTATGCTGCCGCATTGCCACCCCTGAATCTTGAGAGTGAATCCTAGTGCACATTTATATATATATATATATATGTATATGGGTCTAAGTAGTACAAGAAATACTTCGAAAGTAACATGTCACCTAAGATTACCATTATTTATTATGAGAAACAACTAGTCTCAGAATTTTCTTATAATGATATTAGTTGAAGAACGATAAAATATCATATAAATGTAGAGATTTGTTTTCTATTATCAGATCATATAGGGAAAAACGTTTTTTGAAGTTTTGTTCAAATAATTCTAATACCGTTGCCATTAGTGCTGATTTATTATAAGTACTACTATTTTAAAATATAACCTATGTAGGTGCAATTGGGTGGTCACCTTCTGACAGTTTTTTCATCGTCACATTATTGTGGTGGTACAAACGATGCTGCTGCTGTTCTTGTTGACTCATCAAAATTACGGCTAATAAGACTTCATACAAAATAGAACGAAGAATTTTTTACTTATTTTTGTTTTCTTTTATACATATTTTTTTAGTTGCTATCTTGAGAATATTGCTTTTGTCAGTAGTCAGCGTGATCTGTCTGATAAAATTGTTGTATCCCAATGAGAATTAATTAATTGATTTTTCATGCTTACTTAACACAACTCATGTTCGTCTGTGTATACTGATGTATTATTTTTTTTTACTTATTAACACTTATATTCCTGAATCAACCCGAATATTTAACATGAAATATAAACAAGATAATAACATAATTTCTACTATATATCAATTACGTTTTCTTGATCAACCATATGAATTCAAATGCTATTAGATATTTCAAACTCTTCTGAACTTGAAATATGTGGATTCTTTTCTATCATTCAATTATTAGTATTTCTACATATAATTCATCTCAGTCAGGAAATGATCTAATGTGTTAAATAATAAGAATGAAATTCGTTCAACTATTTCAAAGTTCTAATTTAGTCGTAGTTTTTTATGCTAAACATATTTCAATATCAGAAAATTTTCGTACATAAAAATCATGCCTGCAAGTATAATTTGTTGGAAAATTTTATTCGACCTTTCGTGATATGGAAGAATTTCATTTTCTCAAGCTTTCTATTAGCGTAGTATTGCAATTATATTCTATAAAACAAAGAACATCTGCCATAAACATTTTCCTTCTGTCTAGGAAAGTTTGGTATGCTTCGACATCATAGAAGATTCAGGGTCGTCTCTTATGTGGAAGGTCATGATGACTGTCACTAATACATGTCTCAGGTACTATATGAAAAAATTCAACTTTTTGAAATCAGTATAAGTTTTATTTTTGAGAGTTACATGCAAATGTTGACTTAGCATGATTGAATTGACAGTGATCACTACGGGGAAAATATGGTCCGATCTCAATTTTTCGCTTTGTTCATCAGAATTTCAATAATTTTACTGTTTACTAAATTGGCAAATTCTGCTCAAATCTATCAAAACGAAGTAAATTTGAGCAAATAATACCCCAACAGGCTGGTCTAATCATAGAACATTTCTTGTGACTGATGAACTTGGAGAACGACTGATTATAATATACGCATGAATTTAAGAATCAAATGAATATTATCATTTATGACGAGAAAATAACATTTATTTTAAATGATAATGCATAGCTAGAAGTTGGATTGAATCACATAGAAATAAATTTGTTCTTCGCTCATACTAAATATAAAACAATGTTAGTTATTCCTTGTTGTAGAATTTTCTGTCCCTGAAAAATGTTGATGAAGAAATAAATTTTTGATTTTTGTAACAAATTGTTTTCGAAATTGTCGCGAAGCAGAACAATATAAATAAAAACCAACACCAAAGTAAACTGAGCTCCACATCAGAAGATATGATCGTACTATTGAATTTGTATCATTATTTTTTGATTGTTCATAACCATAATAAATAGCATAAATATTAAATGGTAACTGTGTTACTATATATGTAATAACGTTTATTGAAACCATTAATAATAATGTACGATCAGTAGCTAGTACGTTTTTTTGCCGGTGAATAATATTTGTAGTGGCTAGTTTTAATATTGGGACAACAGTAAGTGCAATTGGTGGACCACACGCTGCTGTTTGTGGGGCAACACGTTTTCTTGATTTTCCAATATTAAAAAGCATTCGACAACTACATACAATCATAATAGGGACTGGTATAAGACAAATAATGGCGAAGCGTATAGGTGGCATAACATGCATAACTAAAGTGTAAAGGGTATCATTGAAAGTAAATGTACAATAGCCGTACTGGCCATAGATATTTAATGGATGAAAGAAAAATGCATAAAGTAACATAGAACATATTATATAGATTATTGAAAGTTTTAAAACATTCTTTGGTGTACACCATACGCGTGAAAGTATAGGATATTCTGAACGTAGAAAACGATCAATTGATATTGTTGTTGCTAATAAAGAACATATTGTAAGTGTTGAATTTTGTAACCATAAGACGAATTGACATCGAAATACATCTGATGGGAAAACTTCAAAGGTAAGTAGACTGCCGATAAATTCGAAAATCAGAGATAATAAATGAATTGTATTAGTTATATTAAGTAAAAGGAACAGTAAGCCTGTTGATACTCGACGTAATTCCTTTTGCGTAAAAAGCAATAATGAAAAAAAGTTTCCAATAAGTCCAGCTGTATAAACAAATGTTCCTATAGTAGCAGCAGCAATATATATGGGATTCATTGCTTTTAATATCGTAATAATATGAATCCTTGTGTTCAGTAGGTTGTTTTTATTTGCATGGTTTAGCCTTTTCATAGCATTATTTTATTAATTTGTCATTATTTTAATAAAGGGTAATGATGAAGAATGTCTTTTTTTCCTTTGCACAAATAATATAAACGTTGATGTCATATCTTTTTAGGAAAAATAATGAGGAAAATGTGTCCTAAATACATTTCTCAAATAATTAAAAGGGTCTTTATGGCAATACGCATATTGAAATAGACAGCATGATGACGTTGCCGATTCAAGAACAGAAAGAAAATAGGTTACTTCACATTGTGTGAGACGTTGAAATAGTATATCAAGAAGTCCAAAAATCTTGTATAACTTTCGCTTCGATATAGAAAGAAGTTTTAGTGAGAATTAATTCTAAGATTGGTTTGATAAAACAAAAATCACAGTTCAATGAATATGAAAATATATTTTATTATCTTTTCTTAGTAAGGAAAATGTTCTATCCCGTCTTGTAGCATCATCGATTCTTTTATACAGCAGACCACTACTTCAGTTGATCGTCAATAATAATTATCGCGTATCTATTTCAACTATTCTAATAGAATAATTAACATATTAATTCATTTTTTTTTAAACATATATGTTTATTGTTCCCATAGTTGGGTTAACAATTAGACAAAATCACCGTTTTACACCATATAGAGATAGAGATAATTAAGAAGAGTGAGCAAGAATAGAATGGCAGAGACAAAAAACAAAAAACAAAATAAAATGAAAAGTTTATGTGGATACATTGGAAAAGTATTTTAGAACAAAGTGTTCAAGAAGAGAAGAGGTAGTTTTGAAAAAGCAGAAATGTCTTTTGTGTACATTCATGAATGAGAGAAAATCCAGATATGTATGGTTTGCTCTTTTATACAGTCTATTCCCAAATTTGCTATTTTCCCTCATGCCCACGCTCTTATAGTATGCTTTTGAGGGGTCAGTGGCAATTAAAAATGCTGTCCATGTTTGTCTATATGCTTCGGCTTCTGGTGCTTCATCCAGATGTTTCTGAAAACGAATCCAGTATTTGTAAACATAGCCCCTTAATGATAATTCTCTACTCAGGCATAAGGTTGTAAAGTCTTCATAGCCGTATAGATTATATACCAATCTTAGACCTGTTCCATATATGTGCTCTAATTTTTGCTTCTGCAGGTTGGTGAAATAGAACCAAGTTGATAACAGCCATGTTATGTGTGGAAGTGAAAATGCACAGAAAAGTTTTTTTCTTATTTGGATTTCATGCTTTGGTATCGTTTTAAATATTCTTCTTAGTACACTATAACTGCATTTCACTTTTTTTAGTCGATTTTCTATGTGTTTACCTAGCCCTAATTTCGTACCTATCTCTACTCCTAAGAATTTATAGGTTTTAACATATTCGATTTTAACATTCTTATAAAATAAATCTGGCTTTTCGACGGCTACTGTACTGTGTATTAACATAGCCTTTGTCTTTTTAGTGTTAACTGGTAGATTGTGGTCATAAGCAAATTTCTCAAGTGATTGTAACACTATTTTGGCTTGATTTTGAATATAGATGAGGTTGTCAGATAGTTTTTTCTCCAGGGCCCCTTTAATAACCATTGTTAAGTCATCAGCGAAAAGATGACAGTTTATTTCAGGAAAATATGATGGTAAAAAGAAAACATGAAGTCTAAACAGGAGTGCTGCTAGCACACTACCTTGTGGAGCTCCTACTGAAATACTAAATATCTTCGATTTCATATCACCATGACTTATAAACATTTTTCTATTTTGTAGCCAGTTATAGATCCATTTTCTTAGTTCTATCGGCATGTCTAACCTTTCTAGTGCTCTCATTAAGGCAGGATACCACATACGATCGAAGGCGGTAAGGAAGTCAACGAAAATTGTAAGAGCAGGTCTATTTGGTGCAGCTATTGTCAACCTTAGGTCTTCAATCATTGCCACGATTCTCGTTTGTAGTCGTCTGTTCGCTGTGAATCCAGATTGTTCGTCAACATACACTCCTTGATCTTTGCACCATTTTTCGATACGCTTAGCTACTATTTTCTCAAAGATTTTAGACAAATTAGGTAACAGTGAAATTGAACGAAGACGATCTTCCGTTGGGAATGCTCCTTCTTTAGATAGACATATCCCTTTTGCGATTTTCCCTCTCTCAAAAAACTCCCCTTCATCAGCACATTTATTAAAAAGAGTTGTTATTCTATATAGATATTCTTGTGGTAGATTTTTTAGTAACTGAGCTGATGTATCAGTGCTATCAAGAGATTTTTTGGACTTTAGTCCCTTCCATTGCTCAATTACTTCCTCGAGTTTTATTTTCTCCATTGGAATTTTGACATTTTTTTCAATTCTTTCGTATGCTTCTATACATTCCATATGAAAAGGACTTTTAGAATTAAATATTGGTTTCGAAAAGTGTTTTTCATAGTACTCAGCAAGTCTACTGACTATTTTTTGATTGTCTTTTACTGTCTTATTTTCAACTGTTATACCCTGAAATGAAGGCGTATATGTACGAAATTTATTTTTAACATATGTCCAAATGTTATTTCCTTCTTTTATTTTTTCTATTTTATCTTCTATTTTACCCTTTTTATATTTTGTTTTCTCTTCAAAATAAGTTCTTCTTGCTTCTACAAAATTATAATAATCCCCTAGGTATCTTGTTTTTCTGAACTTCCTTTTTGTTTTACTGACTGACTTTGCAAGACTTACTGAAAAATGGTGGCCAAGGCGGACGAAATTTCTTTATAGTTACATATTCGCTACATCTATCACGTACTGCTGCAAGAAACTCCGTAAAAATGTTGAAAAAGGTATTATAATCGTAATTATAAACTAAACTATTCCAATATGGATATATCATGTAAAGAAAAAAACTGAATGCCCTCCAATTCGTTTTTCTAAACATTCCTTGGTTGTTTGATGCAAAGGGGGATACAAAAAATATTGGGTAATGGTCGGATATGTTCCTTCCTCTAATCTAATTACACTCCATTTTTTTGTATCTTTAACAATTCCTAGGTCAATTATTGCCGTCGATCTTTTAGAAGTTGGATTACCTGGGTGTAATACCTCAAAACCGTTTTCCTCCATCCATTCTTTTAGTATATTTCCACTAACATTGTTTTTCTCACATTGCCAACTTTCATGCTTTGCATTGAAATCGCCGAAAATATAGATATCTTTTTCCTAATGTTTATCAAATAGGTATAATGGTGGTGTATGGTTAGGTGGAATATAAACAGCTCCAATGTAAATATTTTCATTTCCTAGTTCGATTTTTAAAAGAAGAAAATTTTCAGATTCGTCTGATATGGTCGTTGTAAATTCATTTTGTATGAGACACGCTACACCTCCAAAACTATTGTTACCCTCTTTACTAAACCATTTATAATTTGGAACATACGAAAGCCTACGTATCTGTTTTCCTACACCCGTCAGAATGCACACATGAGGACAGTATAAAGAAAGAAGAAGGTCAAGATCAGAAGTATGCGTATGTAAACATTCACAGTTCCACAAAAGAATAGATAGATCTCAGAAGTACTACTCAGTCTTACTTTTCGCCAATTATTGCTCAACACAGATACACATACTTTATCATTCCACTCACTACACATTGTTCGTAAAAGGTTTTTGTCTTTTTCATTTCCATCAAATTGGTTGATAATGTCATAATTCAATGTTGGTTCACAATACTTGAAATCTTTATTAAACATTGATATCTTTGAATAAATTGTCTACTGTTTCATTTTGTTTGTCTGCTAAATAATCTAATGCATTGACGTGCATGAAAAATAAGGATTCTGCTTCTTTTATACATTGTGTTTGGTTTTTTAATTGTTGTATATTTTCGTCGAAGTCGTTTACCTTGGTTTGCATGTGTATTTTTAAGTCATCTTTTTTTCTGATTCAAAATTGATTCGAGATGACAAAATATGAATTAAGTAGATTATACTGTGATCAAATCATCGAAGAAGCATTGGTGAACATTATCATTTATAATTGAAGAAAAAAATCTACTAGATGACTAATAGATACATATGATGATCAAGATGAAATTTTTATTTTAACGTTCAATGTTTCAGTTTTTAAAAGACCATTTTCAAGAACCATAATCATCATATGTATCTATTAGTCATCTAGTAGATTTTTTCCTCAACTGTTTCAATTTGTCTATTTTTATGTAATTATCATTTATCTCACTATATAGTTTTTTTTAATAAACTCGATTGAAAATATTAGTTTGGTACAAAATATACTAGTCCAATGAAAAACTTGATTATAATTTTTTATCTCTGTAGGCTGTTACGGCCAGAGCATCAACCAGGCCGTGTTTTTGTAGGCCTGGCCGGTCCGTGACAGGCCTTTGAATTTCAAGCCTGCCTGTGCCTGTCAACTAATTTGCTTGGCCTGGCCTGCCTGCCTGGCAATTTTTTTTAATGCTAATACCATTACGAGGATAGAATAGAAACATGCAATTAATGTTGAGAATGAAGAAAGCCAGTTTAATTAATTTAATAAGACTAGATTAAGCATTTACTTAGCGAAGTTTTCATACAAAAAATGAGGGAACATCGGGTTTGCATCCGATTATTGTGTATTGCAAAAACTGAGTCGATTTATATATGTTTAGAATAATTCTGAGAAAAAAAATTTTATTTTTGAAAAAATCTCTGTTCTCCCCCTCAAGGATGGTCTGGTCAATAATGACAATTTTTTCGATAACTTAGCCATTTCTTGACGGATCCTTCTCATCTTCGAACTCGACTGAGATATTGATGAGATCATTCTGTGTACAGAATTTCATGATAATTGGATGAGGCTTTCAAAAGTTATCGTGTTAACGGCCGGGCACACTGACCGAATCTAGGGTGTACTCATTTTTTTTTGAGTACACAAACAGAATACATCAGAGACAGCATGGTATAACATTAAGAAAAAAAGTTTTGTTTTTGTTCAAGAATGTTTCGAATAGATCTCACAAAGAGAATATCATTTAAAAATTGAGGATCCAAAGAAGAACGACGTTTTGTTACAGCTAGTCCAGCAGATAAATGAAAACACAACGAGCCAATGGAGAAAGAAAACGAACTATGCAATTTGAACTGAACATTAGCCATCATTTGGATCAATCACAAATGAACACAGAACATTATTCTATACGTCATCTGATTATTAGCGCCACATTCAATTAAAAAAGTTTATATCAAAAATAAAATTATAAATATAAAGAATAGAGACAGGCCAGGCGGTCTGGTATTTTTAAGCTGCCTGCCTGCCTGTGACAGCCCAGGCATCAAGATCATGGCCTGTGCCTGTCACAGGCAGGCAGGCCTAGTGGCCTGGTTGATGCTCTGGTTGCGGCCATATGTTGATGTTACTTCATTTTGATGCTTTTTCCGAGAAAGTTACCTTTAAAAGCAAATTTTAAAACAACATAAAGTCATGACCTCTTTTAAATAATATGGTTATTGGTTAAGTAGAAGTTCGTCATTTCATTTTTTTTGTTTTTGTTGCTTTTTTTATTCTTATCATATTCATTTCAAACAAATTTACACGAAAGCAAAGTACACAAAATACTTCGAATTTACACTCAATACCATGCTTCAATTTTAATTATACTGCAGTGATTAGTTATGATATATTACTCGACGAAATGGTAAAAGCACCGCTTATTTATTGTCGCGTTATTATTTATTTCTCTGTTGTTTATAAATTCTAATTTCAAACGCAACGAAGAATTGTTTGTTTCAATTTCATAAAATTTATCTTCTTTCTTTTTTTTAGATTTCATTTCTTGTTTCTTATACGTATATTGTTTTGATTATTTCATTCTTACCAAGTTCTTCAAAGTATTCAAACGAGTACACTCAAATTCGGTATTTCCCACTGTCAAAAAGTGTTCAATCTGCTGAAATTACATCATGTAAGAAGTCCAAAGCCAATTTTTTACAATGGGATATACTTGTGAAACGAGCACTTGGAAAAGAAACGTCAATGCAAACAATTTTAATAAAAAGAAGTTTAAAAATTGCGTTTAGATGACGAAGTAACCATAAGCAGCAGTGTATTTCCAATTCATTGATTAATATAGATATTTTCATCAATTGAATTCGATGATTTTATTTAAAAAATAAATTATCTGAATTCGATTTATTAAAATATGTCTGCTAATAAATGACTTTGAAAAAAAAACATTCCTATTTATGTCTATTTCAGCATTTGAAATAATATCTTGCGTTAGTTTTTCTCCTCTAAAATTCGTGAAACTTTTCAAGTGAATCGATGAACATACAACGCATAGTTTAACAAGGTCATATTAGAGTTATAAAATTATTTTTCAGCTTAACTCTAATAGACGCATGACAGTAACAAACAATTCAAAGAAGTATTTTTAAAACCTAATCAGACGAATATATTTATCTATTTGTCTTTATGTGTATGCTTTTTCCTCAGTACAGTCTGTTTTTTTTACTGGAACACATTTTTTCATGAAGCGACGTCAATAGTAATAGGTTTTCCGTTTGTATATATTGATTTAATTTAATTTATCGTAATTGTTCATTTAGAATTACATACCGCAGTAATACCCAGTCAATAAAGAGGGGACGTACATTTAGAATATGTTTCAAATTTTTATTGAAAAGCGTTCATTCGAATTTAATTAAGGACAACAGCATTTCAATATGGCCAAGGTTCGAAACTGACTAGATTATTGTATATTTTACATGGAAGCTTCAATCGAAATACGATCATGAAGTTTATCACAAATTTGTGTTCGTAATAATTCTTGCATGATAAGATTTAAATCAAGTACCAGATAAAGAGTCTATAGTTTTTAATTACTAAACTTTTTAGTCAAGTATGAGTTTTTCTTCCTTCATTAAATAAGTAGATGTGGAAAAAGAATGAAACTTTAACGTAAAAAAATGCAATTATTTACAAGATTTTTCTACTGGGAAAAATTATTGAAAATAAACAAAAACCAATTGCATTTTATTTATATTGCTACATCGTTACAATTGTCATCGAGAAAATAAATTATGTATTAGTTGCTTTGTATCAATGAAAACTGGGAACGACTTTCCTTAACTCTTCTACAGTTTTCTAACGTTTAGGCTACGTTTTAAGGTTCTCTATCTTGCAACATGATCGTATCACTTTTCATTTGTTTTATTCATTTCAATTATGCATACTAAAAACACTCCTATGCAACTTATTGGCCAAATTTATTATCTGATTGAAAGAAATAAAACAGCAAACCGATACGTTTGGAATTATGTCACATTTATAAAACAAGGAAGGAAGAAATTTCGAATCGAAACTAATTGACAGATGTACGCATCAAAATGATCAAAAAATTTCTATAAAATTTAAAAAGAAATTCTGAGAATTCGATATCAATAAGATTTAATGAAAAAAATATTGAACAAATAATATTTAGAGAATTATTTTTCTTACATATCTCTTTAGTACAGGCATGTTAAAAGAGGAATAATTTTAGTTTTATAAAATGATAAGTGATATTTTACCACATTTGATTTATGGATATATTGATTTAGTAATGTATCCGTTGAGAAAAAGAAAGAAAAAGAAACACGCGTGTAATCGACTTGAAGATTTCATATTGATTTTTCAAGATTTCATGCAATGATTAAAATATAATAAGGATTATATCGGAGATTGTCACTTATGAATTGTTGGTGACTCATTTGGTTAAGAATTATAAAAAAAATTCTAAAACTATTTTGGTTGCTGATTAGAAAGCTTTACTCAACGATCATGCGTGGACAAAAAAAAAGCAATACATCCAGTTTCCATTTTCAAATAGTTTCAATATTGAAATAAGTTCTACTTCCTTGAAAGTTGTACTTTAAAAAATATTAAACGATTATTTTACACGAATCATTCGAAGAATTCATAGCAGAAATTTCCACTAAATTTCAAGTACGTTTTTATTTCGTCTTGTATTGATCTTTTTCACGAATATATAAGATAAATAAGTTATAGATGATTTAAATGAGAGCAAGGTTTTCTATCAGCGGATTGAAAGTTCTCGTTTTGGTTTTTATTCACTAAAGAGATATAAAATTGGACATTTTTTTGTGAAACACGATCTGAAAGGAGTGTTGGATTATATCTTGAGGGTAGGAATTTGGACCAATCCCCCCAGGAATCCCGAT